GGGTCGGCAACGCGCGCGTAATACTTCTGGTATTGCAGGCGTTCATAGGCTACGGTAACCGCTTACAATCAGGTGGGCCGTATGCTTGTTTGCCACCTCAGTGGTATAAAAAAAAAACAAATTATAAATTACTCACCACACTTACAGTATTCCAAAACGTGTAGTAAGCCATAGGTTTATTTTACAAATTTTGAAATTTTAAAAAACATTTAAAAAATTAATCTGTTTTGTCATTAAATATATCAATATCTGACTGCTGAGCAATCAGAGAACTGAGCAGAGAAATAGCCTGATAAGTGGGAGCGAACTGCTGGTGTACCATGAAATGTAATTCCGAATTTTCGGACTCAATTTCGTGTTTTCATTCATACCGAACTCGGCCCAATAGGTCTTTACATTTTGTTCGTCATAAATTCTACTATAAATGTATGTATTATATAATTGTAACATCAACCTTGTGTTTCATTCGGACCCAAAATTTCGGAAAACATTTCATGGTAGACCCTCAGAGCAGTACAAGTGCGAACCGGCTATAAAACGTATAGTATAATATATATATTCTTTTTTAATTTTTCATGCGACTTTTCATACACATTCTTTCATATTAACCTTGTGCTATCAATTAAAAACATAACAAAAAAAGAATTAGCAAAATAGGTTATAAAGATGCGTTTTCATACATTTGACAATAGATTTTTATTTATACACATTCAGGTAGGTAACCTTACCATAAACTAAACGTAATTACAATATTCGCGGAAAATTTTAAATATGGAACAACATAATCAAATAATCTTGTCGTTTGGCCGGTTTCGCGCCATAAAAAATTATGAATATTCTATTCATCTATTTCTAGCTTTTTTAGGTTCCGCAAGGAATTGACTGAAACGGATTCTTGTAATTTCGTCTTAATTATATTATACTAGCTGACTCGGTAAACGTTGTTTTATCATATACATTATTTCTAGAACTATACATGCAAATATATCGTACTACAATTATTATATTCGATTGTCATCTTGCAATTCTATTGCGGAATATAAAAATCGCGATTAACAAACAGGCGTTGATCGTAAAACGGTGAAAATTTGAGGTTATATGTATTTTTCAATGCTAAATCATAATAAAATAAAAATAAAAAAAATTGTCAAAAAAAAAATATTTAGAGGTGGGTCACCCCTATCATTGAGGGGTATGAAAAATAGATGTCGGCCGATTCTCAGACCTACCCAATATACACACAAAATTTCATAAAAGCCGTTTCGGAGGAGTTTGGTAACAAACACTGCGACACGAGAATTTTATATATTAGACAAGAACTTCGTCCACGTGACCGGGATATGTTTACTGACCGGAATTAGAGGTAGATTATATCCTTCTCTATTCCATATAGTACGTGTCTACCAAATATCACAGTGATTGATTGAGTTATTAAGGTGCTATTAGATAACAAAAAATAAACTCACACGTTTACAATCAATAAACTTTGTTTCGACTCTTATCGCCATCTACCGGCTATATTTTTTTCGGCGCTTTTTAATAATAATAATATTTTTTTTTTATTTTATTTAAGGTAACGAACAAACAAACTCACTTTCACATTACAATATTAGTAATGACACCAGCCTTTGCTTGCGTCTTTGTACGCGCTGATTTTGGAAGTAGGCAAATCAACGAAGTATATCACTTGTAGATGATGTATTGGCAGCTTTTTTATGTAGCAAATTTTATAGTAATTGGTTAAACACTTAAGATCTCAAGAGATCATACACATAGAAACTCACTTTCACATTTATAATATAAAAAATATGTAAAAAATAATAATAAATATGTATATGTATTAGTAAGGATAATCAGTCTAAGTTACGTATATCACAGCGTCATGACTTTTGGTAAGGGAGATCCGACTTTTTTTTGAAGTCGCATAGAAATTTGAAAATTTGTACTTGTTGTACATGTCCGCTATATCCAGCAGTGGACAAAATAGCTGATATAATAATAATAAATATTTATTAAAGTGTAAACATTTCTGAACCGGTTTTTATGATTATTTTATTATTGACAAGATTTCAAATTAATTTTACCACAATTCGAATCGAAGTTCTTTAAACTATTTACAAATTGATTTAATTGCAGAACCTCGTGATCTAAATTCAACTCACACTTGACACGCGTTTAATTTATTTTTAGTATTAATTTATTGTAGATCATGCTAGATTCTCGGTTAGACCATGACACACCTAAAAATAAATGTAGTTTTTAATAAATTAACATTGCCTTGTTGTATCATGACCTCTCAATAAGACGGAAGAGGAAACGGCTGTGAATAAAAATATTCTTATAAATGTTGCGAATAATCGGTAATAGGTGCAATTAGATTTTGTGACCATCAGGTGTCACAGTATAATGATTAGTGACCATCGGACGTCACAGTTTAATGATTTGTGGCCATCGAATGCCACAGTTAAATTTGCGATTACAAAGCAGTATACATTTTAACTCGTAAACAAATATTTTTAAGCTGTATTCAAAAAATAAAATTAAATATAATATAATATATGTAAATAAAAAAATATATGTAGTTTAACAATTCGCCTGTATATTTTTTTCTGTCGCTATGTTACGCAATAATGTCTTCAATTCTAAACTGATTTTGATTATTCTTTTTACAATTGGTAGGGTTTACTCCCATTTTGGTCTTATATTAATTACATGACGATTGAAGCTGCCGTTTGTCTTTGGAAACCAAAAAACTGCGTTTTGCAAAATATAATTTAATTATAGACATCGAATTCCGAGTTCTGAATTTAAATATTTTGACACAATATTTAAAGATGTTATAAAATATATTTTTATATTCTCTAAAATTTTAAAATGACCTGCTTGTAAAATGTATTTTACTATTAACATAAAAACCATCTTTTGGTTGAGATATTAAACTTAGATATATGGTATTATGGACTAAAGCTAAGCTTCTAAAGCTAAAAACAATGAATATTTTTGCTATATATTTTATTCCTTTATTTCAAACTGTTCTGGCAGCGTACGCCATATTATACAATTTTTACCGTCTTCAAATACATTTATTGTGATTAATTATTGAAAATATATATGTATCAGAATATAAAATACTCTGTAGCACTCAGGGATAATATACCTTTCTAACAGTAAAAGTATTTTTAAAATCGGATCAGTAATAACGGAGATTACCTCGAACATCCAAACTCACAAACTTTACCTCTTCATAATACTGTATAACAAATTACATGACACTTGAAGCCGAGAGGAAACAAACAAACAAACAGTACTATATAGTATTAAGTTAATTCACCAAAGGGAGACTTTGTACAAAAGTCGTTGGCTTACCTCTGTCCCATTCGTGTTTCAACCGTGAAATAGTTGTGTTTGCATAGCTGTGTTTCGGTTTGAAGGGTGGGATATGGCAGTGAATTTACAGACTCAGGGCTCAGGAATAACGCATGGGAGGTATCATGGGCGAAACTGTATACTCTGTTACGTCCATGGTACTGCTCATGTCTATAGGTGACGGATACCACTTTCCATCAAGTGGGCCGTCGGCTTGTTTGCCATTCTAAGCTGTATAAAAACAAAATATTAAGTCCGTTATTTATATCATGCACTAAAAAGTTTCAATATATTATCGAGTAATGACCTGCGTGGTAAGTAAAACAAAATACGCATGGGAAAATACAGATCGGCTGACCTTCGCGCTCCGATGACTTCCGATCTGTGTTGACTTAAACGCACATTCAGATACACTCGTATGGCTTACATTCTCTTGCATCCACTGTCTAGAACCACGTATACAGATAATTTATTTATAATTTACAAAATTACAATTTCAGTTTCAATTAATTATATCATTCCCATTGCAAGTTTGTCATATTTTATTCTATTTTCAAGCATATAGCGTTTTGTATACAATAATAATATAGTATTTTTTTATACAACTAAGAATGGCAAACAATCTGACGATCCACCTGATGGAAAGTGATAACCGTCGCCTATACACATAAGCAGTACCATGCACATAACAGAGTATACTGTTTTGCCCATGATACCCCCCATGCGTTGCCATTACTGAGGACTCAGGTGTTATTCCTCTGTACTCAGTAAATTCACGCCATATCTCACCCTTCAAATCGAAACACAGCCATGCAAACAAAACTGCTTCACGGTTGAAACACGAATGGGAAAGAGGTACCCAAGCAATCGACTTTTGTACAAAGTCTCCCTCTAAAAGTAATAATAATTTATAACAATAATAATCACGTCACTGCAAATTATTATATTAGTACAATTCAGCATTAAAGATTATTTATATTTCAAAAATTCATCAACACTATAGAAGCCGTTCTCGTCAAGACGGTTTTTCAGTTTCTTTCTAAATGAACTTAGACTGCTTACAGCAGTTACACGGTCAGGAAATTTATTATATCTAACTGGGCCCATAACATGAGTCAATCTATCAGAATCTATAGATTCGAGAAACATTTTACTGTCCCCCGCAAGTAGGTACATTTCGAAAACGCTAACATACGAATCTAACAATATTTATCTCCTTCGTTAATCCTCAACTTGATCCATGGATATTTTTTCACCGCGTCAATCCACAGGTAATCCATGGATACTTTTTATCATCAAATAACAAAAACTTATGAATTACCGGACAAAAAAACTGCATATATGAACCAAACTAAGTTAATTTTATTTAAACTGCATCTCATTCATGTTTATTTATTTATTTATTTACACTTTATTGCACCAAGTAAAAAGAGAAATAATGACCAAATATGAAGCGGACATGTTGTTTTAGATTTATCAATCTTGTCTTATGTCTTGTATATCTATAATTAACTACGTACTATTTTTATTATTATCTGTTGTATTTTCCAAATAAAATAAATAATTATATCTAATAAGAGAATGTTGTTTCTATAATGTGGTAGATAATTGTTTTTTTTTTTCTCTCGTTACAGGTCTGTTTCTCCTGCTTATGCTTGGTTTCTTCGCGTTGGGAGCTGCCTGCTTCATCTTCCTCGCGCATCCCTACGACTTTTTGTTCAATCAGGTAAAATTATTTATTAGTTTCATTAGATGTAATTGAAACTGTCTATTGCCACAACTTTGACCACCTCTGCAATTGAATAATGCTCTTATATTAAAAAAAAAAAACCTATCGAAATTGATTTTTAAAAAATAGGGTTTTCGATTCGAGGACATTTTTTTTGGGTATATTATATTGTATGTACGGTAATTCTATATCGATTTTATGATTCTTTGTACAATTGATAGGATAAACTTCTATTTTTTTTTATACCACGAAGGTGACAAACAAGCATGCAGACTGTCTAATGATAAACGGTCACTGTAGCCTATGTAGTGTAGCCTGCAACACTAGGGGTGTCACGGGCGCATTGCCGACCCTGGAATACCTTAATATACCCTTTTTGAAGAACTCCATACTGTAGTCTCTAGTGATAACCTTAGCAGGGAACTCACTCCACAGCCTAAACGTTCGCAGGAGGACGCTCCTTTGAAACCACACTGTAGGTGACCATTTAGCTTCAAGCGTGCGGAATGAATTGTCTAACTTCCTGTAATGCATTTGAGGTCGTGCCTCCAAATACTGGGGGGTCATCCTACACTACGTTTGCCACTACGGAATCGCATCTGATTCCTTCAAATCGAAATACAGCCATAATAGCTGTTTAAGAGCTTAAAACACGTGTAAGATAGGTACTCTCGTAGACAAGTTTTACATTAAAGTCTCTAATAAATAACACGAAATAACGTGATATTCGGTACAATATGTATGTATGTACCTACCTACTATGTTTGTTTATTTTTAATACTTTATTGTATAGTAAAAAAAATAATGTACTTTTAAGATACAAAGTTCAAGATAATAAGATTGTGTATTACCAAAAAACCGACTTCAATAGCAGTAAAATGCGTTTTGATTTCAAAACTAAACTGCTGGAGCGATTTTGATAAAATTTTTAAGAGACAAAACTATAAATATATCCTTTCGGACAAAAAAGGATTTTTTCAAATCAGTTCACAACTGACATAGTTATGAGGTAACAAACATTTAAGATTGCCATGTGGTACCGGCATAGAATTTTTTTTTATACAACTTAGAATGGCAAACAAGCTAACGGCCCACTTGATGGTAAGTGGTAACCGTCGCCTATAGATATGAGTATACTGTTTCGCTCATGATACCCCCCCCCCCCCCCCATGCGTTGCCATTTCTGAGGACTCAGGTGTTATTCCTCTATACCCTGTAAATTCACGCCATATCCCATCCTTCAAACCGAATGGGCCACTTCCTTCCTTTTATATGGGTGTCGTAAGAGTCGATTAAGGGAACTTATTTGTTGAGAGATGGGCAACAGTATCCTTGTTAAAATATCATCGAAGTATAACTGCGGTCCAACCCACTTGCCAAGCGTGGCAACTACTGGCAAAACTGGAAGGCCTATGTTCAGCAGTGAACGATTAACGGCTGAAATGATGAAACATAAAAAAATACGACCGACATGAGAACCTCTTTTTTGAAGTCGGTTAAAAAGAACAAGCTTTATCGCATCAACTGTAAATAATTAATGGTAATAGAGTCCACCATGTACCTTCGTTCCACCATGACAATAACACTCAACACTTCCAGAAAGTCGTTCTCCAAGATGGCGGCGAGATATTGGAGATGTGGCGGACACCGGAGGTAGAGTTGTTCTGCCGGGTATACTTGTTCAACGTGACTAATGCCGAAGAATATATGGCGGGAATAGACGACAAGATTAAGGTCAAAGAAGTTGGACCTTATGTTTACAAGTAAGTCACCTAACAACTCTATAATTATAATAAATAAACGAGGGTAGATAGAAAATTATTCATTCAATGCGAGAATCAATACCCTACCTTAAAAGGCCGAATGTCCTACCTTAGACTGAAAGGCCTCAAGAAATTAGACAGATATAATAAGACAGATTAGCTTTTTCGAAGTCACACAATTATGGATTCTACCCTACTAAAAAAATCCTTTTGCCCTACCTTAAACTTGGGTCTAGCTACGGCCTTGCCATACACTAAGCTTATAAGAAATACCTGCATGTTGCATTGTAGTAATACAAAATGGGATCGATTCTGAAAAACCATTTCTCCATATATTTATATCTCTAAAATAAAAAAAAAAAATTTATATCATAGCATAATCTTTATCCAAAAAACTAATATAAACTAATTTTCTAATATATATATTTTTTATGGATGATAATGGAATAGTTACCCCGCCTGCGCTATCGGTATACGCTGGCGAGGCACCAGTGATAGATGACAGGTGAAGATGAAAGCAGATCAGTTAGCCCATCGTGACAAATCTCACAAGAATTAACCACGATGGTTTCCAGGGGGAACCACGTGGAGGTCAACCTGATAGAGTATATTGTTAGTAATGGAGCTGTTAGATCTAACAGATATGATCTGCAACTGTTGCTGTTAGATTAACAATTCCTTCCCCCTTCTAATATATTTAAATCACAATTAATGTAATTTTAGTTTACAATGGTCCATAAAACAGTAATTTTATAAAATTATGTACTTTAAATATTAGGTTAAGAGATAAATTCATAGAAATGCCACCTCGGAATCGGCCCCAATGACACATAGATCAGTAAATAATAAATTTGTGAACCACTAATGACTGAAATGATTATGATGATGATGGAAATGATAAGTGTATTGTTATATTTGGTACATTACTAATATGATAACATCTAGAAAATTGTCATATATATATATATATATATATATATATATATATATATATATATATATATATATATATATATATATATATATATATATATATATACATATATATATCATTAATGTGGATTTGCCCATGTGAATGGAGATAAAAAGTATAGTTTCGCGGTAAGATACTGAAGACCATGTAGATTTGATGGTATTGCCCAGTCTTGTTTTATATTTAAATGAATTTTGTAATAAAGAATATGTAATTGTAAATTTAATTTATTATATTCATTATATTGTGACATTTATATGCATGTAGTCTGTAGTCAATGTTGTGTACGCCTGCTATAGTTATGCATATCAGCTACATGCTACACAAAAAATGTTATTTAATTTATGTATAATATGTACACTGTTGGTGTGCCTAATTCGAAATAAATAAAAAAAAAGTATCTATTTTAATTCTTAATGAAGAAATTAAGAACATTGATCTCTCTACCAAGGTTCGTTCAAGTTTATCATTTACAAATCGTTCTGTTTTTATCTATAAGCACATTTCTGGAGATTGCTCTCATTGAAATTTTATCAAAATCGGTTTAGTTTTTAAATTACAATAACTGTTTCTGTCATGGTTTTCTTCGGTGTTTTTCTTTTTTTTTCTGAAACATAATCTTTTAGTTACAGAGAGGAATTCAGACCCGAAATGGCTATAAACTAAATTAAATAATATTCTTTTTTTACAGAGAGGGATTCAGGCACGAGATAACCAAGTTCAATGACAACGGTACAATGTCTGTGATACCGCATCACCCACTCACTTGGATGGGCAATATGTCTGAAGGGCACAAGGAGAACGATATACTGTTCTTACCCCATATTGCTTTACTAGTAAGTATTAGCTCAAAACGATTTGTCCTGTGGTCCCAGCATAAAATGGGTCACTCCTTCCTTTACCATGGGTGTCGTAAGAGGCGAATAAGGGAACTTAATAGTCGAAGGATGGGCAGCTGCGTACCTCTTAAAATGTCGCCAAAGTTTAACTAAGGTTGCCAACCCGCCTACCAAGCAACTACTGGCGAAATCCCCCTTATGGGTAAGTCCTATGTTCAACAGTGGACGTTTAATGATTAGTGACATGATGATGTGATGATAACCTTGATAATTCTGTTAACAATTATTTGCGATTCACTCCTGTCTTGGTCTTATTTTAATTCTGCGACGATTGAAGGAGATAGCTGCTTTTACACGACTGTACAAAAAAGGAGTGTAATATCTTTATTGTATGTGAGTCTTTTATTTCACCATAACTTCTTAATACCTAAAAACATATGGTATTACAATAAAATCCTTAAATTAACCCGAGTGATATAACTTTTATGACAGATAACTGTAAATTCTTTTAAATTTCAATGTGACAAGACAATTGTGTTTTGTTTTTTAAATTACGGTGCGATATACTTGTTCTTTTATTGCGAATTTTAAATTCTAATTTCAAATATTTTAAATCTAATATGTCCATAGAGCATTCGTGCATTTTATTCGTTTTATTATAAAAATGCATAATTTATGGGGTCGTTTTTTGCGCGCCAAACTAAAGTTTACCGGTCCACTTCAACGTGCTAATAAATGCAGTATCCGTTTCTATAAATATACTTCTAGAAACATCCATGAATATATCAGAAAAGGAAGCGAGTGATCTGACTTAGGTATATTTGGATAAATTTCAACTCATCTGTCGCAAGAACCGGCCCAATGCAGAATGCATTGACGATGCATTTTAGCAACATTGCTGACATTTTCGTTTCCCAATGCGTGTTGAAAACCCAAGCTTTATGGATATGTGCCTAATTCTGAATATTTTAACGTTTAATGCAAGTCTCATACATTGCTACTGTAATATATGTAAGTGTTGGTACGCACATATTTTTATTTTTATTATGTACCTTCAATATATCTGTGGTAGCAAACTCAATAAGCCAATCCGCAAGAGACAGTCTTTGATTCAATACACTACAGGTACTAACATACGTTTCTACTTTTCCAAAAATAATACGCTATTAAATATTTTAACTCCGTGTGTTAATTTTTAATACAAACATATTTTTACATACATACATACATACATATCTGTCACGCCTGTCTCCCATTAGGGTAGACAGAAACAATGGAACGCCAAATGCTTCGATTCAAACAAACCTCTTTCGCTTCTTCCACATTTATCAATCTTTTCATACACGCTCGCCGGTTACGGAACAACAACAAGTATTAAAAATGTGACGTATCATTTACGTATGTTTGTAGCTTATGTATTGATTAGTATTGATGTTGGTCGTACAGCACTCGTGTACTTTAGCTGCCCGCTAACTACATGCTTTCCAACTGTATTGGGTTAACTGCAAGTAATCTCTCCTAACTACTTAAGGAGTAAATTTCAGTATCTTTTTGAAACTTACGAACATAACCTTCGTTCCAATAATACTGTCCAATTATCTTTCCCCTCTCACCGTACTGGTTACGCTTCAAACTCTTTTTTCCTACATTCTTCACGACTCTGGAACGCGCTTCCTGATGCTATTAAGAGACTATCGACTAAACCGTCTTTAAAAAAAACGTTCACGCTTACTTTTTTACTTTATCCGAGCAGTAAGCGCTTTATATTATTCTCAATTTCGTGTACAATATAGTAAATGTCATATATGTGTAAGTATATTTGTTATTCATATATATTTATTCGTTTATATATGTAATTTTAGTATGTATGTATATCAATAATTACTAATACCACATTCGAGTATTCTGACACTTCCCTATGGTTGACTGGGAGAGAATGCTTTTAGCATTAAGTCCGCCATGTACACATATTTGTACTAATGAATAAATAAATAAATCTCTGTCAAAGATAAATCCACCCTTGCTCACAATATTTATAAATGGCTGGTCTGTTTTTCTTGCGTAGTGATAGTTTTATGGTATAAATTTCATTTAATGTAAATTATAAACTTATATACAGTAAAAAAAAATCTTATATACATACAGCTGTATACTAATTATTATATTTTCCACATGTCGAAATACAAATGTTATGTCTAAATGCTAAATCATGCTATGTAGACATGTTTTTGAATTGTACCCATAAAACCATAGTTACCTATATATAAACCTAACATGGTTATAATTTGTTATGTGTGCCTTATCAAAATGAATAAATGTATTTTACTAATTACATCTATCTATTATATATCTATGTAATTTACAAATGTAATAAAGAATATATACAATATACTAGTCACATACAATATATAGATAAATACATAATAAATGAAACAATAAATGAAAATATAAATCTGTAATTAATTGAATTTGAATTAACATTCTACGTATTTGGACTTAATACGGGTGTGTACAAGAGAACCTGTCTGTTTATTGCGAAATACCAACTGTCTAGTATCTTGTTTGCAGTGGAACAGAATCTCCCAAGGTAAAGACAAAATATTAATTTCGTGCAACTTCTAGAAACAACGTCCTTTGAACCGGTCTCAGAAAGGACTTTTTCAATTCGACTATTTATATTTATTTATTTATAGCAAAGTAATAAAATACAAATCATAAATAAAATAAATATATTATATAACACAAATAAATTTATACTCTAATAAATACTCTGCATAACATTCATTATATTTAAATTAATAAATTGACAGTTTTAATTTATATTAAAACTGCAAAGGTTCTTGGAAGATATCAAGGTCACTACATACATAATTATATTTTCTACATATGCATATATAGAGTTCAAATTTATTTACATTTTGACATTTGAATATAGTTAATTAATTATTGATATATATATTAATTATATACAAAATTATATATATATATATATATATATATATATATATATATATTATACAAAAATATGTATAAAATATAATCTATCTATTATACACGAATACACACCTTACATCTACGTATTATAAATATCAAAAACAAGTCCTTAAAAAAATACTTAAAGACATATAGCTAGATACGTGACATTTTATAGAACAAAGAATCTAATACACACGCAAGCGATGTCGCGGGCTAAAAGCTAGTTCTCTATATAATTGATGTAGACCGAATGTAAGTTTCAAAAGCTACTCATAGTTGAAAGCAATTTCAGTTTGAATACCAGTCTATCACAATAATTTATTATCGCTTATAATTTATTATGATACAAACGTAAAATCATTTATTGAAAATATTATTAACTCCAGGCTTATGTTTGTATATATTATACAAAACAAACTTGGATTATTACAACACTGTTAACACAACCCATAGTGCTGTGGACTCGAGATGTTTGTCTTGACATTTTGTGATCACTCAATGGCCAGTTATTTGCGATTTATGGTATACTCTATACAAACTCTTCACTAGTAAAATGTAAATTTATTCATTTACCCTATAAATTTATCCTTTACACTATACAATTCAGCCGTTTATTGTTCACTGTTAAACATAAACCTTACCCATAAAAGGAGTTTACCAATAGTTGCCACACTTGTCAAGCGGATTGGTAACCGCAGTTAGGCTTTAGAGATGTTTTAAGAGGGATGCTACTGCTCATCCCTCTACCTATTTTTTTTAATGGGTGATAATGAAATGGCAACCCTATCTGCTCTATCGGTATACACCGGCGAGGCACCAGTGAAGGATGATAGGTGAGGATGAAGCAGGTCAGTTAGCCTATCGTGACGAATTCAACAAGAATTGTTCACGATGGTTTCCAGGGGGAACCACGTGGAGGTTGACCTAACAGGGCAAGCAATGGGACTGTCAAATTCCATTGCTAACAATCCCTTTTCCTCTATTCCTCTACCTATTAAGTTCCCTTAGTCGCCTCTTACGACACTCACAGTAAAGGAAGGGGTGGCCTAGTCTATGCCAGGACCACACTACTTAATATTTACTAAATTACTTACTTATTCCTAGCTAATAAAGTTCTAGTAATAGCTAACTGACGAGCGTCGAGGCGGAAGGGATTATTAGTAATGGAGAGGTTAGTCCCCATTGCTATTAATATACCCTATCAGGTCGACCTCCACGCGGTTCCCCCTGGAAACTATCGTGACTAATTTATCGTTTGATTCGTCACGATGGACTAACTGACCTGTCTTTTCATCATAGCCTATCACTTCTCACTGGTGCCCCGCCAATGTATTCCATTAGCGCAGGCGAAGTTACCATGCCATTTTCACCCATTAAAAAAACCTGACGAACGCTTATATATATAACTATTTTATTTTTATTTTCAGAGTATAGCAAACGTCGTAGCTCCGAAAGGTTTTGTGACACGTTTTGGACTGAACAATATCATCACACTCACCAACAGCCAGCCGCTTGTGAAGATGACAGCCCGCGAATTCATGATGGGCTACGAGTCCAAGTTGATGACCTTGGGCAGCACTTTCTTACCCGGCTGGATCAATTTCGATAAACTCGGCCTTATTGATAGGGTAAGATTTTAGTTTTACATCCATTAATTGTAACTGACATTGTATTTTTAAGACCTACATTAATAATTGAATTTTGGCCGCGTATAAAAACTTTATATATTCTTTATTACACTTGAACAATACATGCGAAAATTAGTTTAACAACTTGTTAGCAAGGAAGGACTTATCTCTGAAAAAGATCTCTTCCAGCCAACCCAGTGTAGTTGGAGAGAAAATAATTTAATTTGGCTAATCTAGTGCAGGAAAGGTACCGGTGAAAATAATGTAAATACAACAAGCACAAATTGTGAATAAATATAAAAATAAATAAATAAATACGTAAATAAGTAAATAAGTAAATAAATAAATATATATACATATGTATAAGTGCATAGATTTATCATGTACTATTGGTTAAAAGGTATGATTTCGGTCTTCTCTTGAAGGAAGTAATGCTTCCATTACTATCCTATCTATCTCTACTGATCTCTACGACTATCCCGTATATCATTTATGCCTTAAACTGTTCTGTAAGTTATATATGTGCGTGAACAAGTACAACTTGTAAAAATTCATTTTCATTTGTATAAAGTAACAGCTGAGTTATTTTTTCTTGGATGATAATATAATGGTAACCCCGCCTGCACTATCGGTATACACTGGCGGGGCACTAATGAGGGATGATAGTTGAGGATGGAAACGCAGGTCAGTTAGCTCATCATGATGAAAATACAGCTGGAATTAAGAACTGTTTCCAGGGAGACCGCGGGGAAGTCGACCTTTTTTTTTATACAACTTAGAATGGCAAACATGCTGACGGCCTACCTGATGGAAAGTGGTAACCGTCGTCTATAGACATGAGCAATACCATAGACATAACAGAGTATACTGTTTCGCCCATGATACCCCCCATGCGTTGCCCTTCCTGAGGACTCAGGTGTTATTCCTCTGTACCCAGTAAATTCACGCCAAACCTGGCAGGGTACAGGCTGTACTGACCCTACAATAACTAGTTGTAGGGTCAATAGTTTTCAGTATTTGCCACCCTTGGCAGGCAGATTAGCAACCGCAGTTAGGCTTTAGAGATGTTTTAAGAGGGACGCTACTGCCCATCCGTCAACTATCTTTTTTTCTTTTAAAAATTAAGTTCCCTTAGTCATCTCTTACGACACCCACGGAAAAGGAAGGGATGGCCTATCCTATGCCGGGACCACACGTCAAAACTTATTTGACATTTCCAGTAATAATAAGACACTTTTTATATTTTTGATTCTCCTTTTCAGATGTACGATTTTTCTGGCGATTACGAGACGGTCTTCACTGGGGTACATGACGTTCGGTACTCGGGTCTCATCGACACATATAGAGGGTCCACTGACCTCCCCCAGTGGGAGGGGAAGCACTGTTCCAACGTCCAAAATGCCTCTGATGCAACGAAATTTAAAGGAGGACTGGGAAAGAATGACACACTATTGTTCTTCAGGAAGAGTATGTGTCGAAGTGGTATATTGGTATGTATTTCTATATATGGTATATATATATAATTAATATAAGCTTTTATCCGCGATTTCGTCCGCGTGACCGTAATAAATTGAAGTAACCTTCTCCATCCCATAAAGTACATGTATACTACATTTCATAGTGATTGGTTTACTTTCACATTTACATTTTTATTTTATACGACTTAGAATGGCAAACAAGCTGACGGCCCACCTGATGGAAAGTGGTAACCGTCGCCTATAGACATTAGCAGTACCAGGGACATAACAGAGTATACTGTTTCGCCCATGATACCCGCCATGCGTTGCTATTCCTGAGGAATACCAGAGGAATACCACCTTAGTGGTGGTATTCCTCTGTACCATGTAAACTCACGCCATATCCCACCCTTCAAACCGAAACACAGCCATGCAAACACAACTGCTTCACGGTAGAAACACGAACAGGACAGAGGTACCCAAGCAATCGACTTTTGTACAGTCTCCCTCTGATAATTATAAAATTAGTAAAGATAGACCTACCTAACAACTACTTAGAATCTACTACCACAAAACATTGTCCTGTCCAAAGTACATTTTTTCTTTACCTTAATCCGATCTGTCATCATCGTCATACCATCCTTTAACTGTCCACTGCTGAACATAAGCCTTCCCCTTGGGAGTTTTGCCAGTAGTTGCCACGCTTGATAGGTCCAATTATTCATTGCTAACATACACACAAAAATTCAAATCTTTCCTTTTTATAATATTAGTGTAGATAAACTTAGCCTAATGTACATTCTCAGTTAAATGTGAGTATATATTAATATTGATTCTCTTATAGTTTCGCTAATCTTATGACTAAAAATTTGACAATTACCCCCACCCATTAGTAAAGGGGGTTCCCCCCTCCATCACTAATGTGATAAACTGTATGATAGCGGAGCAAATGACAAACTTCTGAGGTAACAAGCATAAAAAAAAACAATTGAATTAAGTATCACGCAGTTTTTTAAAGTCGATTGAAAATTTACCCAAAAGACGTGGGAACTAAAATTAATTATAAGTCTAAAAATAAATCGTATAAATAATACGAGATTAATACATAAATAAATAATAAATAATATCTTATTAAGTATGTGAAGTACTTTTTAAGATTAAGGTATGACGAGGATGAGATATCCTTATAAAAGCCTCTAAATAAAAAAGATAAAATAATACTAATAATACCAGATAAAATAATAATAATAAATAACACCGAGGCCTTTTCTCGGCCACAAACGCGTTTATAAACAATTTTAACGGGTCGTTAAATTTTATAATTAACGTAATTTCATAACAAACGTACGTAGCAGTAATTGCATACTGCATTCATTTTGTAACGTCATCTGATTGTTTGTTGCAAATGCAATGTATTAACTTAATTTACAGAATAGGTGCATTTTTCTAGAATTATAATAATAATTTTTTTATACAACTTAGAATGGCAAACAAGCTGACGGCCCACTTGATGAAAAGTGGTAACCGTTGCCTATAGACATGAGCAGTACCATGGACATAATAGAGTACACTATTTCGTCATGGACGAAACGCGTTACCCCTCATGCGTTGCCATTCCTGAGGACTAAGGTTTTTAATTGAGAAACAATTTGCATTTGACGACTAGTAGATATTTTATCTCTCGGTAGTGGACTATTTCATTGATTTTTAGTAATTTACGCGAATGTAATTTATACGAAGTACTGGGCAAGAAGTTAGTATATAATTAAACATTATATCCAAAAAATCGACTTCTATTGTAAAAAGAAAAACAGTGATTTTGTTTTCAAAACTAAAACCGATTTTAACCGATTTTTTTTTGATAAAATTCCTGTGGGACCAATTTGAAAAAAGAATTTTCCAAATACTCGTAGATTAAGAACTGACGGAATTATAGGAAACAAACACAAAAACGTGCAACCGAATTCAGCGCCACTTTCTGTCTGAAGTCAGTTGAAAATAAATAAAATTCTTACCGTTTTAAAACGTGAATACGTACAAAATGTGTTTCTAGTAATAAACATACAACAAACAAATAAACTACATACAGTACTTTATCACAAGTATATCTAGTTTTTTATAATTATCATCAATTACCATTATTAAGTAACAACACAAGACGTAAACTGTGAATCATAATCGCTTGCGCAGGAAACGGTAAACATTTTTTAACCGACGCACGTCAAGAAGGAGGTATTAAATTGAACTGTATTTTTAAGTGGCTTCAAAGAATAAGGAAATCTCCATTTGCCTCTATTAGTTGTATGCACGTTACGTTTTTTTTTTGTGGTCTCTTGTGTTTTCTTCCATTTTAATTTTCTAAAGATTAAAACCTCTTTTCTATCTTTGCCAGTTTGAAACCGATTTTGATATTTATTTTTATGAATGATAAAGTCTACTCCCTTGTTCATCTCGTATTAATATTATGATGAATAAAACCTTTTTTCTCTATAAAGCAAAAACACATCAAATACGCGATTTAAAATCATGTGTATAAAACACATGGTTTCGTATTCTAAATTCAAATATTATCATTTTTTTTTTAATTAATTTGGATTTATTATTTTATAACTGTAACCCAAGTACTTAACTTTTTTTTTAAATACCATTTATTGAAAATTTTTGTTTCTTTATTTCAGATACCAGTGGAAGAAGGCGTAAAGAGTGGACTAAACGCATATAAATACACATACCCTGAAAATATGTTGGACAATGGGCAATATATTAAGGAGAATAAATGTTTTTGCAGAAAAGGTAAATAAATATTTATTAACATTACAATCAGTCATCATCATTAGCATCGTATCAGCTGAACATAAGCCTTTCCCTAGGGGGGCTTTGCCAGTAGTTGCCACGCTTGGCAAACGGATTGGCAACCGCAGTTAGACTTTGGAGATGTTTTAAGAGGGACGTTGCTGTCTTATCCCTCGCCCTTCCCTAGTCGGCACCCATGGGAAAGGAAGGTGTGGTCTATTCTATGCCGGGACCACACGGGACAAAATAAAATCAGTGTTATTGTCAAATCTCCCCCTAAAAGTAATCCTAGGAATTTAAGTCATGTTCATGTCGACCGATTTTGATAACATTTCTATGGAGCCAATCTGTAAGTATATCCTTTCAGATAAAAAAAAAACTCTGATCGGTTTATAACTGACGGAGTTATGAGGTAACAGATATAAAAAAGAAATATTACCTCTTTAATACCTTAACAGAGAAATAACTCCCTTCTTTTTAAATTCAGTTTATAAATAAATAAATGCCAACAGATACTAGAAGGAAAGAAAAACATTATTTAGTTCTCAATGTCGTAATACGTTTCATTATATTATATCTAAATCGTCTATATTTCATAGATAGTCATCGTGGTGATATGATTGCAGGCAAATGTCTTCCCGCCGGTCTCATCGATGTGACTGACTGCTACTACGGGTTCCCCATCGCTCTCTCCTACCCACACTTCTACAAAGGGGATGATATACTCTTCAGCAAAGTCGAGGGTCTGACTCCGAACAAAGAAGAGCATGAGACCAGGTAAATATTTAATAAATAATAAAAAATAAATTACATGGCGCCTTTTTATCTTAAACTATCAGTTAGCATCAGTTTGCACTAAGAAAACTAGATAACTGATATATTTCTTAACTAATATTAACTTTTGGAAGTTACTTATAAATTACTATAATAACAGAGAATATATTAAAAATTCAAAATTCAAAAATCATTTATTCATGTAGGACATTTTAGCCGCTTATGAACGTCAAATTTTTACATTATAATTTTATTTTTTTCCCTACCGTCCAGTTCGGTATATAGATCCATAATAAAAACTATTAATTAGGATTTGTTGTCCGTCCGTCAAGCTGTCTGTCAAGACTCTATTTGATGTACATGAAATTAATATCATGTACTCAGGTCTGCAATCTCTTAAGGTAGTGTAAATATCAAGCTTCTGAATCGACACAATCCAAAGATATGGCCTTTTATGTGTCATTTGTATCGCATATTTTGACATTCGCAAATAGTAAAACCCTATAGGATACTTCCCGTTGACTTTGAATCGTGAAATTTGGCAAGAAGCAATATTATGTAGCACAAGTAAAGGAAAAAATCCGGAAACTATAAATTTGTAGTTATTTCACAAAACAAATTTAAACTTGATGATTTTGTACGGAACCCTCGTTGCCCGAGTCCGACTTACACTTGGTTTTTTTATGCAACTTAGAACAGCAATCAAGCTAACGACCCACCTCATAGAAAGTGGTAATCGTCGCCTTTAGATATGAGACCTATAAAATCAAAGACAGCTAAATCCAAGTCTGTCAAATGTTAAGGAAACTACAAAAAACTAATATTTTGTCAAGGATATGAAACGATATTCCATATTTTAAACCAGATTGAAAAAAAAAAAAATTGAATATTTGTAATAATTTGCATTTTAATTAATAGAACTTTTAATTAAGAGAAATATTTGAGTACAATGTGAAAATGAAATCGATTTTCCTCATATGAACAATGCCATGGGTATAACAGATTGTACTGTTTAGCCCATAATACCCTTCATACGTTGCCATTCCTGAGGACTAAACTGTTCTACCTCTGTACCTAATAATTCATTAAATATATTAATTGAATGTTTGTATTTATTTTAATTTTATTACGAAAGTGTTTCCATGATAGTTTCAACAAAACATAGCTGTCTTTTCATACAATTCTATTAAAATCATAATTTGAAGTCCACCGCAAAATTGTAAGCATGCAGTTTTTGCAAGAAAAAGTCCAATGTACAGATTTTGTGACCCTAAACAATTGCTTGTCATTTTCTTGTAGCTTCTGGATCGAACCGACCTCTGGTTTGCCTCTGGAAGTCAGCTCCAAAATGCAAATCAACTTGGCCCTAGAAGACTTATCAACGATTCACAACGTCGACAGGTTCTCCAATATGTATCTACCGATGTTGTGGTTTGATATTGTAAGTATAATATTTTATACAAATTCTAACTTCCGGGTGGTCCCAGCATAGAATGGGACACCCCTATCTTTACTGTAGATGTCGTAGTCGCCACTAAGGGGAGGCTTAATGGTCAAGGGATGGGCAGCAGCCCCTCTTAAAACATCACCAAAGCGTAACTGCTGTTCCCAACCCGCCAACCAAGCATGGCAATTACTGGCAAACCTTCCCTAAGAGGAAGGCCTTTGTTCAACAGTGGACACTTAACAGCTGATATGATGATGATGATTAGTTTTTTGCTGGTTACTTTCTACACGTGGATTTAAGAAGCAGGAATGAAAAATTATAAAAAAAAATACAGGAGCTCGCTCCAACCATGCTCCAGTTTTGCACATAGCAATACATTTAGGGATTCATTTTTATTTGTATACTTCTATACTAATTAATTAAATAGAAAATGAAAAATACAGATAGATCTCTATTGACATACATCAGTGACCACACATGACATTCAGTGTCATAATTCTCATCATGTATTCTAATAATGCCGTACTGATCAGTGTTACTAGCAATAATATCTTTCCATTAGCTGGCAATGTTGTGCCGACGTTGGTAACACAACGAACACGTTTAGTTGAAAACATTTTTCTCTACAGTTCCATTATTTTTCACTGATTATATATCAAGATGGATGATGAGATCACAGTGTAGGACAACCCTCTATTAGATGGAGTGACGACTCAAATGCATTACACGAAGTCAGTGGATGCAGATGGCTCAGAATCGTTTCGTGTGGAGGATGACTACATTTAGCAGTGGAGACATAATAACTGATGTGATGATGATGATGATGATGATGATGATGATTATGAGAGCTTGATAGTTTATTCATTATGTATTTTTAGTTTTTATTATCAACATAACAAAATTTCACTATAAAAATCTTTGTTAGGTATATTGGTAATGTCTTTAGCACTATTACCAGCTGGATCTTCGATTTTTTGCTATTCTAAACAATTATTAAAAAAATATATTTATTTTACAGAAATTGTACTCCTTGACTCCATCATTGGAACGACGATTCAATTTATATCTGAACATCTTACCAGTCGTCGAGCGAGCGGCTATGTACGTACTCTTCGGCATCGGGACCTGTCTCATCTTCGCCACCATCTACAATCTCACTTTCAAGATCATGTTTAAGTCCGTCAACAACAGAACAACAAGAAATATCGTTATCGGAAATCAATTTAGTTCTAATGAAAAGAAAAACAATAACACAATATACTCGCCCTGCGAAACACCCCTGAACGGTGTAGATTCTGATAGTTCTGATACACAATTCGATCCGGAGAGACGTCCTTCTTTATTAAAAGTTCACGGCGATAGATTAAAGGAGCTAAGCAGTAAACTAAGCGATAAAATGTACGATTCCGTGGGCACAGTCAAAGATATAGTTATGGGAGAACTTACACATGTGAAGAACATTTTCGATAGGAAAAGCTCGTTAAGGAATGATGCCAATGATCCATACAAAAGTGATTCTGGTGAAGAAATGATTCAGGGCTACAAAACAATAAAACAGTCAGACAGTGATGATGATTGTAAATATTTAGAAGTCATCGACGATGGTAGCGAGTTCGATACAATAGATTTCGATACTAACAATAGTAAACGCTTAAAAGATTTAGAGCGACGTGACAAAGAAACTATATTACATATAAAGGAATGAATGAATGTTGTATGAATTGGTTTGAATTCTGATATGATTCTGTCATTCACGAGTGAGAGTTTGAGGCTAAATCTTAGAAGTGTAGAATAGGTAGAGATTTTAAAGATTTAGAAATTAGTGCGAATTGCAAATCACAAATTAACAAATTAGACGATTGCAAAAATAATAAACTCTTGCTCATTTTTTAGGTTCATGAGTCATTGTTTGTACCTAGTAGTCAACTATTAGTAATCCATAATTATTAATATAATTGATTAAATCAATTGTTTAAAATGATTGCACCTGCAGGTGCAATTAAATTTTGTTGCATTTATATTATTCGTATTTATTTTAATTAAATATTATATATTTTAATTTTATGAACATCAAAATTAATATCATTATAAAATTTAGATGGATATCTAGTTATATATTTATTTATTTATTAATATGCTTTTATACATTCACTTATAGTTTAGATATTAGGTTTTTATACTTACAATGTATATTAAATCTATTTAATGACGGTATTCTCTCATAGAAGTCCAGAAGGATTATCATTAATCCTAACATGGCTTCGTGCTGCATTTATTTTTACTGCCGTTTTTAATATCATATTTTTATATGTATTTTATTATATTTTTTTAAATTTATCATATATTTTAAGAATATTTAAAATTGTTTGTGTATATAAGATGTGTATTTTAAATAATACTTACTAGTTAAAACAATTATCTATTTAGGATTATATAAAAAGCAATGTTATTGTAAATTTATTTTCTACGATATAGGTAATTTTAAGGTAGGAGTGATATCACAGAATACTTAATGTGATGTACCCTAATCGTCCTCATATTCAGCTACTGAGGGACCTTGTAAATATTTTTAGTTGTTTTATATTGAACATTACAAGCTGTGCCCACGACTTCGCCCGCTTTTTTAGGAAGAAAAACTTGCCTAGTTATCTATAAAAAATGCTAAGTTAAAGCCAAATTTTATAATAAAAGAGCCAATAAAGCACTAAGAGGTGATATTTCTAAGATTAGGAAACTAAGGGGGATTCTTATTATATATTTTTTTTTTGCATTAGTTTGGGATTTTTGGGAGAATTTATATATACATATAGTGAAAATAATTATGCTACGATATTCAAAATCTAGCATGGGAATGTAGAATAGGATTACTCATAAATTTCTAACTCGTATCTGAGCCCGATCCAAAATGAGCCTTATAGTAAGGACTTAAAGTCCTTAATCGAAGATCAATAAATCGATAGATAAAGACATTGACATGGACGCAAGGAGTTACGACAGGAAACTGCTGTACCTATAGAAAGTACCATACTGATTGATGCTGTTTTAATATTTAATTTTACTAATAAATATTACTTGTCATTCCCCCGGTCCTGAAAAAAATATAAACCACATATGTCCTATAAATCCTTAATCTATCGATTTATAAAGCATCAATCCCTAATCCAGCCCAGGCCTCAACTCTGTTTGGCATATAAATTCAAACCTCCAAATGACCGTGATTTATAACCGATCTGCTTCGTTTTACCAATCAAAACGACAATTATGTCGCAATGAATTTTAAATGTCCATCATTAACCTTGGTATTTACCATTTTATATTTCTAATCAGAAATAAGTATAGGTATGTTTAAGTTACTTTAGATACATGACTGATGTTCTTACTTGCTCAACTATTCGTAGCATTGTAGTCTTAATACGTAATACTAGTAACGCCATCTATCGGCAATATTGATTAGTATTTACAAGTGTTGCAATTGTAAAAATGTGAAATATGTATATAATATTTATATGTTTTTGTCATATTCATTTTTTATAAATTATAAAATTTTCTTGCTATGTTTATTTATTATTTATATACTATTCTTGTATTCTAACTTCATGTCAGGTGAAGAAAAGCTTACAGAACGGCCAGAAAAAAGTGAATGCCAAATGTTTTTATAATAATTACTCATTGTTAATTCGTGTTTTATATATATATATATATATATATTCAATATCCAATATGTTTTGGATTTAGAATTCTTAAAACATATCCAACACATTTTTGTAAATTAAAAAATTTATTATAATTAAATAAAATTATTTTTTCTAATTATACACTCTCGCTCACACTCATTCATACCTGGATTATGTAAAAAATATAAATTTTCTGTCCTGTAAAAAACTTTAAATTTCCATTAGATTGAAAAATTTTAAAGTTATTGTTGCCAGTACTTGTAAAATAGACTATTGCCGATAGATGGCAGCACGTGTTCGTGGAGAAACGCTATATGTAAGATTATGGTTGAAAAAATGGGATATATTCGAATTTATATTATATTATATTTGTTATCTTTTAACATGCTTTTACTTCATCATCGTTATGTCAGCTGTTCACTGCTGATCGTAAGCCTTCCCTATAAGTAGAATTTTGCCAGTAATTGCCACGCTTGGCAACGGTTGGCCGGTTTAGCCGGGTTGGCAACGACAGTTAAGCTTTTAGTGATATTTTAAAAGGGACGCTGCTGCCCAACCCTAAGCCATTAAGTTCTCTTAGTCGCTTCTTACAACACCCACGGGAAGGAAGGGGTAGTCTGATATGATGTGTAGACTTACCGTTTTTAATGCGTTTTTTACTTTAAGGCTGGTTTCATTGGGATTGTTCTTAGTAGTTAGACTACAGTAGTTAGATTCGAAGGCGTCTGCTCAAATATTACAATTAAATACGAATTTAAACTCGAAAGTGATTTAGGTACATAGAGATTTCTTATTTGATATATCCATATTCGATTAGTAACAAAATCAACGTAACCAACGGTATATTTTAACCCTTTGCACTCCTGCCTAACTCATAGAGGATACCGATAACTCCAGCACTAAACTAGTTACATACCTATGGTGTAAATAAAAAATGGACTCGTTACAATAAAACAAAACGTTTATTTCTTAGCTATTTTATAAAGGGCGCCGAGTCAGTAAAACAACGTATCGCTGTAGACGCGACAGTGGATTTAATGTTAACGTTTTAAAGTCGCAAATACGGCGACAAAGGATTGCAAAGGGTTGTAACTTGTACGTACCAAACAATTTAGCCGATCTTGTAATGTCAATAAATTGACATCCAAAAAGTCGTTGCAGTTAATCGTCATAGTCGTAGAATACTGAAGGATCTTTATATGTAATCTTTGTCAGATCCGTCGGTATTCTACGACTATGATACGTAATCAGTTTAAACAAAAATGTATTCACTTTCAATTAATAATTTACGTTACATTAATGTACATATTAATTAGAGATAATGTAACTAATTAATTATGTGTGTATATTTGAATAATTTGTATTGTAATTAAATAATTGTTTCATTTAATTAATTAGTTAATTATTGTATATTGAGATTGCCCTCTTGTAATTGGTGAGCCGCTATGAAATTTATTATTGCAATAAACACCGATTTTAATTAATTTTATTGTTTATTCTTTAACTCTATTCACCTTTAATTTTTAACAAATTTCAAATAAGTGTCTCCATACAAATACTTCGCTAAAAACAGGTTAACTTTTTTATCTATGCATGCATATACTGATAACCTGGTATTTATGGGGGAAAGGGTTTTAGTAATGAGGACGTTAGTCCCCATTGCTATCAATATACCCTATCAGGTCGACCTCCACGCGGTACCCTGGAAACCATCGTGACTAATTTATCGTTGAATTCGTCACTATCTATGGGCTAACTGATCTGCTTTTTTATCCTCACCAATCATTCCTCACTAGTACCCTGCCAGTGTATACCGATAGCGCAAGCGGGGTTATCATTCCATTATCATCCATTAAAAAACCCGGTATATACAATGAATACTAAACAGGTATGTAAGGGAAATTTTTATATTTTAATATCATAACTACTAATATATCCAACAACATACTTACAATTTCGTATTGTACATATACATCCTTACATTTTCGTATTGTACATATATACTGATATTCTCATATTGTACACATACATTCTGACATTTTCGTACTGTACATGTATATCCTAAAATTTTTGTATTGTACACATACGTACATCCTAACATTTCGTATTGTACACATACGTACATCCTAACATTTCGTATTGTACACAGACGTACATCCTAACATTTTCGTATTGAACATGTATATCCTGACATTTTCATACTGTACATGAATATCCTGACATTTTCATACTGTACATAAATATCCTGATATTTTCGTATTGTATCTATATTTACCTACAATATTTTGCTAATTAAAGTGTACAGGCGGTGGGAGAAGTTTTTAATAGATGTCAAATACGTATACTCGCCTAACGACTATGATAATCATCATCTATAAATACATAACAAAATTATACAGACTCCACAAAATATAGTAGAGTGATGATTGATAATGATGATAATAAAAAATAAATTAATGAAAACTTTTTTTATTAAAAACGTCACAAAACATCACAATTTATTATTCACCACCATTATTACTGCAGTATTATACAAACAGATGTAGTAAGGTTCATTATACAATATGTAGTCCAAGGGCAAGTTATTGTACAATACAAATCAATAGTATTCGAAGTCATTATGATAGGCGAGGATGTCCTGGGCCGTGTTGAACCAACCCCGTACGACATCAGTGTTCATTGTCCACCAAAAAATGTAGCCATAGAAAAACATTTGTACCGCTTTATCTAAGATTACCATTCTGTAAAGAAATATTTATTTATTTATTTTTTACTATCTTTTTTTAATGATTGTATAATACCTCAGTACAATTACTGAAGAAAGATTTGGTACCAGACTATAGTAGTTGTAAATATATTACGTGTAATGTATGTGTGTAAAATATTTACATGTGTACATGTACATATTTACATGTGTACATGTACATATTTTACACACCCTCCCACATACATACATTCAAAATACACTCTAGACACAGGGAGCACATTTTTTCACAATTTTTATTACTACTAATAGTTATAATTAAATGAATTAACTTTATATAAAATCAGCATTCTGTATGTAGCACTAAAAACTATGCTGAGCTAATATTATACTATGTAATGAGGGTTGAGCGCTTTTATCTGAGATACAGGCTTTATAACCTAGTTCAAATACAGATGTTTAAACTGATACAAATGTACAAATGAATTCGTGCCTACTTTTACTGTAATTTCCAGTGCTGAGTTTGTTACAATCATGATTATGCAATAAAGTTATTAAATATATTACGCCGAATAAAACGACATTTTTTTATGACACTTAGAATGGAAAACAAGCTGATGGCCCACCTGATGGAGAGTGGTAACATCGCCTACAGATACAAACAGCACCATGGACATAACAGAATACACTATTATGCCCATGGTACCCCATTGATAAGCATTGCCATATAATTATAAATAAACCAAATAATTACCTTTGATAATGGGCCTTAGCTTTAGGCAAGTCCTCCTCTTTTTCCCTCAACAAATATTTCTTGCCGCCAATGCAGCAATCCCTGAAGTACATGTGTTTGTCCACCGTCTCCATGTCGTAGTAGAAGTGCCCGTGATCTTCCTTCTTGATACAAGAACGGAGCTCAACTATATTGTTGTTTATGAATGTCCATTGCTTAGTTATAAAGTATCTGAGAGCCATGTTGGCTATATAAATCCTTCGTTGTACTTTTAACAGCCTGGAAATTGTTGTAAAGTGTAAATATAACAAATACTTATATACATACTAGCCGTTTCCCGCAGCGTTGCCCGCTTCTATGTAATACCCGTATATCATTTCCACACCTCAAATTACCCACCTTTAGTAGAAGTAAATACTTATTTGAAAATATTTTAATACAAATGTGGGGTACATTTAAAAATACTTAAACAAAAACTGACAGTATTATTTCCATGGTGTTACTGGGTACACCAGTACTGGGTACACTCGGTCAAGGTAGCAGATATGTGGGTTCGAATCCCATTATATCGAATTATCGAAAGTTATTATGAGTGAATGAATGCAAACTCTTTATGGTCCTGTTTCAAGTAATTTATTTATAGTAAATTAAAAAGAAAAACAATATGTACACAAAATAAATACTTAACTACATAAACATAATTACATAAAAGCAAGTTAAAAAGGCAACAATGGGAGACCTTATCGTATTATTTACATCTATAATTATTTAAATAATTTAGTACTTACATCGGTTTTTTACCAAGAAGCCACAACACAGTGTCAACAAGTATTGCAGGCAAGCAGTGAAGGAATAACACCTAAAACAAAACAGCTTGTTTTCTATAGAAATGTCTGTGTTTCTGCTGTGAAATAACTGTGCTTGATGGGTATCACCATATCAGCCCTTAACTGTCCACTGCTGAACATAAGCCTCCCCCATGAGTTTTGACAGTAGTTGTCGTGCTTGGCAGGCGGGTTGGCAACCGCAGTTAGGCTTTTAATGATATTATAAAAGGAACGATGAAATGATTGAAGGGTAAATGGCAGTTATTGTTTTTTATACAACTTAGAATGGCAAACAGGCTGACAGCCCACTTGATGGAAAGTGGTTACTGTCACCTATAGACATGAGCAGTACCATGGACATAACAGAGTACACTGTTTCGCCCATGATACCTCCCATGCGTTGCCATTCCTAAAGAATCAGGTGTTATTCCACTGTACCCTGTAAATCCACTGCCATATCCCACCCTTCAAACCGAAACACAGCCATGCAAACACAACTGCTTCACGGTAGAAACACGAAAAGGACAGATGTGCCCGAACAAACGACTTTTGTACCGAGTCTCATTCTGGTGAGTAAAATGACAGAGTATGAAGCTTTTAAGACCAATATTATTTCAGCCGTTAACTGTCCACTGCTAAACATAAGCCTTCACCATAAGGGGAGTTTTGCCAGTAGCTGCCACGCTTGGTAGGCGGGTTGGCAACCATAGTTAGGCTTTTAGAAATGTTTTAAGAGGGACGCTGCTAACTATCCGTCGCCCTCCCTTAATCGCCTCTTACGACACCCACGGGAAAGAAAGGGGTGGTCCATTCTATGCCGGGACCAAACCGTAAATAAATATACTAACCTTAAGGTAATGTTTTGTTGGAGATGTGGTGATAGAACCACCTACGCTCCACAGCGCATCATTTATGGGCATTACGTGGACTAGTTTTCTGCCAAACTCAACCATTTCGGCCATTGTGATGTTATTCAGTGTGCCCGCGCAACAGTTGTATATTGGTATATCATCTGTGATCTCCAACCTGAAATTAATAGGTACAACTCGTAATTGTAACTCGCTATTTTGTCCGCGCAAAATGATGAAATGTTTATACGCAATAACTCTAGGATATGGCCATATGAACCATGGGTTTTTTATTGACCAAGAGATCTTTTTAGTGGTGTTTTAGGATTTTTATGTGATTAAGAATTATATATATATATATATATATATATATATATATATATATATATATATATATATATATATATATATATATATATATATATATATGCAATATAATATATTTGGTTTTATTTATTTCTAGTCCGCCAACAACTTAAACATTAAAATTCAATTTTTGTTGTATTAAATGTTTAAATTTAAATAAATTAAACGAAATCTAATAAAAATATATAAAATAAAACAAAATTAATAAATAGGTCTAATAATTATGATTTAAATACTAAGCTAGTTTCATCTTATATAATTTTCAAATAAAAACACAATTACAATAAAATTTTATAATTATAAACTTGTTTCAATTTCAAATAAATAATTTTTAATGAAATTTTTTTTAAAACAAAATTAATATGAATTAATTATAATAATTTTAAATTAAAATATACAGTTTAAGTACTAGCTACTAAACAAGCTGATAAAATACTTATTAAAAATAATACCAATGTTTGGATTTGCTGAAAAAGAGACTCACGGTCGCCTAGGTACATTTGCTTTCCACTATCTTATTACTTTGTGTATTATTAGTGTATATAATAAACTAATAATAAATATATGATTTCTACATCACCCTGTACTCAAAATGTAAGTAAAAAAGAAATATTAATACAGATATAATGTTTCGATCAATCGAATTATGTGCCTTACTTTTTCGTTCCTCGCATCCAGGCCATGCAAATTATGGTCTTGATAGCAATATCTACAGGTATATAGTCGGCGATCAGGTCAGGATCAGTGTGCAGACTACGTAGTAAACCTGAAAGTTAAAGTAGTAGTTAGTAGTTTATTTATTTATTTAACACTTTATTACACCAACATTATAGGATTTGTTGAAGATTTTTCGATAAATAAAGTGTAATATAAAAGGTTTTTTTGCTAAGCAATCTCTTTCAAACAATCTTTGGGTAGAAAAAATTAAAGAATAAATAGGTAAGTGGCTTAATTATATAAAGAAAGAAAATTAATTAGTTTTTGACTTTTGACCACAACAGAATATCAGTGTTTTGCTCTTTTGAGAGCAAAGCAACAAACTGAATTGTGACCATTTTGTGTTACTGTGGCACACGCACGAAAAATTTTGTTACCTCTTTTATGTAAGTACATTTTTTTTCCTTTTTTTGTATATGTTTTGTTTTATTTCTTTTTTTATGTACGTACCAATGTTTAATGTTATTTGTGTGCTGTAAGTAATGCAAATAAATTACCTATCTGTTTAATTAATAGATTTACAAGGAGGATGTGTAAAAGAAGAATTACGATATAGATTTATCGAGCACGAATGAACGGAGATATCGGTAGTTTTCTTAAATAATTATCCCACGGGAACTCATTAATTTTCCAAGACTGAAAGTATCTAAAATGTTGACCGGAAATATATAAAGTACCATGCAAAATTTCATTTAAATTGGTCAAACAGTTTCTGAGATTAGCCCGTACAAACAGACAGAAAAATAAATATTTTTGTTTGTTTATACGGGCTAATCTCTGAAACTGTTGGACCGATTTAAATGGAATTTTGCACAGTGATACCTTATATCTCCGGTCAACATGTTAGATACTTTTAATCATGGAAAATTAAAGAGTTCCCATGGGATGATTAAAAAACTATAGTAACTTATACAGCTTAGTACACAACCTACTTAAGTAAAGTCACTTTGACCAAAGTTGTTAATTTTGGTCCAATATTCCCAGACATAATAAATATGTACCTACATACATCGATACAAACTAAACAGGAATAATAACAAATGCCACGCGGACAAAGTCGCGGGCATAAATAATATTGTGTCCTCACCTTTACCGCTGGCAATCATCAAGCCGACTGGTCCATTGAAGTTGTCCAGCCAACCAGGCATTGGCTCTTTGAGACTTGAAATTACTGAAAAATAAAATAAACAATTTCACCATATAGACCTGTCTAAAATGATCCATAGAGTTTGTCCACTATCTCTTAATATGGAGACACCCATGTCCCATGTTGTTGCATGTTTAAAAGGCAATAAAAGTATATAAAAACATAATACCCCATTTCTCAGTGTTGCAACCTCCCTCCCTCTATTTACCAGAGGAAGATTTTGTACAAGTCGTTTGCTTGGGTACCTCTATTCCATTCGTGTTCCTACCGTGAAGCAGTTGTTTGCATGGCTGTGTTTCGGTTTGAAGGGTGGGATATAACAGTGAATTTACAGTGTACAGAGGAATAACACCTGATTCCTCAGGAATGACAATGCATGTAGGGTATCATGGGCGAAAGTGTATACTCTGTTATGTCCATGGGCTTATGTCTATAGGCGACGGTTATCACCAAATGGGTTGTCAGCTTGGTTGTCATTCTAAGTTGCATAAAAAATTAACTAAATGTACAATAAGAATAATAATAATTTATTTGTTATATATATATATATTAGTAATAAATACACCGCCTACTTAATTTCCTGCTTGCCTCATGGTTGACTAGTAAAGAACGCCATTAGATGTTAAGTCCACCATATCTACGCTTACTTATATTATATAATTGTACATTGAAGTTTAACCCTTCTTTGCATGATTTTTTTTTATTGGTGAAATAAATCGAGGTGATATAATTCATGTTCAAAATTAAAGGAAAAATGGTTAAAAAAAAAATAAAAAAATAAATTTGACAGCTAATGGACATTAAAAAGGTATCCAGACACAATCAACTTTAAAAAATTAACATTCAATGTTATATAAATTTTTTAAGGGTTAAATAATAAATGTATAAAAAATGTAAATGACAGTGTTACTTGTATTTATTGATTGATGCATTTGTTTCATTATTATTATCGGATAATCATTTTGTCGGCCTTAGTAATATAGCGGTTTCACATGCCGCCTCGCCTTCCGGTGGTCACGGACTCGACCCCAGAACAATACAAATATTTATTTATATTCATGAGCATCATCTTTTGTATTGGCCTGGGTGTTTTCTATGAATAATAGGCATTTATTTACAGCATAAGTATTTAAATACATGCATCACTTGTCTTGTATCCATAGTGCAGGCTTTCCTTAGTTTTAAACTAGACGGTACTGTTTATTAGGTCCAATACTAAAGAATTGAAGTTTGCTGCTGAACATAGGCCAAAGAATGGGCCATCCCTTCCTTTCCCGTGGGTGTCGTAAGAAGCAACTAAGGGAACTTAATGGTCGAAGGATCGGGAGCAGCGTCCTTCTTAAAACATCACCAAAGACTAACTACGGTTGCTAACCCACCTGCCAGGCATGGCAACTACTAGCTGTTAATAATGCGGACTACCAGTCCCATTGCTAGCAATATACGCGGTCAGGTCGACCTCCTCGTAATCCCCCTGGAAATCATCGTGCTAAATTCCAGATGTATTCATCACGATGAGCTAACTGATCTTCCTTTCATCCGTCACTATTGCTCTGCCAATGTATACCGTTAGCGCGGGTGGGGTAACCATTCTATTATCACCCATTAACCCCTCCCCCCTCTCCTTATGGGGAGACCTATTTTCAGAAGTGGATAGATAACGGCAAATATGATGGTGATGGTGTCATTACCTATAGACGGTCGGGCGATGACGGCGGGCAGAAGACCTTTTTGTTCGTATACCACATGTTCCGCCAGTTGCTTTGTGAACGCATAAGTGTTGGGAATACTGTCTATGTACCTGGAATGAAAAAAAGATAAAGATAAATAATAAAGTTCAACAAAGTAACATGATTTCAGGCGAATTTTTACGACAATTTCAGGCCAATCACCATAAATCAGGCCATGTATCATAATTTAAAGCCTTCAATATATCTAAGACTATTTGCCATAACTCAGGGCATTCATTATATTTTTAGGCCTTTCTCCATAGGTACCTCTAGCCATTCATCATGTTTTCAAACTATTAACGATAACTTAAACCAGTCATCAAGTTTCCAAGCCTTTCACCATAACCCCGGCCATTTATTATATTTTCAAGCCATTCACGATATCTCAAACCACTTATCACGTTTTCTGGTCACTCCTTTTAATTTCCGGCATTTATAGTCAAACAGAGTTGACGTTTTTAATCAAACAGAGTTAAGTCAGAGATTTAATAGTCAAACATTAGTTGTTAACTTTAACAGTGTTCCAATCATGGCCGTAGCTAGGGGGGGGGCATTCAGAGGCAATGTCCTACCTTGAAACGCCCAATGCCCTATCTTAAAATGAAAGACCCCAAGAAAATTAGACAGATTCGCTTTTTCGAAGACAATTACGGCTTCTGTGCTACCAAAACGTTCTTTTGCCCTATCTTAAACTTGGGTCTAGCTACAGCCCTGATCCCAAGTCATTTTCTGACTTGGGACACGGTTAAAACCATCTCATTTTTTTAATGGATGATAATGGAATGATAGAACCCGCGCTATCGGTATACACCGGCGGGCCACCAGTGAAGGATGATAGGTGAGGATGAAGTAGTTCAGTTAGCCCATCGTGACGAATTCAACAAGAATTGTTCAAAGCTGGAATTCAGCACGATGATTTCCAGAGGGAACCACGTGGACGACGACCTAATAGGGCATATTGCTAGCAATGGAGCTGTCAAAGTCCATTGCTAACAACCCCTTTCCCCCTCCCCCCTCATTTTAGTAGGCAGCTCTAAAATGCGTTTTCCTATATATCTTTTTCACTCTACAAACTTTCCCTAGTCGCTTATCTATTCTTAGCTTATACTAAAACAAGCCATGTAGTCCCGGCATAGAACAGACCACCCCTTCCTTTTCCATAGGTATCGTAAAGACGGCTAATGACAATGGTTGAGGGATGAGCAGCAGTTTCCCTTATGAAACTACTCCAAAGCCTAACTGCGGTTACCAACCCACTTGCCAAGCACTTATTACAACTGACGAAACTCCCCAACAGGGGGAGGCCTATATTCAGCAGTGGACAGTTAACTGCTGATATGATGACGACGATAATGACTAAAATAAGCACAGTACAGAACTTACTTAGGAGTCAACGTTTGTAACGTATGGTCGTCGAGCTCGTCACATATTTGCAAAGTGTCGCGCCAGTCCGCGTAAGGAGGGTAGATCTTCTCTTCTATCACGTTTCTGTTGCAATTAGAATATGACGTTGACACGTGGATTAGAGCCTGGAAAGGGAAATGTTTTATGTCACTTTCTTTTTAACTAACTTCAAAAAAAGGGGGTTCTCAAGTGGGTTGATTTTTTTTATCACCTCATAACTTCGTCAATTGTAAAACGATTTGGATTTTTTTTTTCGTTTTATCTGAAAGGATATACTTACAGATTGGTCTAGTAGAAATTTTATCAAAATTTATTTAGTAGTTTAGTTTTCAATCAATGGTTTTGCTACAATTGAAGTAGGTTCTTTTTTTTTTGTGGAACTTGATCTTAATTATTAACTTATATTTTTAATATTTTATGTCTTTAAAATGTTTATTCTATATGTGTATGTAATTTTTGAGTATTAAATTTAAAAACGGAATTATTAAAATTGAGTCGAAACCGTTGCACGTTATCAAATGTGTACATTTCCAGTCACGCCACGAATAATATATTTTTGTGATGTATTTGAAAATTCCGCTGTTATGTTAGTACATATGTCTGATTTTTGGGAATATTTTTTAATCTAAAAACTATTGCAAATCGACCCTAGTTCTAACCTAATTTATGATTGTTATTTCAGAGTGCAGAATAAAATTGTCATTGGCAATAGATTGAATTGATATCAATATTAAATTCAAGAATAGACCTGATGTTTTTTTTTAAATTTATACTTTAATTGAGCAGACAACGGTACACGCTTTTTGTACACTGTTATTTATTTTTTGTTTGTTTTGTTCTTGTTTTGTATGCTACTGTGTGAGTTGCATGATTCTTTGAATAAAATTATTTCTTTCTCTCTTTCTTAATTAGGTTTAACATAGATGCTCAAAAAAATGTAATCAAATCAAATTGTTTTGTTACAAGATTTTATTTCTAACAACATTTTATTTTTTCGAATTTCCAATCGGAAGAAACACATTTAAAATTTTGTATTTCACTTACAGACAGATCTCTGACCTCCTTCGCAAAATCTATCAACTTCTTCGTGCCACCGAGATTCATGCCAGCAGCAAACGCCAACGAGTCATCAAATCTGTTCAAAATAATTTTATCATGAACTAAATAATATCAGTTATATTATTTAAATTAATATCATCATCATAATCATCATAGCAGCCTTTAACTGTCCACTGCTGAACATAAACCATCGCCATGTGGTCCCAGCATAGAATAGGCGACCCTACCTTTCTCGCAAATGTAGTAAGAGGCGCTAAAAGAGGGCGAAGGATGGACAGCGTACCTCTTTAAACATCACCAAAGCCTAACTGCATTTGCCAATTCGCCTGTCAAACATGGCAACTACCGGCAAAACCACCCTTTTTGAAGGACACCTGTGTTCAACAGTGGACAGTAGACGACTGATATGATTATAAAACGTCATGCTCTTTAAAGTACAAGCCGTAACACCATTAATAGTAGGTGATTTAATCTAATAACATACTAGTCAACTGTTATTGGAAACTTAACCAACAATTACAACGTTAGAAACCATATACCTGACACTGGCTGCGACGTGGAATATGATGTTGACTCGGTTGACTAGAAGAGCTCTGTCCTCTTGTGATAAACCTGAAATTATGTACATAAATATTAACCCTAGAATCAGAAATGATTTGACTGACGACGGTTAAATTCCCCCACAATGCAAATATTTGTATTAAGGAATATGTCTAACTAGTTCTATCCCGAGGCCTCGCCCACTTTAGTACATAAAATATCCTGTGTTAAATTATGATACTACCCATGTACTAAATTTCTTTAAATCTGTTTAGTAGTTTTTTTTGTTAAAGAGCAATAAAATATCTATTTATCTATCTATCCATTGTTACAAATTTTCACATTTATTATATTAAGAGGATTTATAATTATCCCAATATTTTCTATATCAATAAAAACAACTAACTAGTAAATAAATACATAACAACTTCATAAATCTATATATAAAAATAAAGGCGTGTTACGCAGTGTATTTATAAACGAAGGCGTATAACGCAGTGTATTTATAAACGAAAGCGTATAACGCAGTGTATTTATAATCGAAGGCGTGTCACGCAGCGAATTTATAAATGAAGGCGTATCACGCAGTGTATTTACAAACGAAGGCGTGTCACGCAGTGTATTTATAAATGAAGGCGTATCACGCAGTGTATTTACAAACGAAGGCGTGTCACGCAAACGAAGGCGTGTCACGCAGTGTATTTATAAATGAAGGCGTATCACGCAGTGTATTTACAAACGAAGGCGTGTCACGCAGTGTATTTATAACCGAAGGCGTGTCACGCAGTATATTTATAAATGAAGGCGTGTCACGCAGTGTATTAATAAACGAAGGCGTGTCACTACTGAACGGATTTAAATAAAATTTGATACACGGATAGATAATATCCTAACTTATAACATAGAATACTTTATATTCATTTGGGTGAAGCTGCTGGATGTTTATATAGCCATCACGTACTAGTGTTGCTTGGTTTCTCATAACACACAGTGTCCTAGGTTGAGAACCAAGAGAAGACTAAAATTGTTTTTCTTATACCACAATGGTGTCAAACAAGCATACAACCTATCTGATGGTAAACGGGCACTGTAGCCTATGGACGCCTAAAACACTAGGAGTATCACGTGTACGTTGCCGACCCTGACGAAACCTTAATATATCCTTTTTGAAAAATTCCGTACTGTAGTCTCTAGGGAAAACGTCGACAGGGAGCTCTACAACCTGTGCGTTCGTGTCAATTGTGTAATATTACTTGACAAATCACAGAAAATTCACAACGGTTTACAAGTTTAGATATTACTATGATCCTCACCTAAGCCAGGCTCCATTACATCGCCGGAGACAATGAACACCTTCTCCATGAAGATATTTGGCTTCTCCGCTCTCAGGCGGTCGAAACACTGAAAATATGCAATAGAAAAATGATGAATCTAAAACTTTCAGATTGTTTAAACATATTTAAATTTTAGTATAAGACTTAACGAAAAAATGGGGATATAAAAACACATATATTTAATATATATATAATAGATATATCGTAATTTTAGTTTTTCTATTTTGTTATTAAACTGTCAAATCTTAAAATTATTAAACTAAATTTCTATTGTAGGTAGGTATTAATTTATTTTAACATTTATTATATAAGTAGGTAGGTATTATATTTATTTATAGTATATGTATTTACGTATATATATATATATATATATATTATATATATATATATATATATATATATATATATATATATATATATATATATATATATATATATATATATATATATATATATATATATATATAACCAGAGGGAGACTTTGTACAAAAGTCGATTGCTTAGGTACCTCTGTCCCATTCGTGTTTCTACCGTGAAGCAGTTGTGTTTGCATGGCTGTGTTTCGGTTTGAAGAGTGGGATATGGCGTGAATTTACAGGGTACAGAGAAATAACACCTGAGTCCTCAGGAATGGCAACGCATGGGGGGTATATAGGCGAAACAGTATACTCTGTTATGTCCATGGTACTACTCATGTCTATAGGCGACGGTTACCACTTTCCATCAAATGGGCCGTCAGCTTGTTTGCCATTCTAAGTTGTATAAAAAAATTTGTTTATGTATTGATTAATGTTAATAGTAATTCGTTTTCTTAATAATAATAGTTGTAGTATTTCAACTGCCCGCTAACGACATGCTTTTTAACTGTATCGGGTTGACTGGAAGAGATTTCTGTCAGGGATAAATCAACCCTTGCTCACAACATTTATAAATGCATTAACAATGTGATTTACAAGTGCAATAAAGAATAATATGTATATATATTGTAAACGTAAGTAATTTAAACGCGTAGTATTCAGTCCCAATACATAAATTTAAATATGACAATAAATAATTTTAAATGCAAACAATTAAAAACAGGTATGTAGGTACAATGAACCTGAAATTGTGAACCGTTAAGTCCCGAGATTGTTTTTAAAATATAATAATAATTATTAATATGACAACGACTCCCCCTCCCCCTTTGTACTACCACAATTGTTTAGTCCTAAATTCATAGTGAATAAGCAGAGCTATTTATAAATTGTTGCCCTTATGGAATGCCCACATTTCGCCGAAATTTCGTTTATTAGAATACAAAGTTGCAGGGAGCGAGTCTACCGCCATCTCTCGGATTAGATAGATAGATAATTTATTTACATTACTTACAGCACACTAATAACAATACAAACATACACATGATACACAGTAAAAGAGATAAAAGAATAAAATACAAAAAGCAAAATATTTAAAACAACAATTTCCTTTTTTCCAAGCGTATGCCATTAATTCGTAATTATCGATGTTTACCATCACTATAGAGTTATTCGTAAAGAATTACAATTTATTAAGTTTTGGGTATAAGTTAAATTCGAAGTGACATCCTTCGAAGTCTATAAAGTCGAGATAACAGCTACTGCCGCTTTAACCGCCCTCTATAGACTACTATTGAATGGTAACTTTTAAGCTGTTGCTAAAAGAAAAAAATCGATTTCACATTTATGACTATTGTATTTATGTCACGCAAGCATGCTACCAATTTTAATCATTCTTTTTGCTATATATAAGGTTGGCACCTGTGTTAAAACCACATTAGTTACCATTTATTTTTGTGAAAACCATTTTTAAATTATGTAAACATGAAATATGAAATTTAATAACTTTTTTATGTAACTTCTAATGCCAAAGAAGCTAATGATCCACCTGAAAGTGGTAACCGTCGTTTATAGCCATAAATAGTGCCATGGACATAACAGAGTATACTGTGTCGCACTAATATCATAAGGTATGTATTACTTACAAATGACTCATACACTTTGGAGAGCCTATCTTCAGATTTGACACCTCTCTTGCTTCTCAGTAATATATATATTCTGTCTAGATCAGAACATGAATACAGAAGCTTCTCGATAAGAGCTTTTCCCATAAAACCTGAAATAATACAATACTGATATACTTCATTTCAGCCTTTAACTGTCTACTTTGGAACTTAATAAATTTGGAACTTAATAAAAATAATAATAAATAATAGCATAGTAATAATATGATGACATACTTTCATATAAAGGTCAGGGATGTTCTTCTCTAAAAATCTGGGCATACAGGTATGCGACCCCGGCCTCCCAAGTCGTTGCAGTGTCCCAGTCCTTCCCGCAACTGCAGTGTCTCCCCCTTTCCTTTCCCACATACCATAAGTCCCTTATTCCTCTTATTTACCAATTTTCTTTACGCATTTCCAACGATCCCTTCTTTTTTTCCTTAATCCTTTCCTCCAAACCGTAGGTGGCGGAAACCACCAACAAATGCATTCCCAAAAAGAGTTGACGTCAGGCAGGCGGCCAGTCGTAAAACCAAACCATCCAACCATCTTTTTATAATATGGATAAAAAACTTATTTCGCCGACCCCATATAATAATTGGGATAAGGATAGGAGGAAGAAAAGAGAGTTTCATATAAGGGAAGTTTTGCCAGTAGTTGCCACGCTTGGCAAGTGTGTTGGCGACCACAGTTGGACTTTTAGAGATGTTTTAAGAAGCTGCTGCCCATCCCTCTACCATTAAGTTCCCTTAGTCCCTTCTTATGATGATATATGATGAAAAGTAGTAGGATACCTAAACTAACTAGTATGAAGTACGTCCTCATTGTATACACAACAAGGCTAACATTCAGTAAGTACCTCTGTTTAAATCGATTTGATTGTTTGAAACACTTGACCTCTATTATCATAAAATGGGTACATGCCACGACTTCGATCTACATGCCTATTTGTATTGTATCCACACCAGTTTGTCCTCAAGACACGGTCAACTAAGTATAACGCCCAGTTTATGTTCCTTCCTGACCCGACCGACATTCATCATACCATCTTATCAGCCTTTAACCACTCACTGCTGAACATAAGCTCCCCCTTGGAGGATTTTTCCAGTGGTTTCCATGCTTGACAGGCAGATTTGGCAATCGCAGGTAGGTTTTAGAAATCTTTTAAGAGGAACGCTGCTGCCCATCCCTCATTCTTCCTTAGTCGACTCTTAAGACGCCCACGGGAAAGGAAGGGGTGACCTATTCTTTTCCGTGGCCACAGCACGGCCAGATATTATCCCGTAAAAATTCCATTTTATGGTTCTGTACTAAGAATGTACCAAGTAACTCTAATGGTGCTTGTCCGTCCATCCGTCCTTCTGTCTGTCCTAACATTATATCTCAGCATCCACTGACGTTATCGATTTGAAATTTTAAATAATTACACATATCAGTGGCTCGTATATGTTGCAATGGAAATAATTGAAAAAATATTTTTAATGAGTAACCTGAAGCTCCAGGGATTCCGCCATAATTACTATGTCATCGGCAAATCGAAGGTGAGTGATGTATTCACCGTTGATATTTATACCATATCTTTTCCAGTCCAATAGTTTAAAAACACCTGTCGATGCAGCTGTGAAGAGTTTCAGGGATATGACGTCACCCTGTCTTGCATCTTTCTTTACTGAGATGGGTTTCATACTCTGGTTCTGTACTCGGATAGACATCGTAGCCTACAGTTAATCTGGCACCGCTGGAGGGACTGTAGTACCGCCCATGTCTCAAACGAATCAAAGGCTTTCTTATAGTCCACAAACGCCAGACATAATAGCAGATTATACTCTTCGGTCTTCTATATAATCTGCCGTAGCGTATATATGTGCTCTATGGTGCTAAAGCCTTTTCGGAAGTAGCTTGTTATGGTAGCTGGAAGTCGTCGAGTTTGCGCGTAAGACGATTGATCAGGACTCTCGAAAACAGTATGTAAACGCAATTCAGAAGGGATATCGATCTATAGTTCTTCAATCGGGTATTATCACCCTTCTTGAAGCACAAGACTACCGCGCTTCTGCTCCGCGATTCTGGCGTAACACCGTTATTGATGACGAAATTAAATAGCTTCTGAAGGACTACAAGTACCGGTTTTCCACCCGCTCTCAGAAGCTCTGCTGTAATTCCGTCCTCTCCAGGTGCCTTGCCTTTTTTAAGCTATTTGAGAGCCATTTCAATCTCCTGCAAACTGACCTCTGGGATATCATCGGTATAGTGTCGGGTAAATTTATTTATTCGCATTGATATGCGGTGTTAACGACGTTGTGTACAGCTGTCCATAGAACTTTTCAATCTCACTCAAAATCTCAGGTGTGGCGGAAATTATATCACCAGTGTCGGTCTTCAACTTTGTCAGTTCGTTTCGCCCAATAGCCAAATCTCTGGTGAACACTTTGGAGCCTTGGTCACGCTATTGCCTGTTCAATGCATATAGTATTGAACTTGCGTATGTCACGTCGAATACATTCGGAGATTTGCCTATTAAGCTGCCTACATTCTGACGCAGACATTGGAGACTGGGACCATAATTCACGCCGTTTCCTTATAAGATTTAGAGTTCGATCAGAAAGCTTTTGGGTTCTTTTTGAGCGCTGGGGCTTGCAGAATTTAGCTCCCACTGCTTGGACACTTTCCACTAGCTTATTGTTGATATCGTCCGCTGTTTCTCAGTTCACCGGGCACGGAAAGCGATTCGACAATTCGAGTTGAAAACTTTCGAGATTCTCAATAAGGACATAGGAACGTCGGAGCCTAAACTTCATCAAACAAAACCTTTCTAGCCTAATATTCAGGTTCAATGTGCCTCTTACCATTCGGTGATCACTGTAGGTTTTAAACCTGTTGATCACTGAAACATCATTGAACAAATGGCGATTTGTCGTCATAATGAAGTCTATTTCATTCTTTGTATATGCGTCGGGGCTAGCCCAGGTACATTTCCTGTGTGGCCGCTTTTGGAAAAAGGAGTTCATCATAAAGAGTCCCTCCTTCTTCATGAAGTCAGCCAACTGCTGTCTCCTAGGATTTCGCTGTCCGATACCGTAGTTCCTCATTTTTGTCTCAACATTTTTCCTTGTGCCCAGTTTAGCAACAGTTTAGCATTGAAGTCTCCCATCAATACTGTTTATTGAGTATTAGAGGAATGTATAGCTCTTGTAATATCCTCATACATTGCCTTCACCTCAACATCGGAGTATGTCACGGTCGGCGTATATACCTGTATAACCTTCAGCGAATACCTTTTAGTAATTTTGCGTATCAGGTATACCACCCTTGCAGACACACTCTCGATCTTTAGACCATTATTAACAAGAGACTTACTGACAATGACCCTGACACCACCGTGAGACGGTTCTTTCTTTCTTCTTCTTTATACCAGTATAACTTGTTCACTTTTACTTCCAACTCCACAATCTTTTCATTGGTCCTTAAGGTCCAATTGCTGGGGTTGGTATCGGAATCTCTGCCGGAGATTCTTAGCACCCCTGCTCCGCCGTTACCGTGACCGCTACCGAGAAGAATAGCGGAGCCACCGAGGACTGAGGGCCGTTTTTTAAGGTGTTTACCATTGGAAGGTTTTGTTAGTAGTTGCCACGCTTGACAGGCGAGTTAGCAACCGCAGTTAGATCTTTTGAGATGTTTTAAAAGGGACGCTACTGCCAATTCCTCGACCATAAGTTCCCTTAGTCGCCTCTTACGACACTCACGGAAAAACTGTCTATGTACATAAACATAATACATCAAAAAAATTTTAGAGACCCCAAGTTACCAAAACTATATATGGGAATAAAATTACAAACTCACCAGATCCTCCCGTTATGAATATGGTTTTCCCTCGAAAATATTCAGTTATCGTCGGAGCATCGGTCATATCTCTTTCCAAAAATCCCATTTTTCAACACTAAAACATGAATATCGTATAAAATGTTTATTAATTAATGTCCTTTAGAAACAGAAAAATTTATTTTTAACTTCCAAAATCAAATTATTATTCTTATAAAAAAAAGAATGTTTCAATTAAAACAACTAACATTCCAAATTTAAACACTGAAAACCCTATACGTTGACTTAGAACAACTGCACTGTTTAGCGAAAGGTTATGTCAATAAAAAAAAAATATTAGCTATTCCGACGACAAGTGAAGCGGTTGAATAACCCTTTAAATTTCGAATGATGTTTTCAAAAACATTCCAAATTTAAATATTTGACAAAACAGTCTCTAAGTATTGATCACCTAAATAATAGTCTTCCAATTGAAAAAGCGACCAATTCCGACGGTCAAGTGTCGCGTATTGTAATTCAACGCGGACTGATGACTGGCTTTTTCGTTAAGGCGAAGCGTGTGTTGAATTTTAATATTTCTAAACTGTTTTTGTTTGAGTTAGAATTAGATATATTTTATTGTTTAAATGTATAGAATTAATTACATATAGTCTGTTTTATAATTGACTCTATTTAAATGTAAATCTCCGTATGAATGTAATCAAAATGAGCCCTAAATTATAATTATTTATTAAATATGAAAAGTGGCAATGGTAAATTTTCATATAATTTGAATGGAAAGATTGGTACTTGTATTTCGAGATGAATGATGTAACTGTAACCGGCGAGCGTGTATGAAAAGATTGATGAATGTAGAAGAAGCGAAAGAGGTTTGTTTAAATCGAAGCATTTGGCGTTCCATTGTTTGTACCTACCCTAATGGGAGACAGGCGTGACAGATATGTATGTACGTATGTATGATAAGGTATCTAGTACATTCATTATCACAAAAGGCTTTTTATAATATATATATATATATATATTATAATATATATATATATATATATATATATATATATATATATATATACAATCACTCAGCTCTCAATAAGCGAAAATAATTTAAGATCGTATACCCCCAAAAAAGCGACTTCAATTATAGTAAAGTCAGTTATTTTGCTTCAAAAACTAAACTATTGAGCCGATTTCGATAAAATTTCTATAGAACAAATCTGTAAGTATATCCTATCAGATAAAAAAATAATTTTCCAAATCGGTTCACAACTGACTTTGTAACATAAGGTAACAAGTGAAAAAAATACAACCGAATTGAAAACCTTTTTTTTTAAAGTTGGTTAAAAAGGTCATACTACTCTAACTATCCATAAAAATACGATTTACAGTATTATCATGGCAAGTATACAAATTTTATATCCTTCGATATAAAAAAAAAAAAACTTATTCGATCGTGAGTAAACGACGAGATGTGTTTTAGATAACCTACAACGACTTGTTTAGTAGATTATATGTTAGTAAAATCCTTGATTATCAATTCCTTAATTCATTCCTAAAATTTAATAATGAATTAAATTAATCACTTAATTCCTTAGTTTCATTCATTAATTCCTTAATAACTGTTTTTTTAATAATAAATAGTGATAAATTTAAAATAAAACTAATACGCGGGAAATGCCTGTTGATTGCAAAAACAATTCTGAAAATCAATTTAGTATTAATGGCAAAGTCGTGTAATGTAGTCGTAAAAGTCGCTTAAAAATTAAATTTTGCATCAGTCATTAATTAATTAATTATTTATTTATTCTTTATTGACATGGTATGATATTACATAGTGGTATGATATTTATGTATATGTAAAGGGAAAATGTGTTCCATTGACGATTAGCTGCACTATATGCCGTCTCATCAAGCACTTCACGCTTTATTAGACGGGCACAAGGATAGAGGAATAAGGAAAATCGTTATAGGACAGACCATTCTAGGATCTTAGATATTGTCTACAGTAACAACTCGTAGCCTTGTCTTCAGGTGAGGTTTGTATGTGAGTTATCAAAAATAGTATAACATAGTCTAAAAGTAGCGTTAACTACATTTCATCTAAAGTGTTGATATTAATGAATTTTCATCCAACTTAAAAAAGAAACAGGTTCTCAATTCGATTGTATTTTTAAGGCTTTAATTTACGATTTGAGAAATTATTTTTTAACTCAAAGGACACACTTATAGATTGGTCTCATACAAACTTTATCGAAATCGGTTTTGTTCAACAATTGAAGTAATTTTTTTTTAACACAATTTAATTATGTTTAGTTGTAGCATTCAAACACCTATTAATTATGAAACTGTAATTTCTAAAGGATATATTTGGACAATTTTGTATGGAAGAATTGTCGCCCGCGATATGCGTTACGGTAATTGTACTCAGCCAAAACACAGTTTTGCAATATGGTATACCTATTAGCAATTCATAAATTTATTTTTATTGTTGCGTTAATGCACTAGAACGATATATTAAATTATTTATTAAAACCAGCCATAGAAATTGCGAGCAGGTAATATACGTTCACGAATATGATAGATAACCAATCATTACTACATTTAACCACTTTTTAAACAGCCTAATGAACCAGCCCACCATATCGTTTTTACCTTAAATCCGCGTACAGCACCTAGTCATAAAAAGAACACAGAATATCACTTCATTGGCTTGCGTTTACGTTAATTACAGTTTTAAATCAAAACACTTTGCTTTTTTATACAACTCATGTTTCTAATAAACTTCGAACAACAATAAAAATGCCTTTAAATAATCTATTAACACTCCACTAAAATTAAGTTCATTTAATTCGAAATTTTGCACACGATTTCCACATATCGCCTCACCACTTATCGCCCATACCAGTCGGATATCTATATTCATTACGAGCGGGTACTTCTTTTCGATATTATATATTGAATAACCGATATGTAATGTATCTGTTATTAGGCAAATATATATATATAGATACTCTAACTACAATATATAGTTATTGCTACATATTACCAACCCTTACTCACCACTAATAAATCTTTATTTAAGTACACAAAGAATCGAGAGATGGAGCCACGGGATTTGCTTCTAATACAAAGATTTCGTTCTAATACGATATCTCTCTTACGTCTAATCATAATGGCTGCGAAATCAATAATGCCAACACTTGGAGATAATTATTGTAAGAGCCAATTGTTAAACGGCTAACTAACCTTGCCGTGTTGGTAATCGTTCGAAGATAAATCTGGGTCAACTATTTAAAATACTATTCACACAAAATCGTAAACTCACAAACGGTTTTTTATGCAACTAAGAATGGCAAACAGGCTAACAGCCCACCTGATGGAAAGTGGTAACCGTCGCCTATAAACATGAGCAGTACCATGGACATAACAGAGTATGCTGTTTTGCCCATGATACCCCCCATGCGTTGCCATTCCTAAGGACTCAAGTGTTATTCCTCTGTACCCAGTAAATTCACGCCATATCCCACCCTTCAAACCGAAACACAGCCATGCAAACACAACTGTTTCACGGTAGAAACACGAATGGGATCGAGGTTCATAAACAATAATCTGCATTCTTAACCAACTTTAACAAGTAGCTTGTGAATTCGACCGTATTTTTTATTTGTTTTTTTTTTATATTTTATTTTCATGTATATTACATAAAAATTCTGCTAAATTTTATTAAGATCAAAGTCGTCTTTTGTTTGTAAATAGTTACAATATTGCGATATTTTATTTTTCATTAAAAGTACCCGTAACCGGCGAGCGTGTATGAAAAGATTAATGAATGTGGAAGAAGCGAAAGAGGTTTGTTGGAATCGAAGCATTTGGCGTTCCATTGTTTCTGTCTACCCTAATGGGAGACAGGCGTGACAGATATGTATGTATGTATGTATGAATTTTTTATGTGACCCACACTAGTCTTACTCAATTAAACATATGTATCACATTTACATATTAAATTATACATTATTAATAAATATAAAAAATATAATTATTTATATATTTTCTAAAATGTATATTTTCAAGCAAAATTATATTCGTTTACCATATTTAATGATTTTCTAAATACCAAATGTGAAAATTTAAATTAAACTTTGTATTATACATTTGAGACGAGTTGCCCTTAACTGTTACTCAGCATATTTTGAAAGGGCAACGTAAGTTTAAATTAACTTTGCGTCACTTCACATTACACTGTTCCATTAAATTAAATATCGCCTTTGTTAGCCGACTGCGTCGTGGTAAAGCGAGGTTATGTGTTTGGTACGAGAAGACAATAAAAGTCAAGCACGGATCCACCGTTATGGCACGATGGGCATGTCTATAGCCCCTAATAGACTAGGGGGGAAGGGATTGTTAGTAATGCGGACTACCAGTCCTATTGCTAGCAAAAACCTTTCAGGTCGACCTCCACGTGCCCTGGAAACCATCGTGCTAAATTCCAGTTGTATTCATCACGATGGGCTAACTGGCCTGGCTTTTCATTCACGCCTATCATCCCTAACTGGGTTACCAGTTAGGGATGATAAGCGTGTATACCGTTAGCGCAGGCCGGGCTACCAATCCATTATCATCCATTAAAAAAACCCTAATAGGCTTGTGACGTCACACTTTCACAATCTATTAAGGTCAAAAGGCTGATGATGATCTTATATCCAATGCCCTTATAGTTTTGTAAATTTCATATACAATCAAACTAACATTTTACAGTTCTGTTAATTCACTAGTATTCGCCCCATGGCTTTGCTCACATGGAACTATACACTGTACAAAATCTTAGAGCATCACCATGTTTTGTAAACATCTCCTTTGTACGGACAAATATAACTAGCGTCCCGTCCCGGCTTCGCACGGGTGGACATTTTTACAACATTTTAAAAAGTTGTTATTGTGACATAACGATAATAGTTGGACATATAGTGTCGTGAAGTTTTTTGTAGTTATTGATATTTTCTTCAATATTGTAGAACATACTTTTGTTCTATTACCAACAGTTTCCGCAGCGCACGCGACGAAAGATATTTTATAGCATTTTTTTACACCTTGAATTACTAAAGTTTTAGTAAGGATCCCTAATCTTTTCTAGCAATAAATAAAGCCTATGTTACTCAGGGTGAGTGTAGCTTTCTAATAGTGAAAGAAATTTTGAAATCAGCAAAGTAGTACACTAATTATAACCATATTTAATACTAATCAATACTATGAATCTCCTAAGGAAACTCGATGGACGAGGGATGGGCAGCAGCGTTCTTCTTAAAACGTCACCAAAGCCTAACGACAGTTGTCAATCCGCAGGCCAAGCGTGGCAATTACTGTCAACATGTATTCGTGTCATAAATCAATAGCCAAGTTAATAAATAGATAGCAAATGTTGAAAGAAAAAACTTAAGTGAGCTAAAGACAAGAACTTGTAAAAATAAAGGCGAATAGAGAAGCTCCTCCTTGTTGATGTCGCCAAAAAAAATCAACACAATTCAACACATTTTGTAAATATGTCAAAATTGACATTAGACAAATTTTTAAAGTATTTATTTAATATTTTGTAGCATTTTTTACATAGAAATTACATAAATTTTTTTATATTATTATTTACATTTTAGTATATTTTATGTACATATATATATTTTTGTAATTATGCCCAAAAAAGATAAGATAAGAAAAGGGTAAGTCTAATCGATACATTCCTGGTATAGTTGCCACGATGAACCAACAAAACTGATTTACTCCTCAATTGTCATACCTTAATGATACCCCGCCAACATATACCTACCGATAGCTTAGGCGGGGTTACCATTCCATTGCTCTATCAGGTCGACCTTCACGGGGTGCACACTGAAAACCATCGTGGTTAATTCTAATCGAATTTATCTTGATGGGTCAACTGACCTGCTTTCATCATACTTAGATATCATCTCTCATGCCCCCTAATATATACCTAGGCAGGCAGGGTGATACAGGTATTTTAGACTTTGTACAAAAGTCGTTTGCTTGGGTAACTCTGTCCCATTCGTGTTTCAACCATGAAGCAGTTGTTTGCATGGCTGTTTCGGTTTGTAGGATGGGATAAGGCGTGAATTTACAGGGTACAGAGGAATAACACCTGAGTCCTCACGAATGGCAACGCATAGGGGGTTTCATGGACGAAACAGTATACTCTGTTATGTCCATGGCACTGCTCATGTCTATAGGCGACGGTTACCACTTTCCATCAGGTGGGCCGTCAGCTTGTTTGCCATTCTAAGTTGTATAAAAAAATATTCTATTTTCACCCATAAAAATATAATTCCTTTGACATTCATTTAAAAAAAAATCTCTACGCCTAATAGAGACCTTCACCCTCAACCTTCTTTACATTGATCATCTTTATTTAGAATACCAAACATTTAATTTATATCTATTTTTTTTTTTAGGATGACTCAAACGAACCTCCAGGTAATATAGACAAACATCTTTAAATGTACACAAATCCAACAGTTTATGACTGTTGACATTGGACAAATTTTTAAAATATTTTCACAATATTTTATAGCAATTTTTTTATATAGAAATTACATAAATTTTTTTGTTATTATTATTTACATTTTAATATATTTTATGTATATACATTTTTGTAGTTATGGCTAAAAAAGATAAGAAAAGAAAAAGGGTAAGTCTAATATGTTGGATTTGTGTAAATTAAAATGTACACAAATCTGTCACAAGTCACAAAAACTGTTACATTTGTTCTGGACGTAAGTAAATTAAAAAATATTGCTCTTCGAATCTGATAGGCGCAATGTAAATAAACTGTAGGCTCTACAAAAGTACTTTGAGGGACTTAAAGGTGTGTGTAAAATATAGTAATAATAATATATCTTTTAAACAGAATGTTATAACTTTTTTTTATGCAAATTAGAATTGCAAACAAGCTGACGGCCCACCTGATGGAAAGTGGTAACCGTCGCCTATAGACATGAGCAGTACCATGGACTTCTATCGTGTATAACTTTATGAAATAATTTAACCTTTCAACCGACATTCCGGTAATAGTATAAACAATGTTAACAAACCTAAATGATGGTAGTCTTACGCTCATCCTCGTTACATTCGAATTGACTGCAACAACTGTATACAGCAGTGATTCTCAGCCTTTTTTTTGTTGCGGCACATATTTAACGATTTCAAAATTTGGCGGCACACAAAGAAAAAGATAAAAATTATTTACTTACTACTAACACACTGCATAAATAGTTTATGACAAAAATTTTAAATATTTGCAAAATTTGGCGGCACACTTTTAAAATTTGGCGGCACACAAAAGTGCCGCGGCACAGTGGTTGAGAATCACTGGTAACATATACAGCATCTGAACAGCAGCTGAACTAAGCCATCACGGCTTAGTTCAGCCAATCATCATCATCATATCGGCTGTTATGTGTTCACTACTGAACGTAGGCCTTTCCCATAGATTACCATAGTCCTGAGCCTAAGTCGTCACTTCATCTAGTATGGGTTCATCTTGCCTAGAGTATTGCACCAGAGGGAGACTTTGTACAAGAGTCGATTGCTTGTGTACCTCTGTCCCATTCGTGTTTCAACCGCGAAGCAGTCGTGTTTGCATGGCTGTGTTTCGGTTTGAAGGGTGGGATATGGCATGAATTTACTGGGTACAGAGGAATAACATCTGAGCCCTCAGGAATGGCAACGCATGGGGGGTATCATGGGCGAAACAGTATACTCTTTTATGTCCATGGTACTGTTCAGGTCTATAGGCGACGGTTACCACTTTCCATCAGGTGGGCCGTCATTTTGTTTGCCATTCTAAGTTGTATAAAAAAAAAACTGTAGAATGAATTAATTCTTGTAAATATATTGTAGTTATATAAATAAATAAAGTAATATATTTAAATTTGATACCGATATTGCTTTTATTATATCCATAAACAAATATAAAGAGCTTGTGACAAACAAAGTTATTCTGAATTAATTTTATTTTTTTACAACACAGGGGGCAAACAAGCATGCGGCTCACCTGATGGTAAGTGGCTACCGCCGCCCATGATCACCCACAACACCAGCGGCATTGCAGGTGTGCTGCCAGCCTTTTAAAAAGAAATATACTCTTTTCTTGAAGGTTATGTTGTCGTGTCGGTTCGGAAATACTTCTGCTGGATTTTACCAATTTCATTTTAGAATCCGAAGTACAGGATGAGGTCCTGGTGGCCGCAACAGACCTGGAACCAGAGCCTGAAGAGGTTCAATACACAGACACCTCGTATACCAGTGCTTCTTTCGAATCCCTTCCACCTATGATTGAAGGTAACCAATCATCAGTACATATCACTAACTTGTCCTTAGCTCATCAACCGAACCGGGGAGGAAAGGGATTGTAAAGGGGTCTAAAAGGCCAATTGCTAGCTATGTATTCTATCAGGTTGACCTCCACGCAGTTATACTTGGAAACCATCGTGGTTAATTCTTGTTAACTTCCTCACGATGAGCCAATCGACCTGCATTCATTCTCACCTATCATCCCTCACTGGTGCCCCGCCGGCTTATACCGATAGCGCAGGTGTTGGTTACCATTTCATTTTTACCAATTAAAAGACCAACCGGACCAATAGTTTTTAAATTGGACAAAAGGACAAAATAGATTCCTACCTTCAATCTAAATATCCTCTTATCAACGTTCTTCTGTCAATAGTGTCATAGTTATTTTATATTTATAACGCCATCTAGTGCGTTAGCTTGGTGCTTATTATTAACTTAGCATTATTTCTATTTTTGTCGCTAGATGGCGTTATTTGGAAATTTTATGAATAAGTACTAAAATCCAGGATATAAAATTAAAAGTTTTATTACTTTTTAATTACAAAAATTTTTTTCTTTATAGTATGTTTTTTTTTATTGGGGAATGTAGAACCCATATAATAAATATAATTGTCATATTGATTATACACAATACGTGGTTACCATAACAAACTCGTTACAAATACAGTGCATTCATGTAAAAAGGCAGTTGAAAAAACCTAATATCCTACTTTGCATCATTTATCGTCCATAAAAATCAAGACAGTATATATTTTTTAGCATATTGTAATTCTATTCCATATTTTATTGGCTATATTTTTTAGCTGTGTCCTTTTTACGTACAAAATGCATTAATCAATAGCTTATTAAGTAAAACGAGGTTTTCTTACTCTGTTTCTTTATTATTTTATTTAGAACTAAAACCGAAGAAAAAGAAAGGAAAGAAGAAAATTGAGGTAAATAATTTATATACCTTTATGTAGTAATATATGTTTTATAAACATCTAGCTATGCTCGCAAATTCGTTTGCATTGTACACCATTTTATAGACATTTAGGAGGGTAATAATCAATTTATTCCATATACATAACTGTTATTTATTTCAATATACAGTGAAAATCTCACATATATATTAGTCATTTCACCTGTAATGCTAACATACAAACAGACAGACGAACGTAGAGGCTATTCATAAATATTCCGTCTATCATTTACGCCTAAATTGTCGTGCAAGAAAAAAAAAAAGAAAAAAAATCAACTCCGCATTTTTTTTATACAACTTAGAATGGCAAACAAGCTGACGGCCCACCTGATGGAAAGTGGTAACCGTCGCCTATAGACATGAGCAGTACCATGGACATAACAGAGTATACTGTTTCGCCCATGATAGCCCCCATGCGTTGCCATTCATGAGGATTCAGGTGTTATTCCTCTGTACCCTGTAAATTCAATGCCATATTTCACCCTTCAAACCGAAACACAGCCATGCAAACACAACTGCTTCACGGTTGAAACACGAATGGGGCAGAGGTACCCAAGCAAGCGACTTTTGTACAAAGTCTCCCTCTGGTAAAGCTATCCTATTCCAGGTTGTGGGAGTTCTGAGAGATACAAGCGAACTATTCCAGTGGTCAGAGGAGTCACTACCAGCAGGTCTGAAGATTATTATACTAGAAAACAATTCATTCCTTTTTAAAAATATACAATGAAAGAGCCATGTTTCATGGGTTTTCTTCTGTCAATTAGTAAAGATTAAAATCAAATTTTTAAAAATTAGAAAGATACCTAAACTTTGATGGTAAAGATTTGCCGTTATAAATATACCTACGGGGGGGGGGAAAGGGATTGTTAGTAATAAGGTCTAACTGACCCATTGCTAACAATTCATCCTATCAGGTCGACCTCCACGTGGTTCTCCCTGGAAACCATCGTGGTTAATTCTGGTGGAATTCGTCACGACAGGCCAACTCACCTACTTCGTCCTCACCTATCATCCCTTACTGGTGCTCCGCTAGCGTATACCGTTAGCGCAGATGGAGTCATTATATCATTTTCACCCATTAAAAAAGACATACCTACACATTTTCTAAGTAAATACATAGGTAATAAGTAAGCAAGCAGAGGATACAGCTTATTGTAAAGCGATAACTCTAACCAACAGATATAAACAAAACGTTATATTGAAAACTACACCAAATTTGAACACATTGGCGTATTTAAGATAATTTCCCAATTTCTTTGGCAATTTTATTTTTGCAAAGAGTTTCATTTCTGTTTTGCCAAAGGTTGTCTGGGAGAGAATGCTATTTAGCATTAAGTCCGCCTTTTGTACAAAACATTTTTTGAAATGTTGTCAATAAAAAATAATTAAATAAATAAACTTTCTTTATGTTCTGGGGATTTTATATATTTACACTCGGATGATTCCCGGGTGGACATGATCCACCTGATACCCTTTCCTCTAAATACTTCTTTGGATACACATTTTTTTTATATGCAACTTAGAATGGCACACAAGCTGACGGCCCACTTGATGGAAACTGGTAACCGTCGCCTATAGACATGAGAAGTACCATGCACATAACAGAGTATACTGTTTCGCCCACGATACCCTCCTTGCGTTGCCATTCCTAAGGAGTTAATTACCTTATAAATATTTGACACACTTTAATACTTGCAGAAGAACAGAAGATAGAGGAAGAACAAGTAGAGACGAAAAAGAAAAAAGGCAAAAAGGGGAAAAAGGATAAGGGGAGAGAAGAAATACCAGAATTTGAAAAGGTAAATATAAGATGTTCAAATACCTGATTTTTTTTCGAATGCAATTTATTGAAAAGGGTATAGTTATATGTACCTATATTATTAATATTTCTACATTATATCGGTATATATGGTGCTTAATTTTTAAATTTTTTTATCAATAGGAGACTTTGTACATGAGTCACTTGCTTGGGTACCTCTGCCGCATTCGTATTTCTACCGTGTAGCAGTTGTGTTTACATGGTGTGTTTCGATTGAAAGGTGGGATATGGCAGTGAATTTACAAGGTACAGAGGAATAACACCTGAGTCCTCAGGAATGGCAACGCAAGGGGGGTATCATGGGCGAAACAGTATACTTTGTTATGTCCATGGTACTGCTCATGTCTATAGGCGACGCTTACCACTTTCCATCAGGTGGGCCATCAACTTGTTTGTCATTCTAAGTTGAATTAAAAATAACTTATTTTCTCCATAATTTATTTTTTCTTCTTCAACTACTTCCTTTTCCTTCTCCTTCTTTTTCTCCTTCTATAACTCCTTGTTTTTCATTATAATAATAAACTCAGATTGAAAGAAATAAAAAAAAGAAAGAATGCAACAGTAAATAACGCTTACCTCTGTGACACTCGTGTTAGCAATTTTATTACAATCATGAATAATTGATTGCTGACTTCAATAATCATAATACGTCACGCACCGTCGCCGTATCATTTCCTTGTATACAATCGGTTATTTATAAAACAGTCAGTAGCAAACATACCATAGACAATACATGAAGTATTGTGATAAAAGATAAAGATATTTTTTTTATAAAATAAGTTAATTAAGACAAAGGAAAAGAAAGGAACATTTATAGACAACTTACAAATAACTGCATTAATTTTATGACGTTCTGCGATTTGAGTATAAAAATCAAAAATATTTAAAACATGGACAATTTCTTATAACATAATCTATGTATTAAATTTTTTTTTTCTACATGAAATTAACAAATTAAACTAAAAGATATTTTTGCATCTATGGTTTCTATTGCTCAATAAAACCTTACGTATTGTATGCCCATGTCGCTTATAAACCAATGTCCAAAAACATTTGTTAAGAAGGGTATTTACCATTAGTTATATGTTGACAAAAAATCAACAAATAAAACATTTATTAACTTCATAAATCCAAATCGTATGACAAAAAACTTTTAGAGAATTTCCAATATTTTAGGCCAGTGTAATCATTTGTAGATTTAATATTAAAATAAGTGAATTTTAAAGAGTTTTGAAGACACGACTCAACTTCAGATGCACATTTTAATCTAATTTATATTAATAAAACAAGTATCAAATTGACAGCCAAAAAATTGGAAAAAGATGAATAAAAAAGAAAGAGAAGCATGGATGCTGCAGAGGATAGAAGAATGGCGAGCGGAAAAAGAAGCAGAGAAGTTAGTTTGCGGTTCCCTTTCTCTTACCTTATTATCTTTCCTATCTTTATGTTATATCATAACTAACTGTAACGTAACTTCCTTTATTCTTCTCTCTCGTCCACTCCTCCTCTCGTCCTCTCCTCCTCCTCCCCATCCATTAACATCTCGGAACACTTTCTTTTCTCTCTATGAGAAGTTAAATAATTACTGTAGGTTTATTTCATTCGGTTTAATTTGACTGTATTTTTTCAACCAAATTCAAAATAGGAGGTGTGTTTTAGTGTATATATACGCGATATCTTCACCAAGTGTGAACAGATTTTAATGATTCTTTTTTTCAATGTAAATAAATTATTATCATTCTATTAATATATAATTTAAGTCTAATATTATTAATATTATTAGAAATTTTTGAAACGTGTGTCTTAATATATAAACGTATGTCCCCTTTTTTATGGAAAATTACATGTGTTTTTCTAATAACAACAATGTATTCAAAGTCCCGCCATGTGGTCTCAGCATAGAATAAACCACCACTTCCTTTCCCGTGGGTGTCGTAAGAGGCGAATAAAAGAACTTGACGGTAGAGGGCTGGGCAGCAGCATCCCTCTTAAAACATCGCTATAAGCCTAACTGCGATTACGAACCCGCCTGCCAAGCGTGGCAACTACTGGCAATACAGGGAGTATTTTTTAAGGTGAATGTAAGCCATATACAGCAGTGGACAGTTAACAGTTGATGTGATGATAATTCTGAGTTCCACCAAGTACCAATAATAATCAGGTACATCATTGTAAAATTTCACATACCATACCAATAATATTACTCCTCATTGAGTTTGGGAGCCTGGTGATTTGTAAAACGGATAATCCTAGTGCCGACACCAGTCTCCCACAAAGATTGTTTTAAATTGTAACCCATGTAGGGGGAAAGGGATTGTTAGTAATGGAGACTAAAAATCCCATTGCTAGCAATATACTTAACCAGGTCGACCTCCACGCGGTTCCCCCTGGAAACTACCATGATTGATTCTTCATCATGAATTCATCATGATGGGCTAACTGGCCTGTTTTCATTCTCATCGATCACCCTTCACTGGTGCTCCGCCAACGTATCCTGTTAGCGCGGGCGGGGTTACCAATCCATTTTCATCTAACAAAAAAAACCCATATAGCTGTAAGTTTTATTGTGTTGTTATTATGGTGTTTCTACCGTGAAGCAGCTGTGTTTGCATGGCTGTGTTTCGGTTTAAAGGGTGGGATATGGCGTGAATTTACAGGGTACAGAGGAATAACATCTAAGTCCTCAGGAATGACAACGTATGGAGGGTATTATGGGCGAAACAGTATACTCTGTTATGTCCATGGTACTGCTCATGTCTATAGGCGACGGTTACGACATTCCATCAGGTGGGCCGTCAGCTTGTTTTCCATTCTAAGTTGTATAAATAAAAAAAAATTGTAAGAGAAATAAATATATATTTACATTTACATAACATTACATTATATGTGTCCAAAATACACTTTTCAATTTCACCTTTTTTGGTGTTCTCTAGTCTTCACCAATGGTACCTTTTGAGGTACCTGTGTACCTCGATCAAATTTTAAGAAACAATTTTTTTTTTTAAATATTTTACTTAAATCTTGACAAAAGGATATATTCTAATCAGCTATCAATTTGTAAGTACGAAAACTAATGTGATAATGAGTGATAATAATGCGTGTTGTCAGATTAATGATAATAACAGATAGGGCTTCCTTAATTATATTAATTTTTTTTTATTAATTAATCTTGATTAACTAGGCACTGATTAATAACAGAATACATAATGTTATTTTTCAACGAAAAAATTTTTTTATTTTTAACAACTATTATATAAAATATCATTTTTTATATAAAAGCTTGCACGATGCGTAGAAATGTTTCAGCAAAGGCAAAATAACACCTTTAGTCACAGTAATCGTGCAGAAGCAAACGCTATGAATTTGAAAAAATATTATTAGAATAGGTTCAGAAATGGCGACCATATCGCATAACATATACACAAAAAATATCGATGACTTAAAAAGATAGGAGGAAATTCTTGTAGAAGTCGCTTAACCCTTTCCACTCCAAGCCTTTTTTCTTTTTATTCTACCAGCTCCACGCTAAAATTGCGTTTTTTAACTTTTAGAGGTTTTTCGTATTTTGTAAATAAAATTGATTCTTTCTTATATGATAAATTTTATTTTATGAGTAATTACAGGATACTATATTATAATTCTTAATTCTAATCTTTATAATCCCTTTTGGTATGGTACAAAATCAATGTCGAGTGACACTCGACATTGGAGTGGAAAGGGTTAAGTTATTATCTTATTTGAGACGAAAGGAGGAGGTCCTTTTAGAAATCGTTTAAGTAATTCTTTCATTTGAGAAGAAAGGAGAGGGTCCTTATAGAAGTCGTTTGAGTAATTATCTCATTTGAGAAAAAAGGAAGAGGCCCTTATAGAAGTCGTTTAAGTAATTATCTCATTTGAGAAAAAAGTAGGAAGCCTTTTTAGAACTTGTTTTAGAAATTATCTCATTTGAGAAGAAAGGAGGAGATCCTTTTAGAAGTTGTTTAAGTAATTGTTTCATTTGAGAAGTAAGAAGGTCCATTTAGAAGTTGCTTACGTAATTATCTCATTATCTCTTTCCAGACAATCAATTTTGGCTGGTGCGAAAGAAAAACGCGCAGTCCTGGCGAAGGAAAGAGCTGAGTTGATGGCGAAGGATAATGCTGAGCAAGAAATTAGAAGAGATCTACTCCAGAAGACATGCGACTTGTTCCATAGTAATTTACTACTGGTGAAATTATAACAATATATACAGATTTTAGAAATAAAAATCATAACTACTTCCATTGTAATATTTCTAAATAAAGAACGAAATAGGAATCGTTAGTGGTACGTAAAACTAAAAATCTACCCATGTGCTGGTAAAAACCATGAGTATGGACCATAACTCGCCAGTCCCTAGTTTCCTCGATTTCAGGTCCTTGTTGTAGGTTCGTATAAATTAAAAAACAAGTGCTTCTACTGGTCTGTTCAAGTGTAATGTGATTGAAGGTAGCTTTGTAGTTTTTTATCTTCATTCTTTTTATCAATACGAAGTTTATATTATGTTGTAATCATTGTATCTTTTCACATTTTTGTTGTAAACTTACCACTTTCCATCCGGCAGCCGTCAACTTATTTACCATTCTAAGGTGCATAAAAAAATAACCTCGTATTTTTTCTCAATTTTTTTAAATTTCTTAGTTTTTTCTTCTTAATCTCTTTGATCTTTAATCTTGTTGATTATAATAATTTGCTTTTTTGGAATGTTACAGAATTCGAAAAGCAGAAATTGGATTTTGAAAACAAAAAACAGATTCAAGCTGAGGTAATGTATTTCTATGCACTTTAGTGCTATCTATAAAATGCACTCAAATGGCAAACCTGTAATTGTAAACACCATTGTTCCAAACAGATGGTTTTTGTTTAAAAAATAAGGTGGATTCTGGCAGTACAATTACAGGATACAGAGACATTACGTCTTAGGCCTCAGAAAAGGCAACACATGAAGGATGTCATAGACCTCACTGTGTCTTGAATGAAACTAATTTATAATACACGATTCAAATAAGCGACGCTTATTACTTCCATTAGGTGAGCCATGAACTTGTTTGACATTCTAACTTGCATAAAATAAATATTAATTACATTTAATCGATTTTGGACTAAATTATATATACAGAGATTCCATTGTTAATTGTCCATTTTTTTTCATTTCCTATTTATTGTCGATGGAGCTGTTGCCACTCACTACGATTTTCAGCAAGTCTCTTCATCTCTTGATATGACACGACACCAACTTTTTCCTGGATCTGCCTGATGTAACTGTGCCTTGGTCTCCTTCCCCTCCTTCTTTCTCTTGCCTTCTATTATAATGTTTATAAGTTCATCATGTCGTATCAAGTGTCTCAACATTTTCTCCCTTCTGACCTCAATAGTTTTTAGTCAATTATCCAAAACTCGATAATCTGGGTGGCGTTCTTTACAGTGGCAACAATATCTCCGATGCGATGGTCTGCCCGACCCTCGAGTGGTCACTCAGATGAATACGTACTTACATCTCTGGCAGCTGAACCCTAAATGCGACGATGATGAACTGGAGAGGAGATGCATCGAGGCGTTGCCGGTGATTATCCCTTATTCTTACTAATATTATGAATCTTAATGTGAGTTTGTTTGTTACATTATAGCGCCTTAACGACTTAACTAATCACTATGAAATTTAATATACACGTACTATATGGTATGGAGAAGGATATAGGCTGTTTTTTATCCTGATCAGTAAATATATTTCGATCACGCAAGTGAAGTCACGGGTAAAGTATCTAATATCAGGCTAATATCAAATAATTATTACCTTTAAGAGTAGTTGCCAAAAATACAGGCCTTGGCATTAAGCAAAAATAAAGATAGATAGATAGTCTTTATTGTTGCCTCCAAAAGATTACAATAGTAAACTTATTATAAACATAAACAATTACAAGAAATAATCACAATGAGAAAACAATTGGCGACCTTATCGCTAAAAGCGATCTCTTCCAGCCAACCTTTGAATATATATACCTATACAACATCATACCATAGCCTGAAATATATAAAAGATCCTTTTTTCTTACTAAAAAATCATTTAAACTATAGGTAGTTAAACACGTATGTACTGTACTAACGCTAATTGTAGTTTTATGTGACAAACCTTTAGATTATAGAGAGGGAAAGGGATTGTTACTAATGGGGTCAAACAGCCCCATTATTAGCAATATACCCTGTCAGGTCGACCTCTATGTGCTTCCCACTGGAAACCATCGTGGCTAATTCTAGTTGAATTCGTCAGGATGGGCTAACTGACCTGCTTTCGTCCTCATCAGTCCTCATCATCTATCACTGGTGCCCCGCCAGTGTATACCGATGGCGCAGTCGGAATCACCATACCATTATCACCCATTAAAAAACCCTTTAGATTATTATAATGGAGTAATGAGGTAACGAATATAAAAAAACAACCGAATTGAAACCTCCTTCTTTTGAAGTCGGTTGAAAATCTAATGTCTGCCTACTTACGTAATATATCTCAATATTATATTTAAAGATATATTATATTACAGATGTTGGAAATGCTTGAAGACTTCGTCGCAAACTCGAGACAGTACAGCGCTTTGCAAGCGCAAAGCTACAACGAAGTATGTACCTATTTTACTTGACAGCCGTTAACTGTCCACTGCTCAACATAACCTCCCCCATAAAGACGGTTTTGCCACTAGTTGTCACGCTTGGTAGGCGGGTTGGCAACCGCCGAAAGCCATGCTGCGGTTTGAGACGCAGCTGCCCATTCCTCCACCATAAATTCCCTTAATGGCCCTTACAACGGGAAAGAAAGGGGTGGCCTATTCTATTCCAGGACCTATACGACATAATAACCCCAATAATTTCACCATATTTAAGCATGTAATATACAAAAAACATAAAAATAAAAAAGTATATTTGAATGAATGAGATGTTGGTTTTTAGAATTTATTTCTAAAAATGATGGAGTTTTTTATAACTTTACTTTGTTTTATGCAATTTAGAATGGCAAACAAGCTGACGCTGCACTTGATGAAAAATGGTAACTGTTGGCTGTAGACATGATACTGTTACCATGGACTTAACAGAATATACTATTTCGCCCATGACACTCCCAATGCGTTGCCATTCCTGAAGACTAAGGTGCTATGCCTCTATACGCTGAAAATTCACTGCCATATCCCACCCTTAAAATCGAAACAATTGTGTTTTTTTATACAACTTAGAATGGCAAACAAGCTGACGGCCCACCTGTTGGAAAGTGGTAACCGTCGCCTATAGACATGAGCAGTACCATGGACATAACAGAGTATACTGTTTCGCCCATGATACCCCCCATGCGTTGCCATTCCTGAGGACTCAGGTATTATTCCTTTGTACCCTGTAAATTCAATGCCATATTTCACCCTTCAAACCGAAACACAGCCATGCAAACACAACTGCTTCACGGTAGAAACACGAATCGGACAGGGGTACCCAAGCAATCGACTTTTGTACAAAGTCTCCCTCTGGTAAACTTGGATTTACTTTGTATTAGGTTCGAATAGCACTACGAGAACAGCTGTCGACCGCGATCCAGTTCGCGTCATACACACTGCTGCGAGACTTGGAGAAGCATCTCAAGTTTGACTCCATAAAACTGGCCTCTTACCAAAGGGAGTTCAAAGGTCTACGGCTGAACTTGTGGGTGGCCGTCAGGATGCCCACGAGGAAACCTAAACCGGTGGAACCCGACCCGTAAGACCCTTCAACTTGTAACGTTGTAAAGAGGAAATATTTTTGTTTGCAATGGATAATCAAAAGAAGTACTTAAGGGAACTATTACAAAATTACATCACTCAAGTTTATCTATAGCTTTGTTTAGTTTATCTTTAGCTGTATGGTTATTATACACTTGTACATTCTACAGTTTTTTTTTTTCAGTTTCTCAAAGGTTGGCTATAAGAGATCCTTCTATGAGATAAATCCGCCATTATAAATTAAATCTTTTAATGTATTCAGTATGAATTATGTATAATAAAGATTTTACAATACAAATACAATACAAGTTTAACTTACTTGCATTGGGTTGCACAACTACATGTCTATCCTGGTATGGACATATGATGCACAGGTATGAGGAGCATGTTTTAAGACAGGTATTAAGAATGAATGTGAATGGCTATAAAGGCAGAGGAAGACCTAAAAAGACATAGATGGACTATGTGAAAGATGATCCTCACAGTTACTTCACAATACATTTATGAAAATATTATGTATACACGGAAGAACTTAGAGAGTTTTAAAAAACTCAAAGACTGTACAAGTAGAAACTTACGCAATATAAATAAGCTTATTTTACCTAAATGCCGTCTGCACAAAATCAGTAATTCATTCTATGGTAATTGCATAAGATTTTATAATAAACGGCCAGAATCTGCATTAAATCTGACAGAGAGGCAATTCAAATCTTATATTAAACAATTTTTATGTAAGAAAGCCTATTACAGGATAGACGAATTCATAGATGACAACATATCAAGTAAATAATTAGTTTATTAGCATACAATGTTATAATTTTATTTTCTCATTGCTTTCTTGATTTAATTGATTAATTTTGGAAATATGAAAGCATAGCGGTTTTTGTATTAATTGCCGCATGCATTCTTATGTAAAATGTGAATACTATAACTATCAGATGGCAATTGTGAGTAGCTTTGACGTGGTCTAGTGTTTTGAGTAGTCATGCTCACTAAAATGTCCAGACTTGTGGCGGCGTGGTGAGCCGGGTCATTGGGCTCCCTAAAATATGGTCGAGCGCAGTGATGGCTGGCTCATCCGTCATACTCGTGAACGGGTGCTGCTTGTAGGGACTGGTCTGCTCTAATCACTATGACTGATTTCCTCTTATTAATTGTTTAACCAGTTGGTTATGTATTCAATATTTTTTCTTTTTGAGTATTTAATTGAATTAGTGCTAATTGGTGGTTTGTATTCACATACTTAAACTTAAAAATGTAAAGTAATAATAAAATTATTTAAAAGAGCAACACGCAAGTTTCTTGCTCGTTCTTCTTGTGATGAGACAGCTTTCCGAACGAGCGGTAGATTAAAAAAAATGTAATGACTTTTCAAAAGTGCTTCAATGTAAGTTTATTTGAATAAATGATTTCTATTCTATTCTATTCTATGATATGGCCAGAATGGGAGTGAATGCGGAAATGATTGCGGATAGAGAAGAATGGAAGAGAAAAACATATTACGGCGACCCCAAATAATAATTGGGATATGGGTGGGATGATGATGATGAGTTGCATAACGAAATTTATACTACTTTACATATTTGTATAAATTTACCGTTTATTTATTTATTTTTTTGTGCAATTTAAAATGCCAAACAAGCTGACGGCCCACCTGATGGAAAGCGATAACCGTCGCCTATAGCCATGAGCAGTACCATGGACGTAACAGAGTATACTATTTCACTCTTAATACCCCATGTGTTGCCATTTTTGAGGACTCAGGTGTTATTCCTCTGTACTCTGTAAACTCACTGCCATATCCCACCCTTCAAACCGAAACACAGCCATGCAAACACAACTGCCTCACGGTAGAAACACGAATAGGACAGAGGATCCCAAGCAAATAACTTTTGTATAAAGTCTCCCTCTAGTTTTTTATTTCTTTTTTTCTAGAAACTTATTTTTTCTATTACATTATATTATCATAAACTTCCATTCTATCTTTTAGGGAACCAGTGGAACTATCCTTCCCCTCCATGCGTGTTGGTGTGAAGCTTCCAAAAGTCATTGACGGGTCCTGCGTTTGCGTCAGAGCCGCTCGGTCTATGCTGGACTTGCTCAGCGAAAGTTCTAGAAGTTACGCTTTAGTAGCTGATATGCCTAACAGATATGAAGGTAAGTGGAATTGAAACATGACGCGATAAAGAAGTTAAAATCCGTTTATTTACATAATAAATGTAATATTTTTCAAACGACTTAAAAAAGTAGAAGATTCTAAATTCAATTGTATTTTTTTCGCACATCTTAGAATGACAAATAAGCTAAAGACTCACCTAATGGAAAGTAGTAACCGTCGCTACATATACATGATCATAACAGTAATGTATAATAAATAAATTAAATAAATAGACAATACTAGCTCCACGCTCCGGCTTCACACGGATGTTCTAATGAAGAGAATGAGACTAAAAATACAGATTTTTTACCTCAAACCTTTCACTTTTCCGTACAATTTTCAAATATGTTCATTATCATACGAAACTTGTCAAAACAATTACAAATACAACAAAAAATAATTAGTCAAATAAACGCAGCGATTCTGAAGTGATACGCTTGCATATGTATATTCAGCAATTTTATTTTCATTTATGTAGATTCACCACGTGTGTGTGACCTAGTAAACCAGACGTACCCGTAACGATAATTACCTTATAATTATCAAATGTAGTACTTTTTTTTTATACAACTAAGAATGGCAAACAAGCTGACGGCCCACCTGATGGAAAGTGGTAACCGTCGCCTATAGACATGAGCAGTACCATGGACATAACAGACTATACTGTTTCGCCCATGATACCCCCCATGCGTTGCCATCCCTGAGGACTCAGGTGTTATTCCTCTGTACCCAGTAAATTCACGCCATATCCCACCCTTCAAACTGAAACACACCCATGCAAACACAATTGCTTCACGGTTGAAACACGAATGGGGCAGAGGTACACAAGCAATCGACTTTTGTACAAAATCTACTATTGAGTGTTTTATTTTGTTATCTATTAAATCGTATCAAATGTCAAATCGTTATTTGACCCCGCCGTTAATATTCATTCAACTAATTTTACAATTGATTTTAATTCTTTCGTCTTACAACGCTATACCTAAATAAAGGGTTACCGTTTCCTACTGACCTACTTTCATACTTCCAATTTCTTCTCCATTCTTTATTTTGTTACTTCTGTTATTTTTCGGTTATTTAAAAGCAATGAATGCTTCTTTATTTCAAAAATGTACAGACAAGTGGTGGCGTGGTGGGCCGGATTATTGAGTTCCCTCAAATATGGTTGAGCGCAATGATAGCTGGCTCACCCGTCATACTCGTGAGCGGGTGCTGCCTGTAGGGACTAGTCTGCTCTGGTCACTACAACCGATTTGTTTTCTTGATTTGTTTCAATTATATACTATATATTATTTATTTTATGATCTGATTTATGACTGTTTAGTATTTTGTATTCACACAAATTCATTATTCATATAGTTAAACTTTTTTTAAAAAAGCAACAGCTGAGTTTCTCGGCCGTTCTTCTTGGCTGAAATTGTGTTCCGAATAGGCGGTAATAAAAAATGACTATTCAAAAACGCTAAAATCTATGTTTATTTGAATAAAAATATTTCTTTCTTTCATTCATTTGTTATCATATTAAAGTTATACTCTCTATAGGCAATTGGGTTTTATTTGCAGTCTATACCTTATTTGTTATTTCCTGTAACTTTGTTCTTTATATTACAGACTTATTTACATTTAATGTAAAAGAACACGTAGCGACTTATAAACTGAAGAAAGAACAAGACGAAATCAGAACGAAATTCTACAAGGAGATAAGAGAGAAAGTAAGGGAGTTGGAGAACTTCATGAAAGCTAATCCGTGAGTATATTGGATGAAACATTCGTGTAGACGTTTGTGTTCAATCTAAGGATACCATGAGAGACATCAAAAACAATATATATATATATATATATATATATATATATATATATATATATATATATATATTGCACTTGGATAAAAAAATATAGCGATTAGTTTAACGACTTGTTAGCTTGCTAACAAGAGATCTCTTCCAGCCCACCCAATTCAGTTAGAGAGAAAATAATTAGTGGGTAATCTAGTGTAGGAAAGGTATATGTAAAAAGGTATATAAGGTAACTAGAATACAAATAAATTTAATACACACAAATATCTATAAGTTGAGACATCAACTAATTTATCGTTTCCCATAATATAAAAGAAAACATTACTCTTGCATAAACGGTAAAACCTAAAAATCTAATTTGAAATCAAATTTTAGATTTCCAAACCCTTAACAATAACTTTTCACAGTTATTGTTAAGGGTTTCACAACAATTCACAGATATACGAAAAATGAGAAAGAAAAAGAAGAATTGGATAAATTGAATATGGCGGAACCACCACTTCTTTCGGATCCCAGGACTTACATATCTGAACAAAATGGTTAGTAATCATTTGTTAAGCTCTCATTCTCTTCCATATAAAATAGATACAGACTATATACTTCAATTTGTTATTTATCTTTGCTATATGCAAAGACTAATTTTTTTTTTTTGATGGGTGAAAATGGTATTGGTAACCCCGCCTGCGCTAACGAAATACGCTGGCGGAGCACCAGTCAAGGGTGATAGATGAGAATGAAAACAGGCCAATTAGCCCATCATGATGAATTCATCAGGAATTAACCATGACAGTTTCCAGAGAGAACCGCGAGGAGGCCGACCCGGTTGGGTATATTGCTAGCAATGGAATTCTCAGTCTCCATTACTAACAATCCCTTTCCACCCAAAGTCTAATATTTTTCATTTAAGCTCATTGACTTTGATGTGACATGTGATTTTGACCTATTTTATTAGTAGAATCAAATAAATATTTTCTTTTTGAACATCTACGACTAGACTATAACCAAATAAAACTTCATTTAATAAATTTCCTTTTTTTTTTAAAATATGATGATCAATTTGTAAATGGCTCACAATATATCCCTATGGATATATTGTGAGCCATTATATATTATCTCCTTCCCTCTTGGATTCCGCATCGAACGGACGTGTTATAGGCAACCTCTTTGTCGAAATTTTAAGATAATTTTTAAATTATTAAACAAAATAAAAACGCGTTAAGTCTCGTGGTGTACTAGTAGTGTATAAACTGCAGAGCGTGAATTAACCTCGAAAGAGTGAGTACATCCATAAAATAAGAGTGTTAATTATACAAGTGAAAAGATTAAATAATCTTTTACACAACAAGCCGTAACCGACAAATCTGTCGGGCATAACACGCAACCTACCATCAAGGCCACGCCTTCTGTTGTTACAAGTGCGCATAAGCCGACCACGCCCCCAAATCGGCGTACTGACCGCCGGCACAAATAGGCCTACACCTACCCGCATTTTATATTTTTATAATTTTTGAAGCAAATTGTTTTAGTGAATAAAATGTCTGTACAAAGATCTCCGACAAATACTAATATACAAATGAAGGCTCCTTCTCCTAAGGCACATTACGGTTCGGATTCTGCAATTAATTCTACATTAAATACCGAACAATCTGTTATCTCTAATTTTACTAAACGACACAAGCGTTCATTTAATGAGTTCACAACACACCCCGTAGCAGATCCAACTGAAATAAAGTCTATGTTTGTTGAGTTGAGAGCCCAACAGGATAATAAGTTTGAATCTTAACAGTGCCATAAACATAGTAATTGCACAAAACCAAGAGATACAAAAAACAGTCGAAATTATGGCTAGTCAGTATGATGATTTGTTATGTAAAATGAACGTGATGGAAAATGAAAATAGTGAACACAAAAAACGCATAGTTTATCTTGAGAATAAGTTAGATCACTTGGAAAAACATATTCGAAAATCCACTATCGAAATACGTAATATACCTAAACAAGCCAATGAAAACAAGCAATCGATTACGAAAATAGTAAAAGACATTGGTTTGTTGATAGGGCTAGAAACCCCTTGGCAGACAATGACATAAAAGAAATATTCCGATCCAAATCTGAGGCTATAGTGGTTGATTTTTCGAGTAATCATACTAAGGATTTAATTATAACTGAGTTTAAGAAAAGTAACAGAAGGCGCCGTGAGAATAAAGAGCAACAATTAAATGCTTCACTTATTGGCATAAATGACTCATCTAAGAATATTTATATATCAGAATATTTAACCTACAAAGCACGAAGACTATCCTATGTTGCTCGTGAACATGTGAAAAGCAAAAAATTGCTAGCCACATGGACATTTTCCGGTAATGTGTATGTGAAAAGAGAGGAGAGTGCAGCGCCGGTACGTATTGAAGAAGAAGATGATTTTTCGCGATTATTAATTGAATGACTATATTTTGTTCCTTTGTGCTTCATACTGTGTTTTTTTATTTTACATAGTCGTTTTTTTCTATTTTTTATTGTCATTATCGTTTTTATTATATATTTTTACTTATTTTCACAAATTACAGACACATACTCATATCTACTGTCACACGTAATACAAATGATCCCCTTACACTTCACATTTTATCTGTATACTTTTATACATATTACTTCAGTATATCACAACTCATGCCATCTTTTTATCGTAAACCTAACATCTAAGGCTATATTTATACCAGACCCAGGTACTTTAAAGTCCATATTGTTCATTGTATCCAAGTGCAATCGCTTATTGAGCGAGGTGTTTGTTTATTTTAAACATCCCCGTTCAGTATTCGGCAATGGACTGTATGGATATTGATGAGATTTACTTGGGTCTGGATTCACTAACGGTGGCTAAATCCATTTCTTGCGACATTGATGGCGTGAAAAAACATATAACTAATAATCATTCTTCCCTGAAACTAATTTCTCAGAATATAAGGAGTATAAATTGTAACATATATAATTTCGACACACTTATCCACAGATCTGAAATAGACTGGGATGTTATAGTTCTCACTGAATGTTGGTTGCAGTCGGCTAAAATAATCCCAGATCTGGTTGGATATAATTACATAACCACAACTTCTCACAATTCGCAAAATGAAGGGGTAGTAATCTATTACAACAAATGTTTAGAAATTACTTATGAGGAGCCCAGCATTAATGACGCTAATTGCCTGGTATTAAAAATTAATTCCGAAACATGTATAATTGGTATATATCGTCCTCCTAGCCATCTTAATATTACCAATTTTATTATTTCCATTGATGTGCTACTAAAAAAACTTTCTAAATACAAAAATATAATACTCTGTGGGGACATTAACATTGATATAGTGCCCAACACCACTGATAAGCGTTCCTATGAGTACTTGAATATTCTAGCAGGTCACTGTCTTCTTCCAGGTCATACATTAAGAACACATAGCTTAACATGCTTAGACCACATGATGATCAAAACTCAGTTGGATTCCACGTGCTTTGTGATTGAATCCTCAATTACAGATCATGAATGTGTGGCACTATATATCGATCTTAATAATAGAGTTCATAATACCAATAGAACCATTACGCGTGTAGATCATGAGGGTTTGGATAGGACTATGAGTAACTTAAACTTTCAACATATACTAAATTGCAATGATGCGAATGTCGCCACTGATCTTCTCATTGACTGTCTCAGTATTGCAATTAAAGATAACTCCACGACAGTTAAAGTCTCTAGAAGGAAAAAGACGAATAAACCATGGATTACGGAAGGATTACTGAGAAGTATGCGTAACAGAGACAAGCTGTATAAAAAGGTTAAAAAAAATCCTACCAATGAAATGTTAAAACAAATCTATCGGAGATACAGGAATTTATGCAATACTATTCTAAAAAAGGCAAGGAAAAATTATGAAAAACTAGAGATTGAGAAATCAAAAGATAACAAAAAAACGCTTTGGAATGTTATAAAAGATATATCTGGTTTTAAAAATAAGGTCGACTATTCTTCTTCGTTATTGTCGCCTCAAAATCCTGTAGAGAGTTTATCTAAAATTAATACCTACTTTGCTGATACTGGTAAGCGTCTTGCCGAAAATAATTTACATGTTGCTGTTCCCTACAGCATTAATTCATCGGAGTGCCTTTTGCCTGTTACTTGCCATTCACTTGTTCTTCTTCCCACTGACGAAAGCGAAGTTAGGCAAATCATTGTCAATTTAAAGGATAGGTGTGCCACAGGACTGGATCAGATTTCCAGTAGCATCATAAAGCGCTACAATGACATTCTGGCTCCAGTCATTTCGTTCATTTGTAATCTGGCCATGTCAACAGGGGTCTTTCCCCAAGCTTTTAAAACGGCTCTTATTAAACCCATCCACAAAGGAGGAGAGAGAGATCTAGTTAGTAATTTTAGGCCTATTTCCATCCTGACAGCCCTATCAAAAATCTTAGAACGTATTATTAACAAACGTCTAATAAAATACCTAGAATACAATAACCTCCTCTCTCCCTCTCAATTTGGATTTCGTTCTGGCAGGTCAACTGGGGATGCTGTGCATGAGCTGATTACCTCCATAATAACAAATCTTGACGAGAAAAGGAAATGCTTGGCGATATTTTTAGACTTAGCTAGGGCCTTTGATACGGTGTCTCTGCCGCACTTGTTGTTAAAGCTGGAACGGTTTGGAATAAGGGGCTTACCACTGAAATTACTCACTGATTACCTCACAAATAGAAATCAACGCGTTAAAATTGACCAATGGCAGAGCGAGGATCGACCGGTGACCTTCGGAATCCCGCAAGGGAGTATCCTTGGTCCTACGCTGTTCTTAGTCTACATCAACGGTCTCTGCAATATGCAACTCTGTAACGGGAAAATACTCTCTTTTGCTGACGATACGGTGCTTTTCTTTAGCGGGAGTGACTGGAATGAAGTGTTTGAAAGTGCTCAACAGGGTTTTAATAAGGTGTGTTCCTGGCTTCAAACAAATATTCTTACATTGAACTTTATTAAAACTAAATACATGCCATTTGCTTTCAGAAGAAACCTCCTCCCTCCCCAATCCCTCTCTATCGTGGCTCATAAGTGCGCTAATAATGTACCGTCCATTTGTTTATGCTCAACTCTAGAGTCTACGGACTGTATAAAGTATCTTGGCGTTACTATTGACCAGACTCTCACCTTTAAACCCCATATTAATGTTCTGGTATCTAGATTGAGAAAAATGATATACATATTCAAGAAACTTCAACATATCGCTGATCATACCATTATACGAATGGTGTATTATGCACTTGGTCAATCGATTATTGAATATTGTATAACCTCATGGGGAGGAGCAGCTAAATCTCACCTCATCGAACTGGAGAGAGCACAGCGAGCTATACTGAAGATTGGCTTCGCTCTTCCTTATCGCTACCCAACTACAGAGCTCTATAACAAATGGGACGTACTAACAGTGAGACAAATATTTATCCTCAATACAGTACTCAAAAAACACTCACAACTAGAATACGATCCTAATCTAAATAGCGACAAGCGCAGAAAAGGTTCTGTCTGCCGTTCTCCTGCCCTCCGCACTAGTCTCTCTCAAAACTTCTTCTGTTTCCTTGGACCCTACATTTACAATAAACTGAATTGCTTATTGAATATATATGCCTTGCATAGATCGGGTTGCAAAAGATTAATTATCAAATATCTAAAATCCCTCAATTATCAGCAAACTGAAGGTCTTTTGTCTCCATCAATTTAAGATCTCCTTAAATAAGTACCAATGGCTAATGTTATTTATATGCTGTAAGTGATACAATTAAATTATATATCTATCTCTACTCTATTTGGTTGAACACACACACACACACACACACACACACACACACACGCACACACACACACACACACACACACACACACACACACACACGCGCGCGCGCACACATAGTCTGTATTTTGTTTTTTTTGTTAACTTTGCCTAAGTTATATACTAGAATTATTTCTATTTAACATTAAAACTTATGTTTTAATGTTAAGTTTATTCTTGCACTCTATATCTTATTATTGTTATCTGTGTATTATAACACTAATTGGTTGCCTTGTATTTGTGTAGTCCATGGAGATGGGGCACTGGTGACTTGTAACACAGGTTCTTCTAAACCTACCGCAAGCACCAGTCTCTCACAAAACTGGTCTTCATTTCAAATTGTACCTCATGTTGTTACTTTATTCCACCTTTTGTGAAGAGAAAATAAACCGTTCATTCATTCATTCAATATATCAATCACTCAATTAGTTATTTGCTTAAATATAGGTGTACCTATTAAAAATTGTATGTAGTAAAATATATGAAGGTAAAGAAACCATGTAGGAATGTTATCCATGCTCGCATTTATATCTGTTCCTCCGTTCAGTTTAAGCAAACACACCACTTCTGCAAAGTTATCTACATTTACTTGTTTCCTCTGAATTATTCCTTTGTTTTAAAACAACCTTAATATTTGGATTCCAGAATTAGCTTTTGCAAAATACCTCAAAAGCTGCATGACAAGAACGCGCTCTGGGGAAGTTAATCTACGGAAATACAGGTAACAAATTTTTATGTTTCAAATAAGTTTGCTACCTACTTTATATTTTGTATGGTTGTATTTTTTTATGTTTGTTACCTCAGAACTTTGTCAGTTGTAAACCGATTTAAAAAAAAACTCTTTTTTATCTGAAAGTAAATATTTTGGGATCAATCTGGATGCCATAAAAAAATTAACATAATCGATTCACACAAATAATGTCGGGTTTTTTGTGGTACTGTTATTCTGTCAAAAACGAAATGTTATTTCAGAATATGCGGTGGAGTACTCAACCTAGATCTCCTGACCACACCTCCTCAACCTAAATGGATGCGCGGTTGCATCACTCTTACTACTCGTGAGTTATTAATTTATTGTTTCTTTTATACCATTATGAATTATAAACAAGCACATAATCCATCAGATAGTCAACATTTACCATAACCTATAAATGCAGTAATGGCAATTTATATACAATTAGAGAGTATTCTGTGAGATCTTTGGAGCTCTGTTCATGACCGCTTTCCATCAAATAAGCCATCGACTTGTTTGCCAATATATTTTGTTGCCCTGATGAAATAAAGAAAAATATTTATTTTGTACAAACATACGACAGCATCCACACGTGATTTGCAAAATAACCTAAAACTAATGATAATAATAGTAATATAAATAATAAAAAAAAAATTACGAGACCTTTTCACACCTTTCGAAGATCCCTATACTGTTTCATTGTTAAAATATTGTTATATACAACTTCGTTAAAAGACAGATGTAGTAGTAGTAGAGTTACAGGTAAAATAGTAATGCATTGATAACCTTATAAAAAGAAGGATAAAGAAAAATTAAGAAAGGATATTAAGCAAAGGTCAGTAGAAATATACCGCTAACTGTACCTTGTATTCTTATGAAAACCAAACTCTTATCATAATATCTGATACGATTTTTTAAGTAAATAAAACAACAGTGATAATCTTTCAATACCATATATATTAAATATATCGAATAGTATGTATTGGCTTAGAATTGAACCAGCAATTCTTTAATCACTTTACATTAACATGTGTCTTTAGTTCTCGTATTCTTTGGTAAGAACTCTGCAGTCTTGAATTCGAATCGCAAATCGTTGGTTGTCTTTAAATTTTAATTTATATTTTCACATACGTCAAGTACTAATTTAAAATTGAGTGATTTGAAATCCAAATTAAGATGTGAACTCAAGTTTGCATATTTAGAGAGGCTCGGCTTATACAGTCAATTGATGCAATTTTACATCATAATACATTTTCACCTGCTGTATAGCTGTAGTCTCGGCTTAGAGTAGGCTTCCCCCTCTTCTTTTCCCGTGTGTGTCGTAATGAAACATAATGCTTAAGGTATGGACAACAGCATGCCTCTTAAAACATCTCCAAGGCCTAACTGCAGTTGCTAATCCGCCTGCCAAACATGGCAACTACTGGCTAACCCCCTCCCCCCATACAAAAGCAGGCCTTTGTCTAGCAGTGGACATGTAGTGGCTGGTATGATATGGTATAGCCGGTAGCAAAGCATAATCCACGATATGCAATGAAATCCATGATGTTCAGTGAATAAATCTACTGCTGTCTTCAAAGACAAGGAATTTGACCACAAATTTTAAGACCAAATTACCTTCCCCCCTACAATGGGAGAGACATCAGTGATTAATAATGATAAATTCTACTGGTGGATCAGCAAACAACGTCCTTATATTCAGGCTAATGTAGTATTCTTGTATTTACGCTGCTGTACCACCAAGCTCTTTTTTAATCTCTTCCAAAATACAGTCTGTTCTGATGATACTTTGGGCCACACGATGTATGTCTTCGTCAACATCAAATAGTGCAGTGTAGTCGGCCGGAGACTCCTTGGAATCTCTTCTAGTAATACTAAGATCAGATCTTCACGGCGTGTCTCTAAAAGTCTGTAAAGTAATTGTATAATTAAAGGAAATGCACTTACTAATATAACACCTATAGTATTACTGAACTAGGAGTAATTTTTCGAAGAATTAGTTCATATCACTAATTAATTGAAAAAAATTATTTTATTTCGTTCAATTTAATTTATAACCGTTCGATGCCCAAACTGCGAAACACGCAGTTTACACTAGGCTCCAAACAGCGGTCTATTAATTTACCTAAATATGCCTCGTTTAGAGGTGATATACGTATCACAAAACATACGTGGACTGAATGACGGTTAAAGATTGATGGCTAATATGAAAGGTTATAGAACTTCTGGTAATAAAAATAGTAGTCAATCTTCGAGGTTTAACAGTCGACCGCACACTAGTGGTATCGAAATTAAACAAAATAATTCTAATCAAGAAACTAACGGATATAATGTTATCAAATTAAGTACAAGTAATTTAAAAATGGCCGTGTGGTCCCGGCATAGAATAGGCCACCCCTTCCTTTCCCGTGAATGTCGTAAGAGGCGACTAAACGAGGGCAAGGGAGGAGCAGCAGCATCCTTTTTAAAACAACTGCGGTTGCCAATTCTCCTGCTAGACATGGCAACCAAAGACAAAACTTGCAAAGGAGAGGCTTATGCTCAGCAGTGGACAGTTAAATGCTAATATGATGATGATGATGATTTTAAAAATTAATAAGTTTATCATTGTTGATACTGAGAAGATTAAAAAAAAAATGTCGTAAAAATTATTACAGTAATTTCTGGTATATACATCTTATAATACAATAATTAGGATGATAAGGTACACTAGGAATCTTAAGGGTTTATAAACATTCAGCAAGATGGATCTCGTCCTTAGTGAAGCATCACTAACTTCAAGATATATGTATATATGTAATATTTAACTAAACAGTGAACCAACATCCGCGTGTTGTTCTTATCACCAACCTGTGCTGCGCCAAGTGCATTTCAAATTGACACCATTGGCTGCGCAGAAACTGCTTAGAAATCACCAACATGATTGTTCTAGAGCGGTCCATACACGACACTATGTTCTCTAGAATCGAGAGACCCACCTGAAACCAATTATATTACTTTAAAGACCTTTTCTGACAATTTGCAGCAATGACAAGGTTAATGTGTTTTAATCTATATATTTGTATTTCTTGGTGCATAAATATAACTAAATATTCCCAAACATGTGCATGTAAAATATTTCAGACCATATACACAAATCGTGTTGCGAGGAGATACGGATGCTCCTGATTGAATAACTCACCCGGAAAGGGGGAAAAAGATCGTTAGTAATGGACAATCTCATTTGGGGATCAAACAGCCTCATTGCTAACAATATGTCCTACTAGATCGACTTCCACGCGATTCCCCCCGAAACCATCTTAGTTAATTCTTTATGAATTCATCTCTCTGGGCCAACTGACCTGATCATCGACAGCTATCATCTTTCACTAATGCCCTAGCGTACCCTAATAGTGCAGGCAGGGTTACTATTCCATTCTTATTTTCACATAAACCTTTTTTCCTGTGGATGCAACTAATTCGTGCATTCTCTTCCAGCCAGCTCTATTCCAGGCCATATCTTTGACCTCCCTGCACCATTCCATTATCACTCATTAAAAATACTCACCTGGAAGTCTCTCTCGTGCAAGCAAACACTAACACTACACTCAGTTTCCAAGTGAGGCAGCAGATGATCCAACATCCAGTTTCTGTCACCGTTGCAGTACGATACGAAGACGTCATAATTATATATCTTGCCCTCTGGAAGTAACATGTTCCATATAATGCAAGAAAAAGCCCAATATTACGACTAAAATGGTAGAAACACTAGTCTATTTTTAAGTACGTTTACAGACAAGATATTTATTAAGTGCAAATTATTTATTTTAGGGTCGGTGTATCATTTTTAATTTTCTTTTCATTGTACATTGTCGTATCATCATACCAGCCGTACAGTGTAGACAGTTAACGGCTGATGTAATAATAATAATAATTCAATTATTTAATTAAATTACCTTCATTAATGTCAGTTCTCGATATCAAACTCAACGTGGCCGAATTCCTCATCGTCACAAAGAAATAACCAAATTTTCTTCTATATATAAATATAATTAATAACAATAGTAGTAATGTTGTTGGTAAAGTCAATAACAGAACCAAATTGGTGCTAGTGTCAAGATTTCTTACTTTTTCCAAACTACGCTGCCAATCCTTACATGTTTTTACATTGATAAATGACATAAATCTATTCTTATATTCATGAAAACAAACATATGAATGTATATCATAATCTATAATTAAAAATCTATGATCTCTATCGACATAATACTTTTTACACTTCTCCGTATCACATATTGTTGATATATTGGCTCTTAATTCTATCATACTATTAAATTCACTCTCCGCTATATGATAATCAATAGCTTTTAGAGTGTTATTATCAGTATGTATCGATAAATCTATTAATGTTTGTTTTTGTTCATTATCATTTCTTGCAGCCAAATCTATAAATTCTCTCGAATGACAGTTACAGACTACATTGTTTCCAGACAATGATACGTAGGATATATTAGCAATATCGTCTATGATTTCCGCTGAGATTAAGTTTAGGTTGTTGTCTTTCAAAGATAAAAAACGCAAATTTGGCATTGTGGAAAAGATTGGTGGAATCCAAGAGCCAAATCTATTTCTCTCTAAATCCAGGACCTTCAAACTGGTCAGTGAAGCAACGACCCTTTTTGTGATTAACATAACTTCATTGTTCGTCAATTTTAAAACTTCAAGTTTACTAAATTTGTATAAATAATGAAAATGTTCAAATCCTACTTCGTTTGCGTATAAAATTTCTAGAGTGTCTTCCAACCCCGCTAAAATATTTGAATTTTCTAATATTCCATAATTTCCTGATATATCCAAATATTTCATTGAGGTCCCACTTAAGGCTTTTTCGGGAACACTTCTAACTTTGCTTCCACATAATGAGAGTCTCTGGAACTCTTTTCCTAATCCACTCAACACACGTACATTTCTACCCATCTCCGTAAAAGACAGGTCGAGAGATCTTAATTTTGACATTCTTTCAAATAAATCTGCTGATTCCATTGTAACAGATGTTAAACCACCATTTTTATCGTAAGCTTTGTTTCTACTAAGGTCTAAATGAATTAAGTTATTCAGACCAACAAATGCTTTGCCGTGGATATATTTAATGTTATTCTCACCCAAATATAAAGCCTCTAAATTTGGCATTCCTTTAAAAATTAAACCATTAATAAATTCAATTGAACACGCACGAAGGTCAAATTCACGTAAAACTGCAAATGTTGTGTATTGAAATCCAGTGGACCATATTGATTTTTCTGTAAAAAAAATATATGTTTTTATTCGAATTTTTCAGTCTTGAGTATATAAACTAGGTATTGCATTTTATGACCTTATCTCACCTAACAGTAAGTGATGATAAGATCCAAGATGTTGTTAAATGTAATAGAGCAAGAATATCAGTCAACTATTATAGCTTAGCTTATGTTCTAAAAGTGTTTTTTACTACAATTACCCCCAAATTTCGCGTACTCTAAATGTGTCTCCACTACATCAGTCGCATTGAGCATGATGTCGTACTGGACTCCAGGTGCACTGATATCCTTGAAATTATTTCCGTACAGAGTCAAATACTCCACTGTCTGACGCAATGGACGCCCGTTTGTGTCCCGTTGATCAAATACCTGGAAATTAGCAATACTCTTACCTAAAACGGAAATGAATATTTTCTATAATGCATGTTTTCTGTAAACTTGGACTTTATTATTTTGAGTCTAAAGTACAAAGAGCAAGAAATATATTTGGCTAGCTAAAGTAACGTGATTATAGGGTATTGAACGAACTATTGACTTTGTGATCATATTGGATTGTAGAAGCAAGCCTGTTAACCTGGCATTCTGGTAAGGGGATAGAACACCATTGAATTTTAGCCACTCTTCTTCCTGATTAGATTGATTTCATTATATTCAAATAATAAAAGAAGCCATAGAGAGATGTATGTGGGTTATTAATACATGCAGGTTTTATCAGCATTAAAAATATAAGTTTCTTGTGTAGTTTTTCGTTAATTTCGACTTCTGAGCGGCCGTTTACTGTTCACTGCTGAGCATAGACCTCTCCCATATAGAGATTTTTTCAGGAATTGCTACACTTGTCAGACAGTTTGACAACCGCAGTTAGGCTTTTAGTGATATTTTATGAAGAACTCTGTTGCCCATCCCTCGCCCTCCCTTAGTCGCCTCTTAAGACACGCACGTGAAAAAAAGGTAGCCCACTGTATGCCGAGATCGCATGGCTAATATACCATAAATTGCTGTTCTTCGAGCCTTAACATTTTGATTATTTGAAAATAAATAAAAACTTGATAAATTATTGTCATATACTTACTGGTGGAACTCTTTCAAGGTTGCACCTAGCCAGGCTGAGGTACCGTATGTCGGCGTTAGACCTGTACGGCGACTGCAGGTTCTTCTGCAGCATCGTCACCACATTGGTATTAGTAGACAGGTCGATTGAACGGTCCAACTCTGAAACGAGTTATATATACGTTTTAAAAGAAACGCTGCTACCCATCCCTCAACCATGAAGTTCCCTTAGTCGCCTCTTACGACATCCACGGGACAGGTAAAAGTGGCCCCTTCTATATCGGGACCACACGGCGAACACATACTAATGATAGCGGAATTGAAGAAAATAACTCTAATCAATGATATGGACTTCTGCAAGATTACATCTTATTCAGAAAGACATAGAGGTTTTTGTCACTCGATTCTCTTTGCCTACACCGTAAGGGGCGTGGCGTGAAGATAGATAAATATATCAACGTCATTTCAGCCATTATCCGTCCACTGCTGGACATGAGCCGCCCCCATAGACTGCCATAAAGAACGGTCCTAAGCCACCTGCATCCACTGACTCCCTACAACGCATTTCAAGTCGTCACTCCATACAGTGGGGGTCCTCCTACACTGCGTTTACCCGTACGTGGTCGCCATTCAAGAACCTATTTTCCCCATCGATTGTCGGTTCTTCGAGCTATGTGACCAGCCCTTTGCCACTTCAGCTTGCTTATCCTTCGGGCTATATCGGTTATTTTGGTTGTCTTGCGGATTCTATCACGCAAACAGACTCCGAGCATAGCCCTCTGCATAGCCCGCTGAGTAACTTATAGCTGTTGCATACGGACAATCTTGTAGGACCACGTTTCGATTCCGCCAGTCATCACTGGCAACACGCACTGGTTAAAGAGCTTCGTCTTCTATGATATTTCTTTTTATACAACTTAGAATGGCAAACAATCTGACGGCCCACCTGATGGAAAGTGGTAACCGTCGCCTATAGACATGAGCAGTACCGTGGACATAACAGAGTATACTGTTTCGCCCACGATACCCCCCATGCGTTGCCATTCCTGAGGACTCAGGTGTTATTCCTCCGTACCCAGTAAATTCACGCCATATCGTACCCTTCAAACCGAAACACAGCCGTGCACACACAACTGCTTCACGGTTGAAACACGAATGGGACAGAGGTACCCAAGCAATCGACTTTTGTACAAAGTCTCCCTCTGTAGTCTCTCTTTATAGTAAATAAATGATTTACCGTTAGGCTCTACCGTCAGAGTTCCAAACTCGTCTACCCATTTCTGTACATCGGTCATGTAGCCAGTAAGACATACTGTTGGATCTTTTGGCAACGCTATGGCTGGTAGAATACAGCAGAATACCCTGGAGAAATTCAGCATATTAAAAAAAATACAATCTTTTGACACATGAATTCATTTTTTTTAACTACCTAATGAATTGTAAGGCGTAAACTTAGGCGTTCTTAATTTTACAATAACTGATAAATTCAATTTTACAAATAAACTAGTGGTTCGATCCAGCTTCGCACGTGTAGATAGAATTTTCAAAAATAATTAAAATATATATCTTATGTTAATCACTGATAACGTAGCTTTTTATAGGTGAAAGAAATTTGAAAATCGGTCGAGTAGTTTTTGAGTTTATGCATTACAAACGAACAAACAAGTATATAGTCCTTTTATAATATTAGTATAAATGGAAAATATCAATCTTACAACAGCAATCGCCGGTTCCACAAACTAAATTTAAATTAGTAATTTTTTTATACAACTTAGAACGGCAAACAAGCTGACGGTCCACCTGATGGAAAGTGGTAACCGTCGCCTATAGACATGAGCAGTGCCATGGACATAACAGAGTATACTGTTTCACCCACGATATCCCCCATGCGTTACCACTCCTGAGGACCCAGGTGTTTTACCTCTGTACCGTGTAAATTCACTGCCATATCCCACCCTACAAACCGAAACACAGCCATGCAAACACAACTGCTTTGACAAATGATACAGAGGTACCCAAGCAAACGACTTTTGTACAAAGTCTCCCTCTGGTACGGGATGGAAAAGGTTACAGGCTAAAAGGGATAAAAGTAGCCTATGACCCATAACCTAAAGTGACCGCGGTCACTGAACACATCCCGGTCACGCAGACGAAGTTGCGGGTAAAAGCCAGTATGCAATACTTAGATTTGTAAGTAATATGATTATCTATACAGTAATTTTCTACTTTATTGTCAAACGGCTTAAGTTTTTTTAAATAAATGCAGAATACCAAATGATTTGCTTGCAAAACAACATTTCTTTATCTTTTAAGCCGAAGATAAGTAGTATAACTCATTACAGTGGCTGTGGACGATAAAATATCTGATAAATATAATGCGATTTTTTCTGGAAATTCATTATTGTAAAAATTTAAAAAACAAGTTCAAGACCACCCACGGACATAGATAGTCGTAGATGGCGCAAGTTCATTAATCCTCAGGAATGGCATGAGTAGTAGCATAAACATTACAAAGTATTCCATGGTGTTCATACTACAAGTTCATATCTATGGGCTACGGTTACCACGTTTCATTAGAGGGGGTGTCAGCTTGTTTGTCATTACAAATTGTATAGAAAAAAATACATCACACTATTTAATTACTTGTCTTAATGTACCAAAAAATATTTACAAATAGATTTTTCGAAATTTATATAAAACTCTTAGGTGAGGACTGAACGTAATTTAGCCTTAATTAACAAGTATCTATTGTACTAAATTAGGAATAAAAATTTTACGTACCTATCACACAAAATAGGTGCATATAGTCCTTACAATGATTTCCCGCCAAATTCTCATATCTATATTTTTTTTCATTACTTACAAATACATATATGAACATTGACAGAAAAGAAAAATGTCCGGGCTCATACCACAACTCATACAGCCATCTTCTCAAATGACAAAATACGCCTACAGCACGTACCTTTTAAAATATATAGGTACTTTTTGATTCCAAAATGTATTTGTAACCGAACCAACTAAGTGCTTTGGTACTCTCATCATCATATCAGCCATTATTTGTCCACCGCTGGACATAGGCCTTTCCCATAGACTGCCATAAGGAACGGGGCCGTTCCTTATTGCAGTTTACTATTGGGGAATTTTGACAGTAGTTGCCACGCTTGGCAGGTAAGTTAGCAACCGCAATTTAGCCTTTGGTGATGTTTTAAGAGGGACGCTGCTGCCCATACCTCGACGATTAAATTTCTTAAGTCGTTTCTTACGACATCCACGGGAAAGGAAGAGATAGCTCATTCTATGCCGGGACCACGCGACATCTGCTGCTCTACTATTTACTAATTATACCATTTTCTGTGAGACTTTAGTCATTAATAATTCAAGATTGTGATATTTTTGTTCAAGTAAACTTAGATTTAAGCATTTTTGAATAGTAGTTTTTCACTTTTTACTTACTTATATCATTGTACATTGTCTGCTTAATTGTTGTAAGCATATTGTTGGTGTCTTTTATAAATAAATTAATAAATAAATAAATATCCTTTTAAACAAAAAAAGAAATTTCCAAATCGGTTTACAACTGACGGAGTTATGAGGTAACAAACATAAAATAAATTACAACCGAATTAAATACCTCCTTCATTTTTAGGTAAACTGATAAACTTTTTTTTATGCAACTTAAAATGACAAATAAGCTGATAGCCTACCTAATAGAAAGTGACATGAGCAGTACCATGGACACAACAGAGTATACTGTTTCGCCCATGATACTCCCCATGCGTTGCCATTCCTGAGGACTCAGGTGTTATTCCTCTGTACCCTGTTAATTTTACTGCTATATCTCAACCTTCAAATCGAAACATAGTCATGCAAATACAACTGCTCCACGGTAAAAACATGAATGGAATAGAGGTTCCCAAGCAAACGAATTTTGTACAAACTCTCCCTCTGGTATTAAATTAGTTAAAATTGGAATTGTTTTGAATTATAATAAAAATCGACGTAGATTAAATTTTTAATTAGGTAGGTATTACCGTATACTAAACTAATAAACTTTTTTTTATGCTACTTAAAATGACAAACAAGCTGACAGCCCACCTGATAGAAAGTGACATGAGCAGTGCCATAGACATAACAGAGTATACTGTTTCGCCCATGATACTCCCCATGCGTTGCCATTCCTGAGGACTCGGGTGTTATTCCTCTGTACCCAGTAAATTCACTGTCACATCGCACCCTTCAAACCGAAACACAGCCATGCAAACACAACTGCTACACGGTAAAAACACGAATGGTACAGAGGTGTCCGAACAAACGACTTTTATTCCCTCTGTAAAGTCTCCCTCTGATAAATTACTTACAATAATATACTTACAATATTTTTAAAATCATGGCGCTGTTGAGCGTAAGCTATACATGTAATCCGTCATCATAAATGCAATTCACAACGGTCACACAATGCACTATCACTTTATCTCACTCTTACTTATGGCATAAAGATGAAATAGTAACAACCATAGTAAAATATTTATAACTTTTTTTTTAACGCGTCCGCAGCCGTTGGAACATATTGGTTGTAAATTATCGAATGTCCGTTATCGTTTAGACATAGGTAAGTATTATCTTATCTTTCATTTTCAGAGACAAGGCTCCTTCACCTGATAGGCATAAGCGGATGATACAAAACATCTGATTTTATCTCATTTAGCGCCAATCTATAAAATAATATGGGTGCAGTAAAAACAATGACTTGGGGGAAAGGGATTGTTAGCAATGGAGTTTGATAGCCCCATTGCTAGCAATATGCCCTATTAGGTCGACTTCCACTTAGTTCCCCTGTAAACCATCGTGAACAATTCTTGTTGAATTTGTCACGATGGGCTAACTGACCTGCTTCATCCACATCTATCATCTTTCACTGGTGCCCCGCCGGTGTGTGCCGATAGTGCGGGTTACCATTCCATTATCACGCAATAAAATAAAACACAATGACTTAGACATATATGTTAATATCAACCTAGTAAAAATAAATAAATAAAAATCTACCTCGATTTTTATTTATTTATTTTATTTTATTTATTATTGTACACACCAGTTATAAGAATATGACAGAGGTAATCAAAAGTACAAAGGCGAGTTTAACTCTGAAAGAGTTTTCTTCCAACAAGCCCAAAGTGGAAAGGAACATCAATGTCAGCGGATACAGCAGTGTACAATAATTTTATTATAATTCAAAGCAATTCCAATTTTAACAAATTTTATACCAGAGGGAAACTTTGTAAAAAATTCGTTTGCTTTGGCACCTCTGTCTCATTCGTATTTCTACTGTGAAGCATGTGTGTTTGCATGACTATGTTTCGATTTGAAGGTTGAGATATAGCAGTAAAATTAACAGGGTACAGAGGAATAACACTTTAGTCCTCAGGAATGGCAACGCACAGGGGGGTTTCAGCGGCGAAACAGTATAGTCTGTTATGTCCATGGTATTGCTCATGTCTAGAGGCGACGGTTACCACTTTCCATCAGGTGGGCCGTCAGCTTGATTGCCATTCTAAGTTGTATTAAGAAAGAGACCGAAATAGAAGAAAACCTTGTTGTTCGTAAAAATAGTCGTCAAAATCGTTTCAGAATTACGAAGATATCACGTAATGTACACATCAAAATCCGTCATAAAATAATCTTGAACAGATCTTTCCCAGCAAATTACACCAGTTCACGAATATGATGATGATGATGAAGAAAACATCATTTCATCACACCATTAATGGTCTGGGGGCCTACCATGAAATGAAATTCCGAAGTTTCGGACTCAATTTCGTGTTTTCGTTCATACCTAAATCGACCCAGTAAATGGAGCTTAACATTTCTATCGTCATAAATCCTACCATAAAAGTCCAAAGGGATAATGTTTTTAAACGGTAAGTATTATGTAATTTTAACATCAAATTTGTGTTTCATTCGGTTCCGAAATTTCGGAAAACATTTCATGGTAGGCCCTCTGAACATTGTAGAATATACAATAGAATTTATTAAGCATGACTTCCTTAAACTATCAAATTGCTTCAGAACCATTTTTATCTATTCCATGCAATTGATATCAATATTAATTTAATCATTATATATATATATAAAATAAATTACTAAAAAGATAAAATTGTTACGCATTTTAGTGTTTACAGATTTTGTCACAATGAGGAAGAAACGCTGCAGCACTTAATTTGTGGATGTAGCCCACATATACATAAACGATATATCGCCTTTGGAATGCACACTCTATATCCTGTGGAGTTAAAAAACATCGCTACATAAACATCTTTTTATTTACAACACAGGCGGCAAACGAGCATGTGACTCACCTGATGGTAAGTGACTACCGCCGCCCATGATCACCCACAACACTAAAGGCATTGCAGGTGTGCTGCCGGCCTAGGAATATGCTCTTTTCTTGAAGGTTATGACGTCGTATCGGTTCGGAAATACTGCTGCTGACAGTTGATTCCAAAGAGTGGTTGTGCGTGGCTTTGAAGAAAGTGCCTTGAAAAACGCACAGTGGAAGACCGCCACTCGTCCGGATCTTAAATTTACTTAAAACATCATATCTGATTGAGCGTGTGATTCCGACATAGAATGGGACATTTCACGGCATTTCATGAGGAATTGGTAGCATCCTTCTGACTGCGTGGCAACTACTGGCAAAACTCCCCTTATGAGGGAGGCTTATAAATAAATAAAAATAATAAAAATGTTTATTTGGGATCCTTAGCTTAATTTACAGTTTTCTTTTTAGGATCGATAATAACTGCATTTAGTCACAAAGAGACTGTGTCGCAGCTATTAACGCCCGCTCCATAACATGCGGTACAACATTTAAATAACAATAACACAGGAGAAAATTAATAAAATTGGATTTTGGATTGAAAACAATGGATTTTGTGTGTGTGTGTGTGTGTGTGTGTGTGTGTGTGTGTGTGTGTGTGTGTGTGTGTGTGTGTGTGTGTGTGTGTGTGTGTGTGTGTGTGTGTGTGTTGTGCGTGTGTGTGTGTGTGTGTGTGCGCGTGCTTGCATGCGTGTGCGTGTATGTGTGTGTGTGTGCATATTAAATTTTAACCATTAAACCTTGATCAATGACTCGACATCATCAATGTTCAATAGTAGACAGTTATATATATATATATATATATATATATATATATATATATATATAACTGTCTACTATTATATATATATGTTTATTCTTATCTAAAATTATGTTACGCTCCATTTGATATTTATCATGACGTGTGACTAACTCACCTTATCTATTGTAACTTTATATCCGTCGATTGCATCATAGGACACTGTAACAAACTACTCACCATCAGGCGGGTCGTATGCTTGTTGTCATCATTTCATAGTGTAACAAGCTATGCCCACGACTTCGTCCGCATGTTGCCTAGTCAAAATTAACTTGATTTTTAATTAAGATATTTAATAGTTTATTTTATAACTATATAAAATATGGAGGTATCTTTTTCAACAGGAATAGCAACGCATGAAGTCTCCATGTATAAATTTACAATAATAACTTGAATTTCAATGTGGCTCTAGTAATATAACTTGTAATTAATAGTTGATTGTTAATACATACATACATATCTGTCACGCCTGTCTCCCATTAGGGTAGACAGAAACAATGGAACGCCAAATGCTTCGATTCAAATAGACCTCTTTCGCTTCTTCCACATTCATCAATCTTTTCATACACGCTCGCCGGTTACGGGTACTTTTAATTTGGCCCTTCTTCAGAATAATTAATAATAATAAATTGATTGTTAATAATACATATAAAAATGTTGCATGCCAAATTGGCTGAATTACAGTTGCACAAAATGTATAATACTACCTGAACTTACCACATTCATCGAATGAATGAATAATAAAACAAATGAATGAATGAATGAATCGCCGTGAAAATCCATTCATTCATGAATAGATTTTTATTATACAAAAACTACTAAACAGAATTTGATGAAATTTGCTACACGGTTAGGTTGTGGCGTCTGTAAATAAATATTGTAAATATTCACCTCATAGCCACTTGTCAACATCATTACTTTCTTTTCCATCAAGTAGGTTAATTTAATTGTACATAGATATTTCACCTCTTTCTATGTTTCGCACTGGACGTACAGACATGACAGCGACGTTTACTTCTCACATTCATTTCCGCTGTCATTCTCTCATTATATGAAAATCGATAATATAATCAAGTTAGTTGTTATTTATGGTATTTCCTCCAAACAACTACAAGGTTAAGTCCAAACTTAATACGAGTATAGACAATACATTATTTACGGCAAAGCCGCGAGATGCAGTTAAATGAGTGTAACGTTAAGTTCTGGCTTCAGCTATTTTTCCTCATACATTTCATGACCGAAATTTATTTCAATATTACTCGCACAGTTCAGCTGCCCAAGAGTCTCCAGCCGATGACGTACCAGGTACAGTACCGCGCCCCCTCCCCGCCACCGGTGGGGGTGACCCGGACCCCAGAAGAGATTGAGATGGAAATGAAGAAAGTGGAAGCCGAGTATGAAAAACTGGCGTTGGTGTTTATTGAGTAAGTTAGGAGTTTTTTAAACATGCCCCATAAATAGACATAAAAAATACAACCATGATTTGAAATTTTAATTCACAAAAAGGAGCGAGTTCAATCTTGAGAGCACCAAATAAAATAGAACCATATTGCTGTACAAATAATTATCAAAATTTCTTTAGGATTGACAGAGAAATCAAGTAATAGAAACATAAATCAGCAAAGCAGGCTCCCCTATCTCTTGCATTGAAACTACACAATGATATTTTGAGCCAGTATCCGCAATTGGATGTATTTGCCTCCAACTTGCTGGAGTTTCGTCGAGTGACCACAGAATATTTGTGTTCAGACGTTTTTTGTTTGAGTTAAATCTTTTTATATTATTTTTTGTTTAATATTTTTGTGTAATATTCCTTTTTTATATGTTATTGTACTCATGCTTTCCTGGGTGGGTTTTCAGTATTGGAAGACTGTAAGGCTCACCCAGTGGATGTAATAAATAAATAAATAAAAACATACAGGAAAATTCAGAATGATCTATGTTTTGAATAATATGATAAACACAAACGTATGTAGATGGAAACAAGATGAGAGTAAACCCAATTTGTCACAAAAAAAAACAATCAAAATTAGTTCAGAACCGGTCAAAGTATGTAATGAAAAAGTACAAACAAATCTCAATTCTAGAGGCAAAAACTTTCTCTGTTCAGGAATTCTCTTCATTCATATGATATCTCTTCTAGCCTCCCCCAAGAACTGGTATGGTCAGAACCACCGGTCGTCTGCCAGTGGCAGGAGGCGAGGAAACTCTGGACGAGCAACTACGTCAATGATTATAAGTTCAACGAGGATAAACTCACTGTGCAGTTCAGGACGGGCGTTTTATGTAAGTGATCGCATCTAGATGACATCTGTACATCGAAGATATTTAAGAAAAATATATATGAAGGGTCTTAATAAGAGTAAAATAGAAGTCAAAATGATGATGATTTTTTGTCTCTAGGAATATTTCATCAGAGGGAGACTTTGTACAAAAGTCGATTGCTTGGGTACCTCTGTCCCATTCGTGTTTCAACCGTGAAGCAGTTGTGTTTGCATGGCTGTGTTTCGGTTTGAAGGGTGGGATGTGGCGTGAATTTACTGGGTACAGAGGAATAACACCTGAGTCCTCAGGAATGGCAACGTATGCGGGGTATCATGGGCGAAACAGTATACTCTGTTATGTCCATGGTACTGCTCATGTCTATAGGCGACGGTTACCACTTTCCATCAAGTGTGCCGTCAGCTTGTTTACCATTCTAAGTTGTGTAAAAAAAGAATTGTGTTGACAACACGCTAAATCCCACTACCTATCCTTAGTATCACTTAGTCCTCCGTATTTCCAGTTTTATTATATATATATATATATATATATATATATATATATATATAATAAAACTGGAAATACAGTTTTGTAAATATCTAACGCAGTAAGCATTATGGCTTTATCACAATTTATTTTTTCGTTACAGGGCCTATAGGAATTGCTACGCTGAGATACAGCAATATGCCGTACCAGGGCTGGGATGTAAAACCAGATCCCGACAGGTACATAAGTTTAAATATATCAGTCCATTAGTCTAAGATTTTTTTGCTCAGTATTTCTAAGGTGCAATATGATAAAGGCAGATGTATAAATAATGTAATAATTGCAAGAACATCCTGTGAAATCACGTTGTGTTTGCGTTGACAACTCTGAAAATTACTTCTAAAGCCTCCTTTAAAAAACCTTTTGCTTAATTATTTTGGGAAAAAATCAATATTATTGTTATATTGTAATAACCTTTATATTGTAATAAAATTTTCATTGATTTTTAATCTGTGCAGTAAAGGCGTCATAATAACAGTGACTGGCGTGAGTGTGACGGTGACGTGGCTGTGTGTGGGCAACTCGGTGCGGCTGAAGTGGATCGCGAACGCCACCACGCCAGCACTGAAGGAGCACTTCAACAAACCCTACAGCGTGAAGAGGATGCTACAAGTAACTATTTCAAATTTAATATTTTAGAACTAGCCGGTCTATTTTACTGAACTAGACGTTATCTTGCGAAAGTCCATATCACTGGTTTTTTTTTTTTTTTATGGGTGAAAATGGTAATGAAAATTGCCATTCCTGAGGATTCAGGTATTATTACTCTGTACCCAGTAAATTCACGCCATATCCACCCTTCAAACCGAAACACAGCCATACAAACGCAACTGCTTCACGGCAGAAACACGAATGGGACAGAGGTACCCAAGCAATCGACTTTTGTACAAAGTCTCCCTATATTGCTGGCAATGGGGCAGTTAAACCCCATTATTAATAATCCATTTCCCTCTCATCACCAAATTTTCATCATCCAGATAATGAGGGAGGCAGCCTGCGACTTCTTCCCCGACTTCGACGCTCACAACCACATCGAAGGCTCCTGCCCCAAAGAGTGGGTGATGGAAAGACATAACTACCACGCTATGGCGTTTCTTTCCAGAGCATACAACTTTCAATGGAGCAGGTATGACAACGAATCGCTATGAAATTTTAATATACACGCAATATATGCGATGGAGATCCCTGCCAAGCATGGCATCTACTGGTAGTAGTAGTGGACAGCTAACGACTGATATGATGATATGGGATGGAGAAAGACATAGGCCACTATTTATTCCGGTGGTCAGTGAATATATCCCACTGACATGCACAAAGTCGCGGGTAAATGCTAGTCATTAATATTAACAAATGGAGAGAAATTTAATTTTTAAAAAACAATTGAATGCAGGAGAATATTTTCTGTCTGTAAATAGATCTTGCAAGTTTCAGAATAGTATTTTGAATAGACATTTTCATATATGTAAATTGTACGTTTTATTGTCTCTGTTTATGTGGTATGCTGAACCTTCGTCATCATGTCAGCCGTTAACTGTCCCCTGCTGGACACAGGCTTCCCCTTGTTGGGAGGTTTTGCCAGCAGCGCCACGCTTGACAGGCGGATTGGCCGCAGTCAGACTTTGGTAATAATGAGTATGATTTCGTAAGGGGTCACCAATCAAGAACCCTTCTTCCCCATCGATTGTCGGTTTTTCGTGCTATGTAATCAGCCCATTGCCTCAACCATCATGTTCCCTTAATCGCCTCTTACGATACTTACAGTAAAAGAAGAGATCACACGGCAATATGGCTGAATACGCTAATGGTAATGTGTGGTGGAATTCTCTTGAAGTCCCAATATATATAATAAATGCTTTACAACGCTATCGCTTGCCTTCGGCAAACCATTATAAGTAAATAACAATACGTATTTTTTTTAATGAATGATATTGCAATGGTAACCCCGCTTATGCTAACGGTATACGCTGGCGGGGCACCAGTGAGGGATGATAGGTGATAATGAAAAGGCAGGTCAGTTAGCCTATAGTGATGTATAAACCTGGAATTCAGCACGATGATTTCCAGGGGACTTCGACTCGACAAAGTATATTGCTAGCAATGCGCCTGGTAGTCTGCATTACTAACAATACTTATAGATGGAATGCCGCTGCTGGTTATCGGACTATCGTCATGCAAATACGAGAGGCAGTCGACAAGAAAAGAGAGGTGCGTTTGACATATCTAGTCTTTATATTTGTTTATTTAACTTTTTATTGCACCATAAACAAAAATATACAATGACAGTTGAACACTTCAAGTGAAATACAGTAACATAAATACAGATTAAAATATATACTTATATAAAGGTACAAAAATCGGTCTTATCGTTAGGGCAATCTCTTACAGACAACCTATAATAATGTATTCCTAAAAAATTTACTTCAATTGTGATAAAACCAGTTATTTCAGTTAATTACTGAACCGATTTTGATAAAAATTCTATAGAAGAATAATCTGTAATCCTGAATGATAAGTAATGTGTAATGTGAATAATTTTCCAAATCGATTTTCAACTAGGAAGTTGATTTGTTTTTTTTTTTATCTGAAATAGAGATTCATCATCGTCATCATTTGCTCATCATCATCAATACTGGACATAGGCCTCTCCCATAGACTGCCATAAAGAACGGTCCTAAACCAACTGCATTCACTGACTCTCTACAATGTATTTGAGGTCGTCACTCCATCTAGTGGAGGGTCACCGTACACTGCGTTTTCCCATACGGGATCACCAATTAAGAACCTTTCTTCCCCATTGATTGTCGGTTCTTCGAGTTATGTGATCAGCCCTTTACCACTTCAGCTTACTTATCCTTGAAAATACAAATTGATCTCACAGAAATTTTATCAAAATCGTTTCAAAAAAAGTAGTTTAGTTTTTAAATAAAAATAACTGATTTTACTACGATTAACCACTTAATGCGAGGGTTTTTTCTGTGAAATGCGATCAACTAACAGCTAGCACTGGTGCACGCACTAAATTCCCACAAGCATACAATAAATATACACTAAGCTCTATGAAATACAAACGGACGAGAAGGTATCCATAATATTTTAAAGTGGCGAGAGGTACTCGGGATAGCGCAAATCGGAACACATTTGATGCGCGAGAGGGTCTCGTTCGAGGTGGTTAACCCTTCTTTGCATGATTTTTTTTATTGGCGAAATAAATCAAAGTGATATAATTTATGTTTAAAATTAAAGGAAAAATGGTTAAAAAATAAATTTGACAGCTATGTTTTTTTTTTCTGCAATGGACATTAAAAAGTTATCCAGACACGATCAACTTAAAGTGAACTTGTTCTTTTATATAAGTTTTAGGCATTCAATGTTATAATGGAAATTTCTACCATTATGCAATATAAATAGTTAAATTAAATAAATAAATAAATTGTTAAATAGTTAAAGTCTATTTTTTTTGTGGAATACAATTGTATTTACTTTTTAATAATGTCAAATTATTAATATTATCTCCGTATGTTGCAGTCCAAATTCCAGCTGCTGTACGTAACACCACAAAGGGCCACCATACTCAAATGTAATGAGATGTCGCAGGAGTATAGTTCAGAACCAATGATGGGATTACAGGTGAAATATGTATATATTTTTATATTGTTTTATTCCTTTCATTAGCCGTGTGGTCCCGGCATAGAATAGGCCACCCCTTCCTTTCCCATGGGTGTCGTCTAACCGACTAATTGAGGACGAGGAATGGACAGAAGCGTCGCTCTTAAATCATCTCGAAAGCCTAACTGCGGTTGCCAATCCGCCTACCAACCGTGGCAACTACTGGCAAAACCCCTAAAAGGGAGGCTTTTCAGTTTAGCAGTGGACAGTTAAAGATTGATATGATGATATTTTAGGATAAAATAAATCATTATCATCAAGAGAACAGAGGCACTTCTATACCGTGTTATCATCCATTAAAAAAAATGTGAACTTCAGCGCGACGGTTCCGGGGGAACCACATGGAGGTCGGCCTGACTCGGTATATAGTTAGCAATGGTAAACCGCATAACTAGCAATCCCCTCCCCCCTTTCCTTTGCATTAAAATGAAACTGCCCAAGCTTTACCTGAAATATACATGTTTCAGTTCTACCCGGATCTATTCACACTCAACATGTCCTATGGTTCGGTGGACGCGCGCCGCGCCACCTTCAACATGAAGTATCGCCTCGTAGAGACAATCTTCGAGATGTTGCAAGAATTGAAATTGTCTAGTTATTCATAGTTTCAATGTAAACTTAGAAGACTTATGGCAACATTAAAATTGAGCCAATTTTTAAGTACAGTTGAACAATCCTATTATACTGTTAATAAAATAAATGAAAAAGTTTGTGACAATGGATTAATAGGTGTTCATTACTCTTTCATGCAAAAAATACTGAATCGATTTGAATGAAATTTGGCACACGGGTAGGGTATATCCTTAGATTATATAAATAGAGCATCGAGCATCAAGTTTCAAACGCTGGTCAACTTTTTATCAGATAATTGTCAAATTAGCTGACTCATTTTTTTATCATTGTTCTATATACTTATGCATATTATGTATCTCGACGTATTATTTAATAAATAAAATGAGTGTTTACGCATTAAAATGATGCAGAAATTATAAAACAAAAAATATATAAAAATTATAAAAAAAAAAGCTTAAAATACTCATCATGCAGTAAAATTAATGAGCTATCGTTAAAATTTTTAATATTGTTAGCAAAAAAAACTATTACAAAGCAAAATACGTATTAGATGCAAAATTTTTGTGATACATTTAAGTGCAACTTATTTTAATATTTAGTTCGCTAACAACGCAATTTCAAATAATCCGAAACATTGGGGCCGATACTGACGTGTCATTTCTTTATTTTTTAGCCTAATATATAATTTAATGATTACTTACAATAAAGATTTTGCTGTTATATCAATTTTTTTTTATTTTAAAGACAGGTTTAGAGAATTGGCACTTCAGAATTGACCGAATTGAATTCAGGATACGGCGTGAATTTACTGGGTACAGAGGAATAACACCTGAGTCCTCAGGAATGGCAACGCATGGGGGGTATCATGGGTGAAACAGTATATTCTGTTATGTCCATGGTACTGCTCATGTCTATAGGCGACGGTTACCACTTTCCATCAGGTGGGCTGTCAGCTTGTTTGCCATTCTAAGTTGTATAAAAAAAACTCATTAAAAGTTGTTCATTGGTTATCGAAAATTGTCGAAAATTTCGACGTTGCCATTGATACGCTACGTTGTGAAATATTTTTGTTTATATTTACTTTCCTTTATTCCCTTAATTAATTATGCAATTCTGTATTTATAAGTACAAAAATTTACGTCATAGACTGATAAGTTTTTATGGAAATCTGAGTTTCCCAAACCATCCGCTAGGGGCGCTGTTAAGTTTCCAAACAAAAAAAAATATTACTATCTAGGTACATAGGGGGGAAGGGATCGGTAATTACCAGTCCCATTGCTAGCAATATACCCTGTCAGGTCGACCTCCACGCGGTTCCCCCTGCATCTGAGTTAGTGTATTCATCACGATGAGCTGACTGACCTGCCCTTTTTCATTATTCACCTATCACTCCTCACTGGTGCCCCGCCAGCGTATACCGATAGCGCAAGCAGGGTTACCATTCCATTAATCATCCATTAAAGTAGGTACATAAAGTATCCTATGCATGAAGTTAGGATATACACCTACCTGTGTAGCAAAATTCAATCGAATCTGTTAGCTATTTACTTGATATTGAATAACAAACCAATGTTATCTTCCACGTTATGTAAATCTGTATTAAAATCACACGTCTCTCTTGTGTGTTTTCTATGGCGTTTCTTTCTCTTATTATATTCTATTTAGCACATGAAATGTTGAAATTTATTGTATTATATTTACCCTAGAGACTACAGTATGGAGGACTTAAAAAAAATGTATTAAGGTTTCTTCAGGTTCGGCAACGCGCACGTGACACCTCTAGTGTTGCAGGCGTCCATAGGCTACAGTGACCGTTTACCATCAGACGAACTGTATGCATGTTTGCCACCTTTATTATATAGAAAAAAAATTAATAACATGAAGTACGTAATTTTCGAGTCAGGAAATAATAAAAAAAAAACCATACACACTTTAGTAAAAACTTTGTTGAGTAAAAACAATGCTTGTATATATTTTAGGCGCCAAAATCAAACGAAAGTGTTACTATAAACAAATTCTATTTTTATTGATTAAAAAAAAACTAAAAACTACTAATAGTATAAAAAAAAGTAAACTGTCACTCCTTCGTCTATGAAACTTGAAATAAGGTGTTAAATTTACAAAAAAAATGTTTTATTAACAAATATGCCATCGCAATACAAAATGTATTAGGTGATGGGTTACTGTACATTTATCGAGGTTTTTACTGGTAAACTGGCAACATCTGAGTTTTTTTTTTACAACACAGAGGGCAAACGAGCATGCGGCTAACTTGATGGTAAGTGACTACCGTCACCCATGATCACCCACAACACCAGCGGCATTGCAGTTGTGCTGCCGGCCTTTTAAGTGGCTATTGTAAGTCATACATGTATTTAAATTTACCTGCATTCACGTTTACTCAATAACCTTTACTTTCAAAACTTGAGCTAATTTTTAACGATGTCTATATATAACAAATATTTTATAAAATTTCCGTCAATTGTGTCCACTCCATCAGCAATTCTTCTTCGGGGTAAGTACAACGCTTTGTCTCGCGAAACTTCCCAACGACATTACGACGACGTTATCGACAATTTTTTCGACAAAGATATATATATATTCTCGTTATATATATATATATATATATATATATATATATATATATATATATATATATATATATATATATATATATATATATATATATATATAGTCCATTACCTACCATTATATATCAGGTTGTCTTAAAAAGTTTGTCAGCAATCGTACTTATACAATTGTATCGTTGTGTTTGTAAATTGTCTTGCAGCAAATAAAGCCATTCATTCATTCATATATATATAATCAGTTCTGTATCGAAAAACTAACGAATAATTTCGGAAACTAAGATTTCCATACAAACTTATCGAGTAAACGGAACAAGATCGTTACGTAAGTCTTTATACAACTAGGCCAAAAATTTTAATATACACACAAATAAACTGAATGATTGTTTGCCTGTATCCATCATTATGTATCAAAGTAATTATTTAAAAAAACATTTTACTATTTTGGCAGAAAATCCAGATGTCGCCAGTCATAAGCGTTTTAATTTTATAGTCTATGTATTTATTTAGCAGAGCTTTACATTACAAACAATATTTATTTATGAAAACACGTTTTTTTATAATGTAGTAACTATGCAAGTGTTACGTCACAGATACAAGTCACTTGCAAGATGGATTCGCAGGCGACAATTTAATTCGCATGCATAATGCAAGTTTGTAATCCATTGCCATTGTTGCCCATTTTATTATATATTAAATTAATTAAACAATATCTCTGTGTAACATGACAAAAATTTTATTATTTTCACAAATTACAAAATTTCTATGTAAATCGAAAATTCTAGAATTTCTTGCGACTTGTATCCAAATGCAAGCAATTTGAATGCAAGCAGAACTTGTAAACTCGCGAGCAATTAACCTACGTAAACATACAACTTGCAAGCCAATTGTTTTTAATATACAAGTTACAAGCAACTTGCATACAAGTCACTTGCATTATGTACAAAATCCTCTATCAATACAAATTGCGCATAACATGTTAGTGTGGAATATGTTACGTGGGTACGAAACAACAATGACGTAATAAAATTTTCCATCATGGAAGAATAAAAAATAGATGCCACAAAATTCTGGCAATCTCATTAATGTACATATACAGATATCGCATACGCACAAACGTATTATTTAATTTAAACGACAGCTAGTAAACTAATAAAAAACAAATACAGGCAAAGAAGCAATTATACAGCTTTCTTTGCTTCGTGAAACACGAAATTATCCGGCCTATAGTCATATTACAATCTTTAAAAACCTAACCAATGTTTTACACCTCTTAAAAAAAGACCAAAGTCTGCGAATAGCTCTCTATAGTACATAAGACGCAACTATAATGTATTAGAAATATAAAACTCCGCTGTAAAGTCATTATATGCTATTATAAATAATATTACTTGTAAAGTAATTAATTACTTTTATTCTAAAAGGGCGAAGGAAAAACGTAGTGTAGAGAACGTAAGGGACCCACATCATAATGTATGGCAGAACTTTAGTATAACGTACACGCAAAATGCCTAAAAACTGCAATTAAATTCATAGATTCGATATAACTTATAGACAATATTTAACATTATCTTTTTTTTTTTTAAAGTGAGGACTGGTTTTTTTGCACAGATATCACAAACGAGATCGCAGTGCAGCACGCGTGCACTTTATTAATTTAAAAACATAGCCGATCACAGTCAATATCTAAAAAAAAAAAAACATAATTGAACATCGAAAAAACCAATCCTCAAAATGTAGTCGAACGCGCAAGCTATAAGTGATTTCTCTTGCCACAATTAACATATAATAATGTACATCCAAGAATTTTTATGGATTGAAACATATACCTCCATATTTTTTTAAATTCTATGGATTTTTTTTTTATTTTTTACTAATATAGTAACGACCGCTTTAGTTAAATAATTAAAAAGCATTTTATATTAAATTACACAACTAACTAAATGAATAAAACTTTTTTTTTTTTATTTCTGTTCTTATTATTTACAATAAATGAATGATTAAATAATAGATTTAAAGTGCCAGCGTTGCCATATATGAATATTTTCGATTAAAACTGTGGTTGTACATGGCAACACTGGCTTTTACACTACGTACGATTTCGGTTGTCCCAAAAGAATATCTTTCACTTTGGGATAACTTACAACTGGTATGAATATCAGGAACCAATACAAAATACACCTACATAAATATGATGTGACAGTTTTTTTTTTTTTTTCTAGGTTAAGGACTTTGAGCTGTTGAGCGATCAAGCTAGGTAATCAATGTTAGCGGTTATGCACAAGCCCCTTGTCGCTAAATTCGGTCAAACAAAATATGTTTTTATTACAAAAATAGTTTAGTAACTCGTGTCAGTCTACAACGCGGCTATTCAACACATTCTGCGCGTGCTACCTTGCAAATATACTACTTCGGTATTTATTATCTGAATATTATGATTAAACGAAACGTTATAAATTGAAACTCATCTGAAAAGTTGACGTTCCGAACACAGCAAGAATATAAAGAGACAGACTGTGGTTCACGTCGACTGGTCGTCCAGTTTGTCGCCTTAAGACCTGCGTAAAAGCTCAAATATGTAATAAAAATCGGTTATGCTGCTTTCACGGGGCGACAAATCACCATTGTCTATCTCTATAGATTATCGCTACTTTCAGAATGCTTACCTTAACATTCATGACATAGTTACATTGAATCAGACTCATTCAGAAGCAACATTACTTACGTCATTCTATACTAAACTAATATCAGAATGACAATACTAAACGTATAAGAATGGTCTGAGCAATCGACTACGTGGTTTTACTTAAAAAAAAAGAAAAAAAATTAAGCTTTCCCGCCATTTTTCAGCTTCATATAGTCATGTCAAAATGGCGGACAATAATTACAGCTATCTAGATAAATTCATAGCGTTTCTTTATATTTAATTCCTAAAATATAGCATAGAAATATTTTCAAGTCATAAACCTGGAATTAAATGTGTTAACTTTTTATATAAAAATGGAAAGATGTCCAATTACTTGAAAATACAAATCTATAATTTTTTTTTACCTTTTTTTTTAATTTTTTTTTTTTTATTATATAAAATCCATTATAAGTACGTATAAATTGAAAGGTGAAAAACTATTTATAATATTTTTTGACTCTTTAACAAATATTAGTCTTTTTTTTTACTATACAAAAATTTAACAAGGGAGGGGTTGAAAAGAAAAATGTTTTAATGTTACTTTAATGTTTATTAATAGTCGATTGCTCAGGTTCCTAATTAATTAAATATACATACAATATACATTGAGAACTACGTTTTATACATAACCAATATAATTATACATTATATATTTAGAAAACAACGCCTATTTTGACCATCCTCTTTATATACTTGATAAAAAGAAATAAAAATACGTAACGTACTTTCGCTTGTGCCATTTCGCGCAATGAGATTTTTAACAAATGACGTCCTAGATAATAATATTGGCTTTTTTATATTTTTTTTATTTTTTACAAATCCAATAAAGATGACATGAATTAGACATTTAAAAAAAAAAAAGAAATTGCTTTATACACACTTTTATCATTGCTAATAGTTTTCATTTTGATTTCAGTCGATAAAAAAAGTAGACAAATCCCCCCCCCCCCCCCTAACCCCCAATATTTGTTCAAACGTTTGACCAAACTACACATAGGCCAAACCATTATCTACAAACTCGATAACTAAGATTGAATTCACATACACAGAAATCGGTAAAACAGGTAAATCGGCCGTGGACATTTGAATTTATTGAAACTATATTACAAATACACCCGAACCGATTATTCGAATCGAATTATTTAATCGATTACAACTAAGGCAGAAATTTTTACTTCATACAAATTATAATACAAAATCAGTATCTACAACTATCCAAGTCGGTCGGCCAATTGTCCAATAACCAGTCAACGACAAGTCCAAACCGTGAGAGACAAATGACAAAAATGGTCAGATATTGAAATAAAAAAAAAAGTGGCCAGTTAATGTCAAATCGGTAGAAAAAGCGGCCAACGTTTGACCATGGCCATAACCAATCTAGTCAATACCTACTTACCAAGTATCAGATTAATATGGCCAACATGCAAATTGGCCAATCTTCATATTCTAGTCAAGTTACCACCGTCGATGTGGCCAGTATTTATCTAACAATTAGTCATCAACACAGATGCTTAACTAACTGTTCGGAGACATCATTTTTCGTCAGATCCGCGAACTCCGCCGCGGTTTTCCCCCTCTGCAGGATCTCTATGGTACTTCTAGACTCGAGCTGCCTCAAGTGGTACACGAGTTTTGTCTCTGGCAGGGGATTTACCGGTTTGGCGACAGTAAGTGTTGTGTTTTTCAGGGACCTCGCCACGGTTTTCAGGAATTTATACCATTGCCGCTCGTAGGACGTCGCCTCCGGAGTATTGACGAGGGTGGACGCCTTCTCGACGAGGGCGCACACGCAGCTCAGCGTAAACTGTAAAACCATTGCATTCATGAAAAGTCGAAATAAATTTATTTATTCATTAAATTATTTATAACATTATGACAGTAAAAACCAAATAAAAGTTATAACCCCAGTGCTTACATACCAAATTATATGGTATTTAACCCAACTCCAGCGGGCCTACCATGAAATGTTTTCCGAAATTTCGGAGCCACACGAAACAGAAATTTGATGTTAAAATTACATAATACATGCCGTTTGGAAATATTAAAAATGTTAAAATATTGTTCCTTTGGACTTTTATGATAGGGATGTATGACGAACGAAATGTTAAACTCCATTTATTGGTCCGATTTTGGTATAAACATATACACGAAATTGAGTCCGAAATTTCGGAATTTCATTTCATGGTAGACCCACAAATATTTCTGAGCCGTTTCTAATGTCTTTAGCAGTCTACTACTAAATATATCAATGATATTTATAATATTATTTAATAACCGTACAGCGTGAGTTAAGGAAGCGTGCTGAAGTGGGTTAGTTCTTACTGACTGGACAATTAAACATTACTTCACGCCGGATCAACGATTAATGCTCTGCAAATCGCAAATCCGACCTCATATTGGAGTATTACTGTCATTTATGGGCGAAAGCACCTAGATACCAGCTTGAACCCTTCGACTCAGTACAACGACCAGCTATGAGAATTGGCTTACAAGCGGTATCGAACCCATAAGTCTTAGGAGAGATTTTGCCTCACTCTGCGTGTTCTACCGCTTGTACAACGGATTGTGCTCAGAGGAATTGTTCATTATGATGCCCACGGCCACTTTCTACTATCGTACGGCAAAAAAAAATTACTGCGCGTTATTTGGGGGGCAGGAAGATGAAAAATATTCAGAATTGCGTTAGATAATACTTGAATGTCCCTTTTACTATACGATTACCACTTTCCACGTGGGCAGCCAGCTTGTTGCTTTAAAATATCATTTCAGCCATTATCCGTCCACTACTGGACATAGGCTTCCCCCTGCCCTAAAAAACGGTCCTGAGCCACCGGCATCCACTGATTCCCTGCAATACATTTCAAGTTGTCACTCCATCTAGTGAAGGGTCGTCGTACACGTGCCGTTAAATATGAGAGAGAAGGGGGAAAGGGATTGTTAGTAATGGAGACTGAGAATCCCATTGCTTGCAAAATACCCAACCAGGTCGACCTCCTCGCGGTTCCCCCTGGAAACAACCATGGTTTATTTCTGATGAATTCATCATGATGGGCTAACGGGCCTGTTTTCATTCTCATCGATCACCCTTTACTGGTGCTCCGCCAGCGTATCCCATTAACGCAGGCGGGATTACCATACCATTTTCACCCATCAAAAAAATATGAAAGAAAATTCACTTACGGCTGTAGTGAGGGCGTATGGTGTTCTTGCTGGATCCAGCGCTTCCGATAGCAAACTGCTCGACTCCAAGACGGCCGACCAGCCAGTCTGGTTTTGTATATATCTGTAAATGACACGTATATAAGTATTTTATATTAATAAATCCACTCAGAGACACATTTAAATCGTTATTTTAAGATTACATGGCAGATATATGCATTTTTTTTTTAGATTACATGGACTATAGAATGGGCCATCCCTTCCTTTCCTGTGGGTGTCATAAGAGGTAACTGTGGGAACTTAGTGCTCGAGAAATAAGCAGGCAAATACTGGTAAATTAAGAAATATAACGATACAGTTGTAAAAGTACAGCAAGGCGGTCTTATTACTGAATTTTTTTTTTTTATACAACTTAGAATGGCAAACAAGCTAACGGCCCACCTGATGGAAAGTGGTAACCGTCGCCTATAGACATGAGCAGTACCATGGACATAACAGAGTATATTGTTTCGCCCATGATACCCCCATGCGTTGCCATTCCTGAGGACTTAGATGTTATTCCTTTGTACCCTGTAAATTCACGCCATATCCCACCCTTCAAACCGAAACATAGCCATGCAAACACAACTGCTTCACGATAGAACCACGAATAGGACTATTCTTAGCAAAACGGCTGTCAAACTCGATTGCTACCAATCCCTTTCCCTCTGGTGTATGTCGGTGGGTGTCGGTGTTCGGTCAAGACAATATTAGTGTAATGGGTAATGCTATGTTATGGGTGTTTGTCTGTGGTGTGTATGTAGTGAATTGAGATGTTATCAGATGGGTGTCGGTGTGTCGGTGTGTGGGATTTTGGGTGTCGATGTGTGTCGGTTGTCGGTTCGTGTCGGAAAATGCATGTTGGTGCGTGTTGGTGCGTGTCGGTGCGTGTCGGTGTATGTCGGTGTATGTCGGTGTGTCGGTGTGTGTCGGTGTGTGTTAGCCCACGTGATGAATATATCAATGATATTTATAATGATTATTTAATAACCGTACTCGAGTTAAGGGCTAGTAATTGGGAGTAGGTTAGTTAGACCTGATTGGACAATAATGTTTTCACGCCGGATCAACGATTGTAGGGGTGGAGTAATCCGACCTCATATTGGGGATTTTGACTATGTCAGGGTGTTTTTTTTATGGGTGAAAGTAGATACCAGGTGAACCCCGCCTGTACAACGACCAGCTATACGCTGGTCGCGGTATCGAACCCATGTCTGAGTGTGTGTCGGTGTGTGTCGGTGGGTGTCGGTGTGTCGGTGTGTCGGTGCGTGTCGGTGTGTCGGTGGGTGTCGATGTGTGTCGGTGTGTCGGTGCGCATCGGTGTGTCGGTGTGTCGGTGTGTCGGTGTGCCGGTGCGTGTCCGTGCGTGTCGGTCCGCCGTGTGTCGGTGTGTCGGTGTGTCGGTGTGTCGGTGTGCCGGTGCGTGTCGGTGTGCCGGTGCGTGTCGGCGTGCCGGTCCGCCGGTGCGTGTCGGCGTGCCGGCGTGTCGTCGCGGAGGCGGCAGCGTACCGGCGGTAGTGCGGCGCGAGCGGCGCGAGGCCGGCGTCGGCGCGGCGCGCGGCGGCGGGCAGCGCGCGCAGCACTCGCGCCCACAGCACGCGGCAGCGCGCGTGCGGCCACGCGCGCGCCGCGAACCGCCGCACCAGCGCCTGCGCACAAACAAACATTACTAACTCATCAATATCTAATAACATTCATATACAAAACACACCATTAACTTCTACGAACATCTATATAAATATTTTTTTCTCAAACATGCTTGGAAATGGCGGCCCACCTGGCCAGATCAAAAGTATGATCCATATCTGTCGTGTTTTGCGGCCAGTCGTAAACTCATATCTGTCCTGTAATTTATAGACATGAGCAGTATAATTTAAAGACATAACAGGAACATTATGGCGCGTGAAAAATTATTATTGTTTGTTGTTAATCATTGCTTAAAAAGTAAAATTGTGTTTTTGATTTCCGCGCATGATACACAAACCCCACAACTAGGCATTAATGGACGTTATTCCTCTGTGACCCTCAATATCTATAAAAAATCGTTCACAATCAAAACACATCATTAACCGTCGCCTATAGACATGAGCGGTACGAAGATATACTGTTTCGCCCTATATAAATATTTTTGTAAATTTCTCACTTATAAAGAATGCAAACACAAATTATAATTTATACAAAGTCTCCCTCTGGTATGGCTGTATGAGCCAAACTCTTTGCCTACCCAATTTTAGAAAATTTTAAAACATTCATTAAGCACTCCGTCAGACGCCCTGCTCACTCGACGTAAAAGAAATATTTAAAAAAAAAATAATCCATTTGAAAACACGAATGAACACGATTCAAACAATTTCCAAATTTAAAATTATTCTTCTTTGCATACCGCAAGCGAACACAGAGAATTTTAGTTTAAATACTTGAATTCGAAACACGAAAACGTTAAATTTTGAACATGATAAAAAGATTAAACAAGCTAATACATTTCGTAAATAACCACTTCAATTATCATGAAATTAAAATTATACCAACAAAGGAGAGAAAGTGTCTTAATACACATTGAGAACTTTAAGAAATCGCTTAAAAATGAAGAGGCAGTAATATTGAGGGAAAGAGTCGATAAAAAGGGCGGGAAATATTTTTGTTCACAGTGATTAATATTTTTTCCGAAAATAGCAAAATTTATATATCCAGTACTAATAATAAATATAGCTAAAAACTAGCAATAATAAGCATATACACCCACCTAATAATAAGCATTTTTTTACATCACTAACGTGACAAACAAGCATACACCCACCTAATAATAAGCGATTCTCATAGCCTACGAACGCCTGCAATACCAAGCGCATTATGCACATGTTGCCGACCCTGAAGAAACCTTTCATAACTCAGTTCATATTTTATAGGAGCTCATTCCATAACCTGATCATTCATGAGAGGAAACATCTCTAAAACTGCGCTGTATGCTACCATCCAGTCTCTAAAGTATGAACATATTACTCCCCGAGTAAAACTTACCCTGCCCTTCCTTACGGTGAGCATTTGAGCCAGTCTATCCCCGTGGAGCAGCCCAGCGAACATCTTATTCATAAGTTCATCCTTATCCTCGTCCAGAAGGTTCTTCACAGGAGTCGGTTTCTGATTCACTGCTAAATTTACCACCTGTAATAGTGGAAATTATTATTGGTAATTTTTTAAAGGGGGGGACATTTTTTTTTTTAATAATAATAGCTGTCTTTATTGAATAATAAATTGCATTTAGTTACATCTTACCAGAGGGAGACTTTGTACAAAAGACGATTGCTTGGATACCTCTGTCCCATTCGTGTTTCAACCGTGAAGCAGTTGTGTTTGCATTACTGTGTTTCGGTTTGAATGGTGGGATATGGCGTGAATTTACTGGGTACAGAGGGATAACACCTGAGTCCTCAGGAATGGCAACGCATGGGGGGTATCATGGGCGAAACAGTATACTCTGTTATGTCCATGGTACTGCTCAAGTCTATAGGCGACGGTTACCACTTTCCATCAGGTGGGCCGTCAGCTTGTTTGCCATTCTAAGTTGTATAAAAAAAATAAAAAAAGAAGCGTAAATCCGACCGTGCAAACTCCACGTGGTACAGTTTGGATAACGCGAAAACAAAAGGGTAAAAACATCAATTTTATCAGGCATTATGAGCGTGTTGAAAAAAATTTTAGTTTCCATTTGCTACCAACTATATATTCGTGGTCGAATCATGAACATTTGTTGATTGATTTGGTCAACACACTGATGCACTTTTTCTATGTAGTTGGACAGCAAGGCTATATACCTGTCTCTTATCGATACTCTCGCTCTTGGGACTGTCCTGTTTGGGCCTCCGCTGTACAGACTCGATGTTCCTGAGGAACACGTTCGAGTCCTCCTCTTGCTCGTTCTCGGCCTCCTTCTGCGCTGCCTCTAGCTGCTTCTGTTTCTCTTCTCTTTCCTACAATAAAGTCAATGTATTAAAGTACCACTGTACACAGATCTATACGTAAGAGGAGTTGGATGCTAGGAAAAGGTCTCTATTAGACTTTTTTCCCTTTTTTTTATAGGAGGTATATTATAATATTACATAATTAAGGATTGTTTCGCACAAAAAAAAACTCAGTTGAATCATGGTAAAATTATTTGATTTAAAACTAAACTATTGAACTAAACTTGATAAAAAAATGTGAGATCAATCTAAACTATACTGAAGCAATTGACTTTTGTAAAAATCTCCCATTGGTAATATTATTAATAACTTATGACTAAATTTTCGATTTATTAACTCAAAATCGTAAGTTAAATACTTTTAAAAGTATGAGTACCGAGATGTAAGAAGGATCAAATACATCAACCGGGGGGAAAAGGGATTGTTAGTAATGGAGACTGAGAATCCCATTGCTAACAATATACCCAACCACGTCGACCTCCTCGCAGTTCCCCTGGAAACTATCATGGTTAATTCCTGATGAATTCATCATGATGGGCTAACTGGCCTGTTTTCATTCTCATCTATCACCCTTCACTGGTGCTCCGCCAGCGTATTCCGTTACCATTCCATTTTCACCCATCAAAAAAAAATACATCAACCGAGAATAATTAAAGAAAATAAGTCATTGTACCTTCATTATGAGCGCGTTGGATATCGCCAGTGGATCGTTCAATTCTTCTAACCTAAGCAGCACTAAATATAAAGATTCAATGTCCAATAATAATTGCTTCGTCCTCTTCAACTCTCGCGGCACCTGCGAACAAAATACATGTGAAGATATAGACAGTGGAGCTCACAGTGATAAATGTATGTAAGGGGGAAAGGGATCGTTAGTATTGGGATCGCATTTCATCGCATTGGTCTCCATTATTAGCAATTCCTTAAATTCCAAATCCATAGTTGAAGTGTGTGGTAGGTACCTCAGCAGGGTTGTGGTTGTGGTTGAGGGTGGACGCCCTGCTGGGAGCGCGAGAGCCGGGCGGGCCGTCAGCGGCCACCACCTCTACGTCGATGATCTTGCGCGGCGCCGTCACGCTGCCGCACTGTATACCACAACACGTTCATTAACTAAATAATTAAGACAATAAATGGTAACAGTAATAAACAGCATGTAATGGTAAAACCGTCGGCCAGTGAGGGTCGTTTAAGTATAAAATAAAGCAATTTGGGGCGAAAGGGAGGTCTTATAAAACCTTACGATGCGTTACAGAACGAAAGAGTGATTCGAACAATGTAACATTACTTTTTTATTTAAATAAAAAGTAAGGAATTAAAAGTTGGCAACCCTATTCCTCGACTGTATTAGACATCATTTTTATTTTGTTTTCGGACGGATGAATAACGAAGTAATCCTGTAAGGGTTTCGTTTATTCCTTTGGAGGCACGGAACCATAAAAATGCCAAACGTGTGAGTGAATTGCGTCATTAAATTTGTCGAGTGTAGTGGTGTGGCGACGGTGGTGGCGGTGGTGACCTGCAGCTTGCCGAGCGAGTTCTCGAACTGTGCAGGCACGTATGCACGCGGCGCGGGCTCGTCGCCGCCGGAACTGTGCCGCAGCGAGTTGTGCCGCTCGCGCCCGTGCCCGTGGCTCTCCTGCTTCACGCCTGCCGACATATGCACATGCCCAATAAATACAATTTAATCGCTAACTGTACTTTACCAGGTCGACCTCCTCGCGGTGCCCCCTGGAAACTATCATGGTTAATTTCTGATGAATTCATCATGATGAGCTAACTGGCCTGTTTTCATTCTCATCTATCACCCTTCACTGGTGCTCCGCCAGCGTATCCCGTTAGCGCAGGCGGGGCTACCGTTCCATTTTCGCCAATAAAAAAATACATGTGCTTTACCAGAGACAGACTTCTTTTATAACGGCAAAGGCCAAACCAACACGCAGCCCACCTGATGGTAATTGACTTCTACTGTCCATGATCACCCGCAACACCAGAGGCATAGCAAGTGTGCTGTCGGCCTTTTAAAAAGGAATATGCTCTTTTCTTGAAGGTTATGATGTTGTATCGGTTAAAACTGTACAAAAGTGGTCTGCTTGGATAACTGTCTCATTTGTGTTTCTACAGTGAAACAGTTGTTTGCATGGCTGTGCTTTTAAAGGGTGGAATATATGAAATAACAGGGTACAGAGGCTCTACATCTTAGTCCTCAGGAATAGCAATGCATAAAAGGTATCATGGGCCCTTAATGCGTTAATAGATTTTAAAAACTGCTAAATAGACTTTGACGATATCTTGTATGAAGATAATATACTTATATATTTAATACCAAATTTAATTTTTCCCAAAAAACAATGCAACCATGTAACAAAAATTATAGTACATTGGGATATGCGTTGAATTCGTTTACATTATAAATAATGTTAAGTTGTCTGGAAGAGATTGCTTCAGCAATAAGACCGCCTTTTGTACTTCATATATGTAACATATATATATACACACTGTTTTGCGTTATTCTTTAAATGTATACCATTTAAATGTATAAAAAGAGTAAATAAATAAGTGGGCCCAAGCTCTATACGTTAGTAATCATATAAAAATTAAACAATAAGTAATAATTAATATCTCACCACCGCTGTAGAAAGGATGGTTCTGCTGATTAGCCTTATGGGCCTCACTCTCCTTTTCCTTATTTGCCTGCCTTTCGAGGAACACCTGAAACAATACATTACAATTATTACTAGCAAACTACTGGCATAACCCCTCAATGACAGGGGGAAAGGGATTATTAGTAATGGCGTTTGACAGCCCCATTGCTAGCAATGTGCCCTGTTAGGTCGACCTCCATGTGGTTTCCCCTGGAAACCATCGTGAAGAAGTCTTGTTGAATTCGTCACGATTGGCTAACTGACCTGCATCTTTAACCCCACGCTCAATTAATAATTGTTTTATTAATAATAATAAATAACTTTATTTGAACTAAAATTCGGGTACACAATGTACTAGATAGATAGATACTCTTTATCGTTTCCTCCAAAATATTACAATAGTAAACTTATTATAAATATAAATAATTACAAGAAATAATCACAATGAGAAAACAATGGTAAACAGTGATTACTACACTAGGCTCGCAGGCCTGTTTCGTAGTAATCGGCGAGTGGCTAATAGTGAGGCACTAGTGGAGGATAATAAGCGAGAATGCAAGCAGATCAGTTAGCCCATCATAACAAGTTCAACAGGAATTAACCATGACGGTTTCAGAAAGAAGCATGAAAAGATTATACTAGCAATGTAGCTGCTACTTCCTATTACTATTAGCTATTTCATTATAGAAATGCCGAAAGATAGGCCTTATAATTTAAAATTTGTTCCACAAAACAAACTGTAATTGTGGCCAAAACCCACTATTTTTATTAAAATACTAAACTGATTTTGATAAAATTTCTATAGAACCGATCTAGTAAAGCATATCCTTTCAGATAAAAAGAATTTTCCAAAACCGTTCATAAATGACAGAGTTATGATGTAACAAATATAAAAGACAAACAACCATATTTTTTAAAGTCGATTGAAAGTCCTGGTACTCACAGTATAATAAAAGTCGTGTATATACGGCGTGCCAGTGTTCAGCTGGAGCATCTGGATGTTGATAAGCCACTGCTTCTCCCTCTGAGTCATGAGGCCAGCGTATTCATCATCACTGGAGCTGCCCTCATCTCCATTCATATGCCTGGAATAAAAGCATTTATTTTATTAAGTTGAATTAATAAAATACTGAAACAAGACTTTTCTAGAATGTAAAATAACGAAAAAGCTGAGGGTCAACCTGATTGGAAATGAAAATGGAAAAAAGGCCTATAGACATGAACTGCACTGTAAATAATACAATATCTATATAAATACACAATCTAACTGACAAAAATTCTAAAAAAAATATTATTTCGGGTCCTACTGTGTCCATAAAACCCGCCTATAATTGTTCTTCTTATATATCTTCTGTGTACAGACAGCAACCAGTTGCGATTTTATCATATATATTGAATAATAGTATTAAAATTAATAGAATTTTCATTATGCCTCGAATCAAACTGTTTATAATTACTCCTCTCCATCCAAAGGTTGGCTGGAAGAGATCGTTTTTAGCGATAAGGTCGCCCATTATTTTCTCATTGTGAATATTTCTTGTAATTATTTATATTTATAACAAGTTTACTATTATAATCTTTTGGAGGAAACAATAAAGAGTATCTATCTATTTATTTAAAATACAAAATATAGATGAATGAAATATAAACTCACCTGTTATTGCTGAATGTGCCATTATTTCTTTGATTATTGAATACCATATTGTTGTTCATAAATTGATTACCAAACACGTTTCTGTTATTCAACATGGGATGGTGACTGGCGTTATGAAAACTGTTGTTATACTGCAGCATGGGATGAGTATTCTGAATCAACTGAACTAAATTTTGAGACGTCAAATTCTGAGATTGAGACTTGTTATTATTCGATGTGTAGACGCGACTCTTCTGCATTTTGGGGTCCACTTTGGACGTCAATTTCGGATTTTGAGTCTGCAATTTTTGATTCTGATTCGGTTGCTGTTTTATGTTGTTGAGTGGTGATTGTGTTTTTATTTGTTGTTGCTGAATTAATTGTTGATTCATAATCACGTTCTGGTTTAATGGTTGCTCTGTTGGCTTTGATTGTTGAATTGTTGGAGCCTGCAAATAATATTAATAATTATACATAAAAGTCGAAAATGATTCCGCCTTGTATAACGGATTGTGTTCTGAGAAATTGTTTGAAATGATGCCCAGAGACACCTTTTATCATTGAACCTAAATCGTGAACGTACAGTGTTTCAAAGGAATTTTATCCCGCGAACGCTAAGGCTACAGTATGAGCTCCCTGCCGAGGTTTTTCCTAAAGACTACACAGAATGAGGTTTTCAAAAAGGTTATATTAAGGTTTTTTCAGGATCGGTAACGCGCACATGACAACACTAGTGTTGTAGGCGTCCATAGGCTACAGTGACCGTTTACCATCAGACATCATCTTTGCCACCTTCATGGTATAAAAAAAATCAACTGATTATAATGAAATTTTGTAATTTGTATAGATTGCTTCAACTTGAGAAATAAGGTGATCCAAGCAGGTGACGGTAGGGAGCAATACAGCATTTGCTGATCATATTTGGTATAGATATATTTTAGATCAATTAGTTGTAATACAGTAGAAACTAACGTACACATACACATATATAAGTTTTTGTATTATTGGTGATTCGATTAGAATCACCAATACTTCTGCTACCACTAGGATGTGTTTGACTGCCAACACTGACTACAACACTGCCAAGATTGACTACTATCCTTATTATCAGAAGTTCTACAACCTTCCAACATCATCATCATCATCATATCCACTGTTAACTGTTCATTGTTGAACATAAGCCTCCCTTTTGGAGGGTTTTACCAGTATTTTAAGAGGAACGCTGCTGCCCATCCCTCGCCTTCCCTTAGTCGCCTCCTATGACACCCACGGGAAAGGGATGGCTTATTCTATGCCGGGACCACACGGCCACGGTTTTTATAAACTATAATACGTAATAAAATAATCGTATAAGAAAAATATATATGAGACTTACACGAAAATTAGGATTATATTGGCCCATACTTGTATTGAAATTTTGTCTCTGCATATTCATTCCAGGCGGGGGAGCCATCAGCCTGGGTTGCCCCATCATACGGGGAAACTGGTTCATTCCTGGCCCAAACTGATTACCATTTGGCAAGATCTGGTTAACATTTTGTCCCATTTGGTTTACGTTTTGATTCATTTGATTTTGTCCCATTTGGTTTACGTTTTGATTAATTTGATTTTGCCCCATTTGGTTTACGTTTTGATTCATTTGGTTCACATTTTGTCCCATTTGATTTAGATTTTGTCCCATCTGGTTTACATTCTGGCCAATTTGGTTTACATTGTGGCTCATTTGTTGACTGACACTTTGACCCATTTGGTTCATACTTTGACCTAATTGGTTGACATTTTGACTCATTTGGTTCATATTTTGCGTCAAGTTAACATTCTGTCCCAATTGGTTGACATTTTGGGACAGCTGGTTCTGACTGATTTGATTTTGACCTAATTGATTCTGCATTTGCATATTGCTCTGAGATAATTGATGGACATTCTGCATATTTTGTGACAACTGATTAATTATATTGCTCTGTCCCATTTGGTTGTTTTGAAACTGGTTAGCAATATGGTTCGCGTTTTGCATGAACTGATTGACGTTTTGGCCCGATTGGTTCATATTTTGTCCCAGTTGGTTTAAATTTTGCCCCAACTGGTTAACATTAGAACTCAAATGGTTCTGCATCAAGTTTTGTTGCGTCATCTGGTTTAATTGGTTATTTTGGCCGATAACTTTATTGAGGGGCTGGTTTATTTGATTTAAATTATGTGTCATTGTTTGTTGAGGGGCAAAAGGTAGCGGCACTGGAGCTTGGAGGCCCGGTGGTCGTTGCAGGATGACTGGTGGAAACCTTGGCTGGGAAAATGACAAAATTAGACTAATAAATATAGTTATGGATAGATTAAGAACCTAAACTAGAAGTACATGAAATAATTGCATTTCTGCACTTATTGTTCTCTTTTCATTTAAAATTAATCATGTCGGTGCAATTAATTATTTGTAAGTAACAAATAAATTGATAGCACTCTTTAGTAGTAAATTGCATTTTTATGAAAATTTTATTTTTTTTATAAATTTCATACAAACATACTCGTTAATAAAAACATTTGTATCATGTGGGGCCTGAACCTGCAACCATTTGAAAGTTAGTCAATGCTATCCCGTCCTCGTCTAGTTACAAATCTAAATAGATTGTAGATACAGTTATATTGAAATTGTATGGATAGTAAATAAAAGAAATTATCATATCAACAGTACTCATATTTAGTTATTATTTAAAAAATATTAATTAATATAATAGTGATATTAAAAAGTCTATCATCTCCCAATCTAACCCCCTTTATCAAGGGGAAAAGGGATTACTAGTAAAGGAGAATCCTATTGCTAGCAATATACCCAACCAGGTCGACCTTCTCGCGGTTTCCCCTGGAAACTATCATGATTAATTCCTGATGAATTCATCACGATGGGCTAACTGGCCTGTTTTCATTCTCATCTATCCCCTTCACTGGTGCTCCGCCAGCGTATCCCGTTAGCGCAGACGGGGTTACCATACCATGTTCACCCATAAAAAAAACCCTTTATCATTAAAACCTCTCATAAACGTATAATCTGCACCAATTTAAGGCAAATATGAATAGCTTATTTAGGGGCCCGCGGGCTCCAGTTTAGACTACATCATCGCTTTCCATCAGGTGAGATCGTGATCAATCACAGAACCCTTCAATAGTTTTAAAGCCTATTTTACCTCTTGAACTCTTTTGTCCTTTTCTCTTGCACTAAATTCTCCATTTGAAAGACAGTGACAAATATTCTAACAGTTAAAAAAGATTCGTAGGACGTTTTAGTTTTTATGAATAAGGGGATAAACCTATCAATCCTCCGGTTTAAAAAGTAGACGAACTACTCCCCTTACCTGGAAGTAAGACTGATTATTAAAAGCCTGCTGCTGTTGTGACATCTGCTTCTGGCGAAGCTGCCGCTCCAACTCTTCGACCGTGCAGACATTTTTAATAGCTGGTACCGGCTACAAAGAAATTCACGATTAAAAATAACTATTAATGAAGACAGACGACCGGCGATAGCTAAAAATAAATGGCGCATCGTACCATGTCTCGTCGTTGTTATCCATTAATGTTTGAGTTTACATATTATTGCAGTGATTCTCAACCACTGTGCCGCGGCACTTTTGTGTGCCGCCAAATTTTTAAAGTGTGCCGCCAAATTTTGCTAATATTTAAAATTTTTTGTCATAAACTATTTATGCAGTGTGTTAGTAGTAAGTCAATATTTTTTATCTTTTTCTTTGTGTGCCGCCAAATTTTGAAAACGTTAAATATAATAATAATAATAATAATATTTATTTAATTAGACTACATAAGGCCCATTTTATTAGTTACAAATTGACTTAACCTATGTACGTAAATGAGCGGTCATAACGCTCTTACATTGATAACCTGTCCCACCCAATATTTTAGGATAAGACAGTCCATTTTATCAGCAATTGTCTTCAGGACACTGTTTGAACTAACACGCACCCTACCCACAGCGACACAATTCGTTTGCGTCGTATTGCGTAAAAATCATCTGTACGCTCCCGTGAAAACATGTGTGACGCACTACAGTGACTAGGTAGCCCCAACAGTGCCATGAAGGCATTATTATATTGGACTCGAAGAGCGTTGTAAGTTTTTTGACTACAGTTGACCCACAAGCTACTTGTGTAGAACACCTGACAAAAAGCTTTAAACAGGGTTATTTTTTAAATATTTAAATATATGCCGCAACAAAAAAAAAAAGGTTGAGAATCACTGTATTATTGTAACAGTTTGTTTGTATGGGAAGATATTCATAGCTGAATAGATCATATAATTGTCTAAAAAACAATCTCTCAACCATAATATGCCTGTGCAAGGTGATTTATAAAAGTAGGGGAAATCGGATGTAGTCATATGGACTACCAGTCTCATTGCTAGCAATATGACAGTACCCTGTCAAGTCAACCTTCACGTGGGAACTATCGTGCTGAATTTTTAATGTATTCATCACGACGGTCTAACTGGCCTGCCTGTTCATCTCACCTATCATCTCTCACTGATATATCACAATATATTTCAGTCGCAATTGCATTGTTCATATAAAAATAAATATTCTAACCAAAGCTTATCCAGCAGGCACTACTTACAGTGGGAGCACTTGGGAAGGACAGATCATGTCTCCAGACTGAGGAGCCGAAAGCGCGGGAATGCGGCGAGTCAGTGTCGTCCAGCACTAGCTGCGATAAAGATGCCTCTGTAACAAATCATATGGTATTTTAGTAGGTTAACAAATATTTTTTTAAGCCGAAATGGAAACCAGTTATTGAGACCCAAGAAATGACAAACATATACTCCTCGAATCAGGAATCAAGACAATATAGCATTCCTGGGCAGTGACTATATGTTTTTTTTTTTTATGGATGAAGATGGTATGGTAACCCCGCCTGCGCTAACAGGATACGCTGGCGGAGCACCAGTGAAGGGTGATAGGTGAGAATGAAAACAGGCCAGTTAGCCCATCATGATGAATTCATGAGGAATTAACCATGATAGTTTCCAGGGAGAACCGCGAAGAGGTCGACTAGTAGAGCCACTGGTGATTCCTAAAAACACCCAAAGTTGTACTCAAAGCTATCCAAAAAAAAAGTTAAACAAATGGCAATGAGTCGGGATAACATAAAATAAATAAAAATTCATTGTTAAGTGGTCCCGACAAAGAATGGGCCACCGCTTCCTTTCCCATGGGTGTCGTAAGATACGACTAAGAGATCCTAACAGTCGACAAATGGGCAGCAGCGTCCCTCTTAAAACATCGTCAAAACCTAATTGCATTTGCCAACTTGCCTGGTAGGCATGGTAACTACTAACAAAACCCATATGGGGAACGCCTATGTGCAGCAGTAGACAGTTAACGGCTAACATGATGATGATGAGGATGATGATGATGATTATTATTATTTTTTTAATATTACAAAAATTCACATCTTCCCTATTAAGGAGAGGAGATGGCAAACTAACCCTCGGCAGAAGCACAGTCGGCCCGGGTTCAGGGCCCCAGGGAGAGAAACCGGCGTACAATGCGGGCAGAATCTAAGAGCACCGCTTTCTGCATCTTTCCTGGGAGTGAGCCGCCTCGGAATCCCAACCGTCTGGGATGTTGTTCCAGACTGGTTGGGATAAGACCGTTTACCGACAAAACGATTGGAATGATTTCAGTGGATGTCACCCACCACATTTTGGTCACCTCGTGAGCCAGGTCGAGATATTTTATTATTTATGATGATTACATACCAAGTTGAGTGTTGGCTGTCTCATCGATGCCACTGTTGTTTCTCCTATTGCTCTCCAGCTGCTGCGCGAGGGTCTCGTGTTCCACTTCCCAGTCCAACTCCTCAGCTGTAACCAAACATTCTATTCAAAATATTTGACATAATGAATATTGGGAACATAGTTTTAGCCATTATATCCTATTTTAAATAACTACTAAATGAAAGTTCTGTATTAGCATGAATTTTTGTGTGACTATGTCACATGATAAAGTCATCAATTTTATCAGTAATTTTTTCGACCCATTGGGCGGTGACAAATTAATTTTCTGATGATTAAAATTGCCCTTTACTTTGTAAAACTAAATCAACGTATAAATTTTATAGTCTAAATTAAAACACTTTCATCTACACTAATATTATAAAGAGGAAAGATTTGTATTTTTGTGATTATGTGTATGTTTGTAATGAATAAACTCAAAAACTACTTTACCGATTTCAAAAATTCTTTCACCATTAGAAAGCTACATTCACCCTGAGTAACATAGGCTATATTTATTGCTAGAAAAGATTAGGATCCTTACTAAAACTTGAGTAACGTAACTCAAGCTGTAAAAAAATGCTATATCTTTCGTCGGAAACTATTGGTGATAGAACAAAATAATGTTTTACAATATTGAAGAAAATGACATACTATATGTCCAACTATTACCGTTATGTCACAATAATCACATTTTAAAATGTTGTAAAAATGTCCACCCGTGCGAAACCGAGACGGATCGCTAGTCATTTATAAATATCTTTAGTCACGATTGAAGTGGCTGTAGTTTTATACAGAAAGGAGTACTTATTTATTATAAAGGAAATCATATACTCACAGTCCTGGCCGAACGTCTCATCGTTGAGAGCATCATACTCGTCCTCAGAAGGCTCTCCACCACCATCGTCATCATTTAGGTTCTGCAACAATTAAATTACATTTATAATTTATCTATACTTCTCAGTGTCGGGACTTAATGCTATATACTTGAATTCACAGACCCCCATAGAACACGATTCGTTATTTCTAAATTAATCGAAACTAAAACCTGGCTGTCAATTTAATCACTAACTCTACAATGATGTACATTTGTACATTTGATTACCTCTGTCATATTTTATGTATAATTAGTGTATACAATAAAATATTAAATAAAAATAAAAATTAAATGATGGAAAACTGTTAATAAACCAAATTAATCCAAGTGACAGTAATAACTTGTCCCTTGCACTGTTATATTTTTTCTAATATGCACTGCAAAGTAAGCAAGTTGCAAGTTACTTTCATTATAATAATAAAACCGTTTAATAAGAAACAAATAATAAATCCCTCTGACTACCCCCACAGAGATTACAGTCATGAGCATATTTATTTATCTACATGTATATGCAAATTTTTTGTGTTAACATTAATTAAATAAACCTGTTTGAAAAGAGTAACAATCTAAATATTAGACTTGCCTTGTCTCTTCATAAAACTAGTATCTTACCCAAGAGACTACAGCATGGGGTTTTTCAAAAGGAGCGTAAAGAGGTTTCTTTAGGGTCGGTAATACCTCTGGTATTGCAGGTGTTCATAGGCTACGGTAACCACTTACCATCAGGTGGGCCGTATGCTTGTTTACCACCTCAGTGGTATAAAAAAAAAATCAAAAGTACTTGAAATTAATTTCAATTAATATGTAACTAAATTAATGTCAAATATTTTTTTTAATGGATGATAATGGAATCGTAACTACGCTTGCGCTAACGGTATACACTGGCGGGGCACCAGTGAAGGATGAGAGATGAGAATGAAGTAGGTCGGTTGGCCTATCGTGACTAACAATAAGTCAATCACAATAATTTCCAGATGGACCGCGTGGAGGTCGACCTAATAGGGTATATTGCTAGCAATAAGATTCTTAATTCCCATTACTACCAATCTCCTCTCTCCCCAATTAATAGTTTTATTAGATGTTTATTCGCTCTCCAGCTATATAAAATAACGTTCCAACAATATCTTTTTTTAATAGAACGTTTTAATCCTTGCATTACTGACTCTTGGCCACAACAGAATATCAGTGTTTTGCTCTTTTCAGGGCTAAGCAATAAACTGAGTTGTGACCATTTTGTGTTACTATAGCACAGGCATGAAGGAAAAGAAGGAAAGGAAATTGTTAGTTTATATATTTTGTTTTGTTTTTTGTTTTGTTGCTTTTTTATTTTCATTCTTTTATCTCTTTTACTGTGTATTATGTGTATGTTTTTTTTTATTGTAATTTATGTGCTGTAAGTATAATATATATAATAATATAAGCCTTTATTCAGACATTTTTTTTTTTAAACAATTTATTAACAACTTATTATTTAATTGCTGTTGTCTGTTTGCTTATTAGCAAAGGCCTCCTCCAACTGTCTCCAATGGTCTCTATTGCTAGCAATTCTTGTCCAAATACCCCCTGCTTCAGCCCTAATGTCATCTACCCATCTTCTATGTGGTCTTCCTCTTCTCCTTTTTTTGTCTTTCGTGTACCAAAACATTATCTTTTTACTCCATTTATCTCTCCCTCTTATTGTATGCCCTGCCCATTTCCATTTAAGTTTTTTAACTGTGACTGTAACATCTTTAGTTTTTATGTGTTTTTTAATTGTGCTAGTTTTAATTCTGTCTGATAATCTTATCCCCATCATACTTCTTTCCATGGCATTCTGGCAATTTTGTAATTTTTTAAAGTGGGATTTGGTAAGAGCCCAGGTTTGACAACCATATGTAAGAACTGGTAAAATACAGGTTTCAAATAGTTTACCTTTTAAGGCTGTGTTTGTCATTTTACTTTTAAGTATTTCCTTTAGACTCCAAAATCGTTTCCAAGCATTTCCTATACGTTTTCCAATCTCCTTTGTAGTTAAGTCTGTTGGTGAAATTATTTGACCCAAATATACATACTCATCTACATATTCAATTTTTTTGTTGTTGATGCAGATAGTTTCCCCTTTTTTCCCATTTGTCATAATTTTTGTTTTTTCTTTGTTCATAACCAAACCTACTTTTCGGCTTTCTTTATCTAATTCATTAAGCATTACTTGTAGATTGTCTCTTGTTGGGGAAAATAAAATTAAATCGTCGGCGAATCTCAGATGTGACAGGTATTCCCCGTTCATTAATAGTCCATACTCATCCCAATTTAGTTGACGAAAGATCTCTTCTAATACTGCAGTGAAAAGTTTAGGTGATATGGGGTCACCCTGCCTTACTCCCCTTTCTATTTTGAATTCCTTTCCTTCTTTTTGTAGCTTTACTTTTGCTTTACTGTTTCCATATATGTTCTTCAATATTCTGATGTATTTAATAAGTGTGCTGTAAGTAATGTAAATAAATTATCTATCTATCTATATGGAGGACATCCGTGTCACACGAGGGATTGAACTCGCGTAATATAAAACTGCCTTATAAGAGTACTGTGTTATAGGCGGGATTACTGTACATGTATGTATGAAATAGAGGATATAGACTACTTTGTATCCCCATCATTGAACATAATGGGAATCTCTACAGGGAATACTATTTCTGTCCAAAAATAAACCTTAAAAAACATGTTGTACTGAAGAAGTATTGTGGACAAATAAGTTTTTATTTAAGGTTTTGAACAATGATTTAAGTATCTATTATATATTTTTTATAGTACTATGAAAGCAAACAAACATATAGCCTGACAGATGGTAAATAGTATTACCGTAGACAATGGACACCTGTAAAACCAGGGATGATACAAACATGTCGCTGACGTCGAAGAAACCTTAATATTGTCAGTGATGTTCCGACTGTATGTAAGTAAAAAAATCAACTTTACAGAAAAGCAAAAAAACTGTCTAAAACCAAAGTTTGATTATTTGAGGTATACATTTTTAGGATAGTCTTTGAAAAGAAGATTTATTTTAATTTCTTTTACCGATATGATATCAGAGTGATTTCCATGCTGTTGTTTAAAAATTACTTATACTTACATCATATTTCCAAGTCAGACAGAATTGACTACATATTCATATAGAAGTTTTTTCAATCGATCCTCTAAATCCTTGGCAAGTTAAACTCCAACCACACCCATATTAGAGTATGAGCCATTTTTACTCATACAATGTCATAGCACAGTTACATTAAAAACATATTGAAAGAAAAATAGATAAATTATTACTCATATTCAGACCAAAATATATGAAAGATCAAAATTAAAAATTTTTTCAGCTAACCATTCTAAGACAAGACAAACAAACAAGCTGATGGACCCACTTGATGGAACTATCGCCTGTAGACATTATAACACTGTAATGTTCATGTCAGAAATATGAGTGGGACAAAAATAGCCATTCAGAGGTGGCATTCAAGTTTTTTTTTTTTATACCACTTAGGTGGCAAACAAGCATACAGCCCACCTGATGGTAAGCGGTTACCATAGTCTATGAACGCCTGCAATACCAGAGGTATTACGCGCGCGTTGCCGACCTTGAAGAAACCTCTTTACCCCCCTTTTGAAGAACCCCATGCTGTAGTCTCTTGGGAAAACCTCGGCAGGGAGCTCATTTCATAACCTGGGTGTTTGTGGGAGAAAGCATCTTTGAAACCGCGTTATACGCGACCATTTAGGCTGTAAGGTATGAGGGTGAACTCCCTGTCGATGGCGAGCCATACAATGATAGAAAGTGGCCGTAGGCATCATATTGACTAATTCCTCTGAGCACAATCCGTTGTATAAGCGGTAGAACACACAGAGTGAGGCAAAATCTTAAGTAAAGCAATTTTTTGGTCTTATAAAATGTTATGATACAAGGGTCCTACCCTTCCTCCTTAAGGGTGATTCGACTAATTTTGATAATTCCTTTCACTATGAGTAATTTCAGTGTTGAGTCATAAACATCAAGATTGATGTCACTATTTTTAGTAAAATAAAATATTAAATTACTTTCAAAAACTCATCATTTAATAGTAATAGTAAACCAGCCCTAAGGGACCAAAATTTGAGAAGATATAGTAAGGTTATTATTTACAAATATTATGAAAAAATAAATGAAAAAAAATACTTGGCTTTGTCAAATAGGTTTATTAAATTATTAATAATATTATGAGAATGGCGCACTCAAGTCTCACAAGGTACTATCTATCAAGAGCTATCAAGATTTTGCCATACAATAGCTGCTAACTGGCACAAATATAGAAGACTCCATAACCTTAGGAACTTTCATGTTCTATTTCTATCCTATAAAGCACCTAGTTTATAGAGATATTAGAGAATATATATATATATACAAATCACAAGTTTATAATTAACCCATAAATCAATTCCTAAAAATGGCAAATAAAAAATGCAAAGTTAATGCATTATTATACTATTGCATAGTAACTTTTCAAAAAAATTATGAATAACACAGTATAACGATGCATTTAGTGTTCATTACTATTCATTTTATATTATGAACATCAAAAGAAGCTTATAAATAAGTCACAAAAATAATTATGAGTAAACAAGTGACAAGTCTGGACGTTTTAACACTTGATACAAGTTGTTGTTCTTATAAACCCACGTTATTATTACTAACTGTAAATTATTAATTTAGCATTTATAAGCTGTACTTAAAGCAAACTCTTAAAAATAAGGCGTTTAAACTGTTAGAATCATACAAAAACAACAGTTTCATAGACGACATGGCATGCTGGCAGCAATCTCTAGACCGCAAGTTTGGGACGAATTATTGAAGTATATGGAGCCTTTATTTAATAAATAGATACACGAACTCACCGAGAACGAAGTATCGAACCCGAAGAAAGAATCTGCCATTGGAATTTTTCATAAATCATGAACATAAATGACATGTCTTGTCACGATGCACGTACTATGTCGCAATGATGATGGCGGCCATGACATTTTAGTTTTGTCTTTACAGCCGTTAGATGGCAACACCATGTCGTTGCGTTTTGTTACTCCTTGAAATTCCAATTCAATGAACTGGTTCGTCAAGCGTCTTAAGTCAAGCTTGTAGCACACAGACATTATATGTCTAAATTGTTGCTAAAACAAAGAAGGCGAAGCAGATTCATCTCTATCTAATAAATGGCACTAGTTGTATACTTAGCTCAAACAATTTGAATCGTGTATGGGGTTCATAATAAAGGTCCAAGCCACCTGCATCTGTCTTATGAGTCATTAGTAATGACTTACATTCTTAAATCTATCAAATCTTCATGCACGTATTAAGACAGACCGGGTGGTCCGTGACAGTTAAATAAATGAAATCTTAACAGAGGGAGACTTTGTACAAAAGTCGATTGCTTGGGTACCTCTGTCCCGTTCGTGTTTCAACCGTGAAGCAGTTGTGTTTGCATGGCTGTGTTTCGGTTTGAAGGGTAGGATATGGCGTGAATTTACTGAGTACAGAGGAATAACACCTGAGTCCTCAAGAAAGGCAACGCATGGGGGTATCATGGGCAAAACAGTATACTCTGTTATGTCCATGGACTGCTCATGTCTATAGGCGACGGTTACCACTTTTCATCAGATGGACCGTCAGCTTGTTTGCCATTCTAAGTTATATAAAAAAAAAAATATTTAAATTCTCTTGTTTTTTAGCCTTCTTAATTATCCAAAAATTTCGCAAACAAGCTCAATGTAGGTACAAATATCCACGCTTAACGATTTTTATACCAGTTTTTAGCCCGCTGTTTCATATAGGTCGATTCTAAACGTAGAATAACTAATTCAATAAAAATACCATTTCTAGAATATCCGATTCGATGCAGTAATTTTTGCATAAAGCTGGATCCAGAATATATTTCTTAAAAATTATGGTTTCTGACTCTACTGCTATTAAGACCTTTCATATAAATTTTTCTTATATATTTCCCATATACGTAGACATACATCATCTAGTAGAGGGAAGGAATTGTTAGTAATGGAGACAAAGGATCCCATTGCTAGCAATATACGCAACCAGGTCGACCTCCACGTAGTCCTTCTCAAAACCATCGTACTTAATTCCAGATGTATTCATCACGATGAGCTGTCCTGTCTTTTAATTTTCATCTATCATGCCTTACTGATACCCCGCCAGCGTATACCGTTAACGCGGGCAAGATAACCATTTTCACTAACAATGCATCATCCATTAAAAAATACATCATCAAGTTACATATGATAATGAACCTTTTAGCCGACCCTGGACGGGGAACTCACCAGTTTGGATTCTTCACAAGTCCTAGCCGAGACTGGTACTGAACTGGGTAAAGATCGTTGCATGTTTGGGCGGTAGACAAACAACAAATTGATAATTGAATGCCACCATTCACTGGATAGGATATCTTCCAATAACCAAGTTATCCTTCAATGGATAAGAGGGCACAGTGGATCTTATGGATGCCGCAGACGAACTGGCTAGAAGAGGCTCAGGAACGAGGGTGGTAGGCCCGTATCCACTTCTTCCTCTTTCGTTCTCGCAATTTCGAATATGGATTTGTCAAAGATCCGCTGACATACAAAACCAAAGATGGATACAGGCTACTGATTGCAGACAATCAAAATTGGCCGTACCTACGTTGAATTAACGACTATCAAAACGTTTATTACATCTAGATAGAAAAACCTCAAAATAATGATAGGGACAATAACGGGCCATTGTCCATTAAACAAACATTTATACACAATAGGAACCAATAGCCTTCTATGTCGAGGCTGTTTCGACGCCGAAGAAACAGTTGCTCACATAATCCTAGAATGCGAGGCTGTGGCCACGACTCATACGCACAACGGCCCAAATGAGAGGCTAAGCGCGGAAAACAGTCTTTCTCACATTCTCACATTGGGCGGTAAAAAGTAACTTGTTTACACTACATACACGGAAGAGGGTATCGCAATACACGCGAACACGGTTACTGACAATAGTGGCGTGGGGGGGGGGGGGGTAGTAGTAGTTAGGAATGGGATCAACCTAGACTATTATAACCTACAAATAGCAGTGATTTATAGGGTAAGTTTTATATACCTAGATTTTTAATGCAAATTAGATTGGCACACAAGCTGACGGGCCATCTGATAGAAAGTGGTAAACATCCTACCTATAGACATGACAGTGCTACAACATAGATTTGGTTCGTAATAAAATAAATCATAATATACATAAGGTGCAATATATTTTTATAAATTATGTCATGTACTAGTTTAATTACAGGATTTATAACCAAGATGCCGAGAACCAAATGAAGATTTCAGTATATTACTTACTAATAATTTTAGAAGCGAGAATAAATGAAGTTTTTGGTTCTCCATTTGGTTTTGGCATCTTGCCTTTAACATTGGTACTTATACATAACAGTGTTATAAAATTCATCCAAGATTGATGTTTAGAAGTTTTTGGAGCTATTTATGTGTACGGCTAAGAAGTGTATTTGCTAGTATTTATATATACCTAATAATAAATAAGTAATACTAGTACGTAAGGAATATCTTTGTCAATGTGAAAATATACCTAAGTTAATTAAAATTATATAATAATCCTAAATTTTCTCGCAGGTCACACACAAATATAAATTAGCTCACCACAGTGAGAGCCATCCAAGGCCAATGGCAAACTATCAATACATTTTCATTACCGCATGCATAAGATAGAAAAAGACGCTGAATGTTACTATCTCGTTTGCTCAATACAACATCATCGCTCCGACAGAACCAATGAGTCGTCATTTAAAATTTCATTTTCCGTACAATATACTTTAAATAAAAATTAAAACTATTAAAATAAAAAAGTAGGAAAAAGTCAGTCTCAAGGGCCAAAATCACAAAGTACTAACAATTTCTTTATAGCGCCATCTACCGCTATCAATTGAAATTAATATTTTGTAGTCGATAAAAATGACGCTAATTGGCGTTGTAAACATAAAACTAGAAATTTAAGCTGAATCACAGATAGATATATACAGAACTCAATTTCAAGCTTCTAAACCCGACGGAGACATGACATCAAAGAAGTAAACAAGAGAATCCCAATTTCCATAAAAAAGCATCTATGTAATTACTCAAAGATATCCTTGCGACAATCGTGCTGCTCTGACAAACTTGAAATCACATCAATAAGGAGCCTCCTTGTAAGATTTTACATTATCATTCTTAATAATCACTTTTATATAATATTAATTTAAAAGAGCACATTTTCGGTAATCGTTAAAATGACTTATAGACAAAATGCGGGGATTTCCAGCGAGTGGAATACGAGGATTTGTCACAAAGTAAAAAATTATATGATTTCTGGCGTTCAAGAACTCAATATAGATAACATACGATTTACTTTTCAGATTTTTTCTAGATTTAAATATTTAACTGAACTAGGTGTTTTTTATGCCTGTCGGTGATTGGGAAGACTGCTAGTCGCGAGCCTCAATCACCGACGGGTAGGCGCCAAGAGGAATACCGGGGTGTTTTTAGTGGGTAAAAATACCACAGTACCCATCCGTCGTCCAGCCGGCGGATGGGTCTCTTTCTGAAGATTTTCATCCTAGGTAAAAAAAAAAAGTGTTTTTTATGTGAAAGTCTATATCACTTGTTGGCCGATTATTTAGAACTATTTTGTTTAGTTCCGCTACCATCAATACGTGTGCGACTGTCAACATTCGAGGATTGATCGTATAATTTCAACACAAATAATAGTATTAATATTAGTTGAAATTCTACAACCTCTATTAGTCATCAATCTCTGACCGTTATTCAGTCTACGCACATGTTGTTCTAGACTAACATCCAGAACCCTGTACCTTCGACCTACTATCCCGCATATAAAAATGCTAGACTCATTCCGCTAATTTCTTTATCTTCAAATATTTATTCAAAATCCGAGGAAAGTAAAAAATCCAATCTTTTTCCTTGATGAACTATTTCTAACTGCCAATACAAAGATTACAATCAAAACCGTGCCCATGGATTGTATATCAAATCTTTCTTCTGTTAGAAATTGGTTTACCGCCAAATTTCGTGCAATTAAAATATACGGGGTGGAAGGGACAGGTTGGCCAAAATAAAAACAGCCGATTTAGATGAATGGCCGAGGAATGAATGCCCCACGGATATATAATTAACGATTCTTAGTTTTGACGTTCCGCAATGTATTTGAAAATGTACGATCCATACGACACATGATATCTACACCGCGCGTTCAATGGCGCTTCTTCGTAGGTAGTTTTCGTACGCTTGTAGCGTTGACCTTACACAACAGATGTGTATAGGGGGAAAAGGGATTGTTAGTAATGGAGACTGAGAATCCCATTGCTAGTAATATACCCAACCAGGTCGACCTCCTCGCGGTTCTCCCTGGAAACTATCATGGTTAATTCCTGATGAATTCATCATGATGGGCTAACTGGCCTGTTTTCATTCTCATCGATCACCCTTCACTGGTGCTCCGCCAGCGTATACCGTTAGCGCAGGCGGAGTTACCATACCATTTTCATCCATAAAAAAAAACAGATGTGTATAAGGTCGACTCAGTTATGTAAGGTCGATGCCGCGGTAGGATTTTAATACGTATATTACATTAGTGTTTTTTGGTATTTCATAGCATTTTACTATAAAATATTATTTCTTTATATTATGACATAGTATCATAGATTACATGATTTTAAATGAAAAACAGGAAAATTTTTGATATTTTCCAGAACGAATATCCACTGGTTTTCAATTTAGAATAATAGTTTGAATTTACTGTTTCATTTTTTGCCAACCTGCCCGTTACATATATATATAAATATTGACGTGATACAAATCTTTTGACAGAACATCTGTCAATTCAGCTAGTTATAAAATTGGCGTGCGATTTGGAAATCTCTCGCACCCTTATTGAGTTTTAATTATGCTTAAAACTCAAACCAAATATTACCCTGTGGTATAACAAAAAGCAAACATGTACGTGTAATTGTGGCCGCAACATGGACCATTTATATAGACAACTCGAGCCTCACTATCACAGTTTAGGGCTCGATTATTTTGACATACATACAGATAAAAAGTCAATTCAGAACAATATTTTTAAATTGGTCAACTGTTTTTAAATAAAATTTTAAATAGACAAACCTGGAGCATCATTACAATAGTGATCCATTAAATCCCATATAGTTTCTACTAATTTAATCAGGTACAATTATTTCTATGGTTTCTTTAGCATGGATAGAATTCATATGCTTCTTTAAGTGACCGCTCACTCTAAACCGCTGCTCGCATAGTTTGCAGGGATAGGGCCTCTCATCCGTATGGATCCGCATATGATACCGGACACGTTTTTTAAATCTAAAACTTTTACCACACACTTCACAACTAAACGGTTTCACATCGGAATGGATATGCATATGACAATTTAAATCTGAACGGGATTTGAAGGCGCTCTGACAAACTGTACAGGAGAACGGCCTCTCGCCTGTATGGGTTCGCATATGAATTCGTAACTGTGACATATCTCTGAAACTCTTAACACACATAGTACAGGAGTACGGTTTCTCGCCTGTGTGTCTTTGCATATGAATTTGCATCTGTGCATCATCCGCGAAACCCTTCTTACATTCTACACAATTCGATTGCGGTTCACGGAAGTGTATACGCAAATGTTGTTTCAACAGAGTATTGTCTCTAAAACATTTAGGACACTCAGAGCATTTATATGGCTTCTCACCAGTGTGGATTCGCATATGAATTTTGTACGACCTCTTATCTTTGAAACATTTCATGCATACTTCGCAATTGAATGGTCTTTCGCCAGTGTGGATCCGTGTATGGATGCTCAACTGCGTGCGGTCCCTGAACGACTTCTCGCAGTATACACAGCAATGGGGCCTCTCACCTGTATGGACTCGCATATGAATACTCAATTGGGTATGATCTCTGAAATAATTCTCACACACTTTACAAAGAAACGGCTTTTCGCCAGTATGCAGCCGTCTATGACGGTGCATAGCAGAGTTATCTCTAAAAGACTTTTCGCAAATGTCACACTTGTAGGGTCTCTCACCAGTGTGAATCAACATGTGTCGCCTCAGGGACCTGGCCGCTGAGAAGCTTTGCTGACATTCTTCGCAGGTGTTGGATTTTTTATCAGTATGAACTTTCCCTATATGGTGTTGTAATTGGACACTTGTACTAAAACTTTGGTCGCACGACTCACAATTGTAGGATTTCTCATTTTTATGTACTCGCATTATATGGCGGTCCAAACTAGAGTTGTCTCTGAAACTCATTTTGCAAATTTCACATATATGTGTTTTCTCGCCATTGTGAAGTCGTTTATGACGATTGTAACTGGAATTGTCTTTAAAGGACATCTCGCATATTTCACAGCTGTATGGCCTTTCACCGGTGTGGATCATCATGTGACGGCGTAGCGATTTGAGGCCACAGAAGCTTCGTTGACACGGTATACAGCTGTGTGTTGCCAGATCAATGTGTATCTGAGTGTGGACCCGCAAGTGTTTCATGGATGGGAATATTTCATCACATATATCACATGGGAACACGCCATTTGGAGTTTCACCATCGGATAGCATATCAGCTGAAACAAAAATCAAATAACTGAAAACACTGTCGCTGTCAGGCTACTTAATAATAATAATAAATTATTGCCATTCTTTACAAATATGGTACAGAAATTATAATGTACATTTATTAATAAATAAACACATTGTGCAGTATCCCTATGCCTGGAAATAGGTACAAATAAATAAGACCAATTTATACAAAACAATATTTTTAAAATTATTGCAATATAACAAAGTATTATATGACAAATATAAAAAAGGTCAACTCGGGAAATTCATCAGTCCAGCAGCAAAACACTGCCGTTAATAAAAAATTACTAGAAGTGAGATAAATAAAAGTGTTCCCTCCCTTAGTCGCCCCTTGCAACACCCATGAGAAAGGTAGGGATGGCCCATTCTATGCCGGGGCATACACAGCAAATTTATAATAATACTAAGTATAATAATACCAGAGGGAGACTTTGTACGAAAGTTGTTTGCTTGGGCACAACATGCAGCATAACAAACAAATTTAAAAATTATTGAAACAACATTATTACCTGATAATAAATTTCGGCTTGTATCAGGTTTTGCAGCAATTTCAACCTTCCGTTCATGAATTTTAGGTGAACCATCATTACCACCCAATGTATTGTTTGATTCATCATCAGATCCATCTTGTTCAGATTTTATGGTATGTAGCTTCAAAGCGTTATCATCCTCTTCGTCTCTGGCAATATCATGCTTTTCCTCTTTAATAAATATAGTATTCTCGTTGACTCCAGAAAAGTCCTGTCCTGTATCACCTACATTTGTTTCCTCTACTTCGACCTTTTCAATTTTAACTTTGGGATATTGTGTATCTACTTCCATAAAATAAGTCATACCTTCACCTTTTTGTGTCAATATAGATTCTGCGTTTTCCTTGCTGGTTGGCATTCCAGAAAATGTACCTGAAACCCTTGACTGAGAATTTCCATGATTGAAGTTAAATTCTTGTTCAGATAAAGAACCATCTGAATCATCCCCTAAAACTTCTTGCTTGATGGATATAACAAGGTTGCTGATGATTTGACTATTTTCATGTTTTGGTTCTTGCTTGATGTTTTCTATATTCATTTTGAAAGGTCATACAGATTTACGAACCAACCCTGTAACAAGAAGAATTATCACTACTTATATCTACTTCATCCTCACTTATCATCTCTCACTGGTTCCCCGCCAGTGTGTACCGATAGCGCAGGCGGGTTTTTTTTTTATGGGTGAAAATGGTATAGTAACCCCGCCTGCGCTAACGGGATACGCTGGCGGAGCACCAGTGAAGGGTGATAGATGAGAATGAAAACAGGCCAGTTAGCCCATCATGATGAATTCATCAGGAATTAACAATGCTAGTTTCCAGAGGGAATCGCGAGGAGGTCGACCTGGTTGGATATATTGCTAGCAATGGAATTCTCAGTCTCCATCACTAACCATCCCTTTCCCCTCAATAATCACTGGTTAATATAATTTTATTTTTATATTTATCTAAGCTTAATTATTTCCGAACGCAATGCCGCAATATCCTTCTACCTTCTTAACCTATCCATATTACTGATGAAATCTGTGCTCACATTGGGGGTAGATGGGTAACAAAATCAGTCTATCGTCCAATTGCCCATGGAGCAGATCAATTCTTGTAAAAATCTCGATAAATATACGTTAGTTACAAATAATCGAATTAGTCGCGATCTCTGCGCATCATTTAGCAAATCCGCAGCAGAAAGTGTCGAGTGAACGAATTAAAATACGAATGCGTATAAGATCTACACGCGGCGACTACGTGAACCAGGTTTGTTCTTCTCCATTCTCTTTACCCAACAAGTATATTGGTTGATACGCACAATGGCCCAAATGAGAGGCTAAGCGCGGAAAATGGAGTCCTTTTCAAGTATATTGGTTTCATAAAAAAATATAAATTAAGTGTGCAAGATCTCGAAGCATTGAAAACAAAATGAAACGACGAATATTAGTAAAAACTAATGGGTGTGTATCGGCCGTGAACTATACACTGCTAAACATAGCCTCCCCCATAAGGAGGGTTTTTTTTAATGGATAACAATGGTATGGTAACCCCGCCTGCGTGGGGAGGAAAGGGATTGTTAGTAATGGAGACTGAGAATCCCATTGCTAGCAATATACCCAACCAGGTAGACCTCATCGCAGTTCTCCCTGAAAACTATCATGGTTAATTCCTGATGAATTCATCATGATGGGCTAACTGACTATTTTTATTCTCATCTATCACCCTTCACTGGTGCTCCACCAGCGTATCCCGTTAGCGCAGGCGGGGTTACCATACCATTTTCACCCATAAAAAAAAACCCCGCCTGCGCTATCGGTACACACTGGCGGGGCACCAGTGAGAGATGATAAGTGAGGATGAAGTAGGTAAGTTAGCTATAGGTTAGTTAGTAGTTAAGAACCACGAGGTCTACCTGACAGGGTATATTGCTAGCAATGGGGCTACTAATTCCCATTACTAACAATCCCTTCTCCCCCCCCCTCATAAGTAGGCTTTTGCCAGTAATTGTCACGCTGACGCTGCTACCCCAGTCGCTCCTTATGATATTTACGGAAAAGAGGTGGTCCATTCTATGCCGAAAAAAAAAATGAAATTAAATCGTTTCATGTTCTATTTTACTCAAAATAATTGTTTTTAATTCCAATAATATTTGTAGAAATGAGACTGGCATCCTATGTTTTAAGAAGTTTGATTTTCTACATGTTTATTTGTTTGGACAAGCTAAAAAAAACAACTGATTAAATAAATTCTTTCACTTAAAGAAACCTATATTATCAAGGAATAAGATAGGCTATATATAGGCCAAATCACTGTAGTCAGGTTTTATTCCTCTGTACCCACAGTAAATTGACGTAAATTAAATATCTATCCTATTGCCATATCATATTAATTTATATATTTATAATGGCATCTTTTATAAGGACAATACTTCTTATACTGCTAGAGAGCAATGTTTAAAATATTACACAACATGATTCAAGTAAATGATGAAATAATATCTATTATTTATATCTGTGTGGTCATTTAGCTGTGTAGTCCAGGGATAGAATAAACCACGGGATCCTTTCTTGTGTGTGTCATAAAAGATGATTAAGGAAACTTAATGGTTGAGGGATAGATAGCAGTGTCCCTTTAAAACTTCACCAAAACCTAACTGCAGTTGCCAAACATGATGACTACTGGAAAAGGCCCCCAAGGGATAGACTCGTTCCGCAGTGGACAGTTAACAGCTATATCATTATCATCATTTATATGATATTATTTAATGTGTCAACTATACACAGAATTTTCCTTTGTTATTGGCAGTGTCTTCAATCTTGACAAAATTGATAGAAATCAACACAGTACTCTCATGTTGATGCCATATTAATTTTGTTAATATTTTGATCAATTGCAAAACAAATTGGCAAATGTGATATAAAATACATACATTGTTAAAAAAATATAATTTTGTATCAGTGTAGAGCACATAGGGTACTTTTCTTTTTAATGGGTGATAATAGAATGGTAACCCCACCTGCGCTATCAAGATACACTGGCGGGGCACCAGTGAAGGATGAAGCAGGTCTGTTGGCCCATTGTGATGAATTCAACAAGAATTGTTCATGATGGTTTCCAGGGGGAACCATGTGGAGGTCGACCTAATATTGCATATTGCTAGCAATGGGGCTATCAAACTCCATTGCTAACAATCCCTTTAAATGGGGTACTAGTTTGTATCACTAATAATTCCATCCACTAGGTAAATTAAAAAAATGTCCTATTCTTCTTTTCAGTAATAAGAGCACAAGGGGTCACCTCTCATGTGCTACCAATCCTGAAAACTATTATAGGTGTTACATTGTTTGCCAGAACATACACTGGCATTTCTTCTTTAAAACTTAAGTGTTCTGTATTCACAATATATCCCGAAAAGTTCATTAATCCAATACTATTAAAGTGAATAATCACATTTCTTAAAAAACAAACAGAATCAAAAGAAGAAGCAATATTAGCCTCTCAGTATAACTTTTCTCTTATTGGAATTGTTACCTAAATGACGTTCATTTATGATGTACTTTACTATGACTACTCTTGCTTCTGTCACCAAGTGTATTCCGAGATATTATTTAAATGAAAATAGGTACTAGCAAATTAAGAGTGGAAACAGGGCATATAGTCTTCTATAGAATGATAGTAATAAAATAACTTTCCTGTAGGGCCTACATATATACAAAGGAAAATATTGCCAGTGAAGCGCTCTATGTAGGATCAAATCAAAATTCTGATTAGTAGATAACCCTAAGCACCAACTAAATTAGAATGTTTCCCAAAGAATACTGATACAGACTGCCAACTGAAACTAGGTACCTGAAGAAGTTTAATGCAGTAAACTAAGTAGATTAATTAAAATTCAATACCTACTTACCAAATTTTATAGTTAGTATTTGAAGATAATTATCAGCGATTAGAGATACCTAAGTATATAGGTATGGTTCTGAAGGGTAGCCTGCGAGGTAGACTACATATTATTTATTGCAATTAATACACTAATAAAGGTCTGGTAATCAACATACAATAAAAATAAAAAGAGAAAGGGATAGAACGAATCAATCAATGGAGTAAAATAATGAAAGGAAACAAGAAAATCCTTCCAAAATCTTAATAAAAATATTAAATTGAATTGATTGAACACAGATTAAAAAAGCCAAAGACAAACAGTGTAGATACTGTGATTATCTACATGACCTTAATAGACGATCCAAACTTAAATACTTATGATGCATTATACGTGTGATTATTGTTTGCAGAAAATAATTCAGTTTCTCTAATAATTCACTCTTAAATTCCTTTTACACAATATAAACTACATCAATTAATCAATAAAGATGGCTTCTATGGCATAATATTTGACTGTACTAAATTAAACATTCAGTATAAGGAATCTAAGAGGGAATTATATATCTATCTGGTATGTAGCTACCAGCTTACAAAATTAGTAGGTACCTGTTAATCCTTAAATGTAATGTCAGAGTGTGTTGTTATAGTTATGAGAATGGAATAATAAGCCCCCCTGAGTTATTAGTGTTAAGGTTTTATTTATGTTACTTTTAAAAATAAAATTTCCTTATTTTCATTTTCCGTCTATTAATATTTTGTTATTAAAAACTAAGAACATTCTATTCCAAAATCTTTGATTAGAGAACTCTATTTTTCAACATCACTATTATTGTACTAGAAAAAATATAATATAGCTTTATATAGTTTATATAGTATATAGTTTAGTTTATTCATCTCCACAAATTAAAATGTATAATAATATTACAATTTACATACATACATACATATCTGTCACGCCTGTCTCCCATTAGGGTAGGCAGAAACAATGGAACGCCAAATGCTTCGATTCAAACAAACCTCTTTCGCTTCTTCCACATTCATCAATCTTGTCATACACGCTCGTCGGTATTACAATTTACTTTATACAAAATAAAAGTATCGTAATTTGTGGGAGATCTGGAGCCTAAACTAAGTCGTAACTTGTATCTTGGACACCAGGTCCCCCCCAATAAAGTATTGACAATTCAAAGTAAAAGGTAGTTGCGTGGAGTAAAAATAAATATGATTTAATATTAGAATAAACTAACTAACTTTATTCAGTATGTTCTATTTTATTGTTCAACACAACGAACCCTTCACAATTGGTATACACTGGCAAGACACCGGCATAAATTAGAGAGACTATGTCTGGCACCAGTGAGGAATGATAAATGAAGATGAAGCAAGTCGATTAGTCCATCGTGACAAATTCACTAATGAATCAATCACGACGGTTTGTAGGGGGAACTGTGAGATATCTAGGTACATTGTCATAAAGCCTTATCCTACAATCTCACAGCATACCCCTCAACCTCACAGTCTGTCCAATAAACTTAGATTATACTCTATCTTTGTCTATCAATTCCAGTGTCAGTGTTTAAAATTTTGGAATGTCAAATGTCATTCCAACAGAGTAGGTAATTATTACCAAGGTACGTTATTTAAGAGTCGGCGTTACGCCTACAGTAATGAATAAGATTGTTAATGTATACATATCGCATAGATACATCAACACAATTAAATATATTAATATACCATATAATGTAACGAGTATGTGTTCAAAATGTCAATATCAACATTTATCATAAAATATTATACCTAGCTACTTTATAGTGCAAATATTCAAATTTAGTGATGTGGGTGCATAGATATCATTAAACAGTTTTTTATTCAAAGTGACGTGTACCGTATTAATACTTTCCATTTCATTTGTTGTGTTTTGTATTTTTCTGTGACTGGAAGCAGTCTGGAGATTCCATTTATCTTACATTTATATTTATTATTTAAAAATGAATACTGAAATATTAAACAACAATACAAATAACTTAATTACCATGGAAGATTTGTTTCCAAACAATGAATCCCAAAAAGTAGTTGTTAAGTTTGAGAACTTGTCAGATCAAGAACCGGAATATTTAGTTTGTGAACCGGAACAAAGCACCGGAATACTATATGACCATAATTCACAGGATTGTGATCATAATCCTGAGGAAAACAGTATTGTAAATGTATCAAATATTAAGAAGAACTCAGATTATACTTTGCAGCAAACAATTATCAAGTTGAGACACAAGATTAAGCATGAATATTTAGGTGATGAATCTAAACAAAATATTAACATGTCATTACATTCAAATAATATTTTATTTGTTTGATATTAATAACAAGTCTAATAAAGTATTAGCTTTCAGATGATGCAGATCGAGGTCATAGTGAGATGCTATGTGAACAATCAGATAGTTCACAAAGTAGTGATAAGTTCATCACACTTGAGGATATACCAAAAAATGTTAAAGGTGAGCCTTAATATATTGCAAGTTGATGGTAACATATTTTTTAAACAATGGAAATGGAATAGTGATCCAACTGCATTTTTAGGATATGATTTTTGTAATATCATATATTTTCTGAATGTGTTATTTTCAGATTAGGTTACTATGTGTTTTTTTTTTTCATATTTATTTATTTATTTATGATTATTGAAAGATAGACTTTTTATATAAGTATCAATGATAAGGATTTTAAGATGTTTTTTGTATGCAATGTTTTTTATCTGCTCAAGATGTAAAGTTTGTTTCCCAAAGGAGATAATATATTGTTTTTGTATGAGTGGACTACAGTAACAAATTATATAGTAACTTGATTGGTAAATTCATATATTAATTAGAATATGAATGAAAAAATTAACACTAAACCTACCAAGTGCGGTTGACGAACTAGCTAGAAGAGGCTCAGGAACGAGGGTGGTAGGCCCGTATCCACTTCTTCCTCTTCCATTCTCACAACTTCGAATGTGGATTCGTCAAAGATCCTCTGACATACAAAACCAAAGATGGATACAGGCTACTGATTGCAGACAATCAAAATTGGCCGTACCTACGTTGAATCAACAACTATCAAAACTATTACAAACAAATTTATTACATCTAGATAGAAAAAACCTCAAAATAATGATAGGGACAATAAGGGGTCATTGTACATTAAACAAACATCTATACACAATAGAAGCCACAGACAGCCCTCTATGTCGAGGCTGTTTCGACGCCGAAGAAACGGCTACTCACGTAATTCTGGAATGTGAGGCTGTGGTCCATCAACGTTTAGAAATCCTCGGAATGCTGAGGTCGCTCCGTGAGGCCTGTGAAGAACCCAGGAAGCTTCTGCGCTTCTGGGCGCAGCTAGGTTGGCTGCACTAGCCACGACTCTAAGTGAAAGAATTTTTGAAATCGGCAAAGTAGATTTTGAGTTTATTCATTACAAACATACACACGAAAATACCGATAATTTCTCTTTATAATATTAATGTAGTTTTTTTTTTTTGGGATACGCTGGCGGGGCACCAGTGAAGGGTGATAGATGAGAATGAAAACAGGCCAGTTAGCCCATCATGATGAATTCATCAGGAATTAACCATGATAGTTTCCAGGGAGAACCGCGAGGAGGTCGACCTGGTTGGGTATATTGCTAGCAATGGGATTCTCAGTCTCCATTATATTCAAGTCTCCATTATACACAATCCCTTTCCCCCCTAATGTAGATAGTTATGGTTGTCTGGAAGAGATTGCTTAGGAATAAGACCACCTTTTGTGCTACACTATACTTACTGAAAATTCTTCAACAAGTCCTGTAATATTGATGCAATAAAGTGTTAAATAAATAAATAATAAATGTCTTAATTTGTAGGAAAATCACAGGCAAAGAAATCTGCTAACCAGATGAAGGCAAATCGAAATACTAACAGGACATACAAAAACAAATGGTAAGGGGATTGTTACTATATTTATTTCTTTAGTCTATATCTTAATGTATAAAAGGCTGGCATAATCACTCCTGTGTACTAAAGCCTCAATAAAAAATTTATTAAAAAAAAAAATAAAAAAATTAATATATAAAAATACTGTGTCACAATGTTCTTTCAAATTAATCCCCAAAAATCACTTCATGGATTTTAATGAAATTTTGTAAATGTGTATTGTTTGACCCAACTTGATACCATTTTTTTTTTTATTTATAATAACTTTATTTTTTTATTTAAATCAAATGTGAAATTGTGTTTAGTAATAATACCTGAGCCTCAAATCACACTTCGTGCCATGTAAATTTATAAATGAATTATTTATTTTTACAGGAATCAACCACTAGTTTTTGTAGATTGCGAATCAAGTTTGGGCGCAGCAAAAAAAAGCAAAACCCCAAGGAAACGAAAGCCAACATCCATCTCTGATTCACCAAACAATAAGCAATCACGGTGAGAATTATCCTATTCTAACTATAACTATATATAATCTATTTTTGTATACTAAAAATTAAATTATTTTATTAAAAGATAATTCAAAAATAGTTTTTTATTATTATTAAGCGAAATTATTACAATTACAAAATAAAAAAAAAATAACTAAATCAAGATATTTGCGTGTAAGAGAAAAAATGTATGTACATTAAAAATATTTTTTTTTAATTACAATAAAGCTTTATTCACTATCTAATTTCTAATAAAAGTCATCCATTTAAAATGCTTATTATTTAAACATTAACTGAATTTGATGCAGTTTTTATTCTTGTTTTATACTAAATACGCAGAGCACCCTGTAAGCATATTTTTAAAAGAAAACTTATTTGTTGAGTCAACAAGTCCTGCTCTAGTTACAAGTTACTCAATAGAATAGAATAGAATAGAAAATCATTTATTCAAATAAACTTACATTGAAGCACTTTTGAATAGTCATTACATTTTTTTAATCTACTTACTATACCTCATAATACTTATTAGGTAATGTTTATGCTTTATAATATGTAAAACTATTTATTTTATTTATTTTTCATTTTAAATACTCGACGAATATTTTTATTACAAGAATCAGTAGGCCTACCATGAAATGATTTCCGAAATTTCGGGGACGGACAAAACAAAACAGAAATTTGATGTTTAAATTACATAATACATGCCGCTTAAAATTATTAAAAATGTTAAAATATCGTTCCTCTGGACTATTAGGATAGGATTTATGATGAACGAAATGTTAAGCTTCATTTACAGAGACGATATCGATACGAACAAAAACACAAAATAGCCGGAAAATTCGGAATTTCATTTCATGGTAGACCACCAGTTCTCTTTATGCCCTGTGTGTTGTCATTAAAATAAAATAATTCTTAACTTGTGATCTTTTAGCGCTAAATTAAAAAAAGGGCGAAAGCGCGACATGTCAAGTTGTTCACCCTCTTCAGTGTATCCTGACATCCCCTCTGCTGCTGGCTCCTCGAATCAGCTAGGTAAGTAATGGTTACAATGCACAACCATTCTTTGGAATCAACTTCCAGCAGCAGTATTTCCGAACCGACACGACAACATAACCTTCAAGAAAAGAGTATATTCCTTTTTAAAAGGCCGGCAGCACACCTGCAATGCCGCTGGTGTTGTGGGTGATCATGGACGGCGGTAGTCACTTACCATCAGGTGAGCGGCATGCTCGTCTGCCTCCTATGTTGTAAAAAAAAATCCAGTAACTATAAAGTAATTTTTTTCTTCTTTTTTCAACTTAAATGGCAGTCGCAATGCCAAACGTCTATATCTGTGGATAAAGGTGTCCCTGACGAATTAACAAACCTAATTCCCTATAAGGTTGGCATACTGGTATTGGAGTTACCCAGGTATATTGAAGTGTCAACAATAATTAGAATAAAAAAATAAATGCCTGCCACCAATTTCAGCAGATGATTCTGAACGGAGGCACAGTAAAATTATATATATACTATTTGTTTCAGATACCAATGACATAACATTAGAAAATACTGCTGATGACATAAATTTGATATTAGAAATCAGCGATATAGATGATTGTGACCTAAATGAGATCTGTCCCCTTCTCCTGCCAGTGAACCAAGGTGCGCCTACGTGCCCCGCTGACTTGAGTCCGATCGAGTCCCAAGTTTTACAGATAGAGGACGAATTAAATGACAGACATATACGCGAAATTGCACCTGAAGACTTTTGTGATTTTAAATGGACTACGGACGAGGTCACTTTCACTGGACAACGTGAAACCTTCAAAGAAACAGCAGGACTAACATTCCCAGTAACGGAACAGCTCACTGATACAGACGTTTTCTACAAGATGTTTGATTCAGACTTTTGGGATCTTCTGTGTACTGAGACGAATCGTTGTGCTGTACAAAAGATAGCTTCGTTGAAAGCCCACAACCAGCTTACTCCCAATTCACTTCTACACTATTGGACACCCACAGACAGGGACGAAATGGTGAGCTTCGTAGCAATTATGATCCTACAAGGGCATTACCAACTTCAGGATGAGAAATCTTACTTTACCTTCAACGGTTTCGGCACTATGCCATATTTTTCGCGAATCATGAGCTACAATAGATTCGTGCTTTTAAAATCTTTCTGCCATTTCGTCGACAACGATTCATTGAAAGATGACAGCGATCGAGAGACTAAGATCAGACCTTTACTCGAATATTTCAACGACAAATTTTCAACACTGTACATGCCGTCGCAAGACATCGTAATAGACGAGTCGCCCTTCAAGTGTCTCGATAGATTGAACTATTCACAAAAAATTACCGCCAAAACTGACCCAGCCTGGATGAAGACCTACGAGTTGAGCGAAGCCTCAACAGGATATGTGTGGAAATTTATTATGTGTGTTGGAAAGAAGCGAACTCAGCCGGACCAACCATCCAACGGAGCGACTCAGCCGACTAATGGATCGACTCGGCCGACAAATGGACCGGCTGATGAATTCTCTAGCATTAATGCCTCTGGTGTCACAAACCACATAGGCGCAATAGATGATGACGTAACAATCGGTAGCATTGCCCGCCCAAAGACTGCTACCACCAAAATTATCTTGGACTTGATGAAACCATTACTGCACCGCGGATACACATTAATCATGGATAATTTTTATAATAGTCCATTATTACTTCGTTACTTAAAGGCTCAGCAAACGGACTGTTACGGGACGATCCGATTGGATCGCGAATTTGTTCCACCAATGTTAGTCAACTTTAACAAAAGCTACCTAAAACAAAGGGAAGCAGTGACGAGTTACTGTTCCGATCTGTCGATGATGGTTTGGAAGGATGCTAATTTCGTTAGCATGATTTCAACATATCACAAGTTAGAAGAGAGAAAGTGGCAAGATAACAAACTGACATACCCGCCACAGATCGTATCGGACTATAACAATTCCATGGGGGGAGTGCAGAGAAGGTATCAGTTTCTGTCCGCTCACCCTATGGGGCGCCCCCATAACAAGGTGTGGTACATGAATGTCTTCTGCCGAATTCTCAACGTGGCAATGTTCAACTGTTTTGTGATCTATGCATCTCGAAATGAAAATGTCGCGCAGGACCAGTTCCGGATCAAGTTGGCAGAGAACCTTCTTAGAATACACAAAAGAATCGATATGACGACAGAACAACGAATACTGACATACCAAGCTGGTGATGGATCGGCCGCATATGCCGTTTACCGAGGTTACAGGCCATCGAAACGTCCAGAAATACAAACACACGACCATTTCCCCGTAAAGAACGGGAAAAGGAAGGGGCGATGCGTGTTGTGTCATAACGAACGGAAAGTTGACGCACGGACTGTGTGGAAGTGTATGGAGTGTAACGTGAATTTATGCATAGAGATATGTTTTAGGGAATATCATAAATAGAACAGACGGACTGATAAATCTGTACTATAAGTAATAATTTATATGAATAAAAGGAGGATTATAAACAATTTGATCATGTCTCCCTGGAATTTATTTAGTAGTATAGTAATGAAACTGTGACTGACAGAAAAACGTTTTTCCTTATATTTACACTACTAGTGGTGATGAGAACCGTGGTGCATTCATGGGCTCATTGCTTGTGAAAATGAGGTCCTGGGTTCGATTCCCAGTTGGCCCAATTTATAAACTGAACTTTCCTAAATTGACTCAGGTCTGGGTGGGTCTCCAGATGTTTGTTGCCTGGGGTCCCTTAATATAGGGTGTTCTAACTTGAATATCAGGTGATTGATGCGATTGTGATACTTATTAATACTAGTTGTATCCTACATCTTTGTCCGCGTGAATTAGAATATCTATGTGATAATCGAAGATTTCATTTATCTGTGTACCTAATATTAAATATTCGGGGGAAAAGAATTGTTAGCAATAGAGTTTGACAGCCCCATTGCTAGCAATATATATAGCCCTATTAGGTCGATCTCCACGTGGTTCTCCCTGGAAACCATCGTGAACAGTTCTTGTTGAATTCGTCACGATGGACTAACCGACCTGCTTCATCCTCACTATCATCGTTCACTGGTGCCCCGCCGGTGTATACCGATAGCGCGGGTGGGGTTACCATTCCATTGTCACCCATTAAAAAAAAACAATTTAATATCCGATGTCTATATACATATAATATATATGTAATGTATACATAAATATTATTATTATTAATGATGGGACATAGCCCCCCGAAAAAGACTCAGGTAGGGGCTTCAGGGCGAGCCTCTTTGTCCCAGAATCTTTACCATTGGCGACTACCCCGGATCACTGGATTGGTACCTCTGGCAGCTGGGTCATCTTCGTATTTTATATTATCCATAGGGGAACTGATTCTTCCTCTTGCTTTTTAAATTATATTTTTTTTAAATGACTGTTAAAAGTCGTTATGGTGGCTATACAGCAAGTGGGCAAATTTTAAAGTATACATGGAAAAAAATCTCTTTAATGACTTACTTTTCAAAACTAAAACCTAAAATAGAAAACCAGTGATATCATTCTTAAATAACGTTATGTTAAAAACAAACTCTTACACTTTAATGGACATTTCATTGAATGAAAATAAAAATATAAAATAATGAACGGTAAAATAATGAAAAAATAACTATACAAATATGCTTAAATCTGAGTTTACTTGGATAAAAATATTTCTTTAATTATGCATTAAAAATCGAATAAAAAAAAATACATTTTTGACTGAGTACGCTTCATTGCATCAATTCTCGCATCTCTAGCGTCTTTCTGGAGAGGTTTGGAACTAATATTTACAGCTTCCAGCTAAATACTTGTTATTGTCCCCCCTCCCTCTCCCATATGAAATAGCTCTCCTTACCTTACCAGAGGTAGACTTTGTGCAAAAGTTATTTGCTTGGGTACCTCTGTCCCATTTATGTTTCAAGCGTATAGCAGTTGTGTTCCCATGGCTGTGTTTCTGTTTGAAGGGTGGGATATGGCGTGAATTTACAGGGTACAGAGGAATACACCTGGTCCTTAGGAATGGCAACGCATGGGGGGTGTCATAATCGAAGCAGTATAGTCTGTTATGTCCATGATACTGCTCATGTGTATAGGCGTCGGTTACCACTTTCCATCAGGTGGGCCGTCAGCTTGTTTGCCATTCTAAGTTGATTAAAAAAAATATATTTTTTGTAAAAAAAATTATAATAAACTATTGTATAGTCATAATATTGGGTATGATTAGCGAGTGACAGGTACTAATACTGTAGAAAATTTTACTTACATTTTGATCACTAGAAAGTATTTGCAGAGGTGGCGCCATCGGGGTACAACGTAAAAAAATGGCAAGTAAACATTGGAAATTAGCTGACAAAAAAATGGCTTTAAAAATATTGTTAACAAATCAAAAATTGTTATAATAATACTAGGCTGTCCAACGATCATTTTCTGGCTCTTTAGATAATTGGCAAGAAAATTCAGCAATGAAATCCTTATCGACAGTAAGTCCATGAGGCAGAATGAGATAGCAACGTTCAACCTCTTATTCTAGCTCATGGATTCTCTAGTAGGCATGAATAATATGGATACTGATCCAATATCTATATATTGGGTTTTTTTAGAAATTGATGGCGGAAAAAGTCGTCACCCATATCGGTCGGATATCTCTTTTCGAATATTTTTTTTTATACAACTTAGAATGGCAAACAAGCTGACAGCCAGCCTTTTTTTTAACTTCTGGAAAATGCTTTATGCAGACCCATACACCTTGTGGGAGGTGAATGGGTACTGTGGGAATCCCCCCAAAAGGTGGGGGTGTACCTACCAAAAACCAGACGATATACCCTTGAGGTGCCATATGTGTCAAACATGGGTTCGCTTTCGCACTCACCACATCTCCGACGGCAACGACCCTCCCCCAGATGGTAAGAACAGGTCTCTTCTCTCAAGATCTCTCTCTATTACTATAAAGTCTCTATTACTTACAATCCCTTTCCCCCTTCTCCCAATAATTGTTATGTGATAATAAAATAGGAATAAAGATAATGCTGTGTATTTTTTACTTAACCTAACCTAATATACCCAACCAGGTCGACCTCCTCACGGTTCTCCCTCGAAACTATCATAGTTAATTCCTGATGAATTCATCATGATAGGCTAACTGGCCTGTTTTCATTCATATCTATCACCCTTCACTGGTGCTCCGCCAGCGTATCCCGTTAGCGCAGGCGGGGTTACCATACCATTTTCACCCATAAAAAAAAACATCTAAACGGGAGGGAAGAGGAAGGGATTTATTAATGCAGACTATCAATCCCATTGCTAGCAATATACCCTGTCAAGTTTACCTCCACGTTGTCCCCCCTGGAAACCATCGTGATGAATTCTAGGTGTTTTCATCACGATAAGCTAACTGATCTGCCTTATCATCCTCATCTATCATCTCTCACTGATGCTACGTCAGCGTATACCGTTTAGTACAGGCGGGGTTACCATTCCATTATTACTATTTAAATAAAATATGAGACAATCGGGGGAAAGAGACTGTTAATAATACGCGGTTCTCCTTGGAAACCATTGTGGTTAATTATTATTGAATTTGTCATAATGAACCAGCTGATTTGATTTCATCATCACCATTCATAACACACTGGTGCTCCGCCGACGTTGCTTGCTGATGCCCATTCTTTCTTTTCTACTATCATATACGTACTCGGGGGAAAGGGATTGTTAGTAATGGGGTCAAATAGTCCCATTACTATCAATATGCCCTGTCAGGTCGACCTCCACGTGGTTCCCCCTGGAAACCATCGTGGCAAATCCTAGTTGAATTCGTCAGGATGGCCTGCAACTGGCCTGCTTTCAGCCTCATCAGTCATCTATCACTGGTGCCCCGCTAGTGTATACCGATAGCGCAGATGGGGTACTATACCATTATCACCCATTACACGTTACATACAAGTATTTATATAGAAAAAAAAACATTGTTACATTAAAATGCCATAATCCAATATAATTTCAGTTTGATTTGCTAAATGTTCGATTCCGCCAAAAGTAACCCGCAAACATTATCATCATTTCAGCCATTATCCGTCCATTGCTGGACATAAGCTTCTCCCATAGACTGCCATAAAGAACAGTCCTGAGCCATCTGCATACACTGACTCGTAGTACTACTAAATAAATCATATGTAATTGATACGTCTTAGCTAAGTATAATCCATAATATTGAATTAAAATTAATAATCGATTTCTTACTCTAACAAACTATCGACTAATAATCGATACTCGACGATTATTAAACAACACTACTCTGTGTAATGCAGTATTACGGATTAAAATTGTAAATGGAACGGACTTGTTCATGATTGTATGTGGCCTTTAGATAATGATCAATTAGCATAGATAAAATATCTAGATGGAACTGACACTACAGTAAATAAATAATAATATATACCATAGGTGTTATTAGAGTCTCAGATACTTTCGAATCTAAGTTTATCAAAAATTTAATTAATAAATAACAACATCGGCTCGCTGGCGCCTCGCATTCAAATTGTGTTCCATTAAATTAGACTCGCAAACAACAGAGTTAAACACGCATCGCACTCTAAGCATGCGTCTCGCTTATCCACACGTATACCGCGCGAGTCACGATATATTCATGTCGTAAAATTGTTTGTTGTATGAGAATAAATGTGACAACCTTCCCAATTTATTCAGGATTTGAAACGGAAAAGGTTACATTTTGGCAACACAGTCGTCGACGCAAAGGACAAAACGTGAGTGTCACTTCTACCCAGTTTATTTATATAGTAATCTATCCAAGCTGAGAACGAGTGATAAGCACAAATGATAATAAAATACCTACTCTGTGGGAGACTGTTTGCGAGTACATAGTCCAAGAAATAGTGATTTTTGATAGTTTGTTTGTGTAGTGTTGATACCAAATGTCGGTAACTGTGAATTAGTATACTATTTTTTAATATTAAATTATTTTTGTACTTAATTTTTTTTAGTAAAAGAAGGTAAGAATTTTTAATAATTTATCACCTTATTGATTAATGATATTAGGTCATAGACAAGTTGGTAGACGCTTATTTATCTACGTAACGTAGCAACAAAAACAAGGATATTCTATAAAATATAAATCTAAGTAGGTAAGTATCTATGTGGTAGGTACCTAAATTCAGGACGTTGTAGTATGGCGCAAGTGACAAGTGACATTTGGCTTAATTTTTTTTTTTTATAATGAGTAAATTGTAACCTTGAGTGAGATTTTTGCTCAGATGAATTACTTATACATATCCAATATCTCTGGATTCTTGAAGTCTAATTCAATCTAATAATAATAACAATAATTATTATTATTATATAATACTTTTGTACGATATTTTAGAGAATTCATAATTTAAAAATAGTTTAATAATTTTAAACGTGCTGGTTCATGACCAGCAATGCATCTGTAAATAAAAAAAATCGATAGAAAAAATTGTTAATAATTAAAAATCTCGCTGTAATGTGAATAAAATTAATTAAAAAGCTTTTTGTACCATATTTTATTGGGCAATAAAGATATAAATCGTCTACCATTCAAAATATTTATTTTTCATTGATTTTACATCTTTGTATTAATGTGTTATGAAAAAAATCATTTTTAGGAAAATAACTTTCAGTCCTCGAACTATTTGTTTTCGCCCACAATTTTGCTGGTTCTCGACCATAAAAAACGAAGTATAAAGTGTTTTTAGGACATTAAAATAAATTATTTATATAAATTACTTTTACGATGCTCAAAACTTACAAATGCATATTTTTTTTTTTACACTAAAGGCGAGTATGCGACTCACCTAATGATAAATTACTATCGACGCACATGAGCATTGCAACTCCAGAAGAATTGCAGGTGCGCTGCTGGTCTTTTCAGAAGGAATATGCTCTTTTCTTGAAGGTTACGATGTCGTATCGGTTCGAAAATATTGCTGCTGGAAGTTTATTTATTTATTTATTTAGGATTACCAACATAAGATACAGCGAAACATTTCGATACATTACAGTAGTGGATTATGGCTTACTGTTCTTACATTTAAAGGCAAGTTGATTTTAAACCGTGATTGTGCGTGGAATATAACCAAATTGTGTCACTTTCATTGGTCCGGGTGGGAAGTGCCCACCCCAAAATTGAGTTGCGCCCACCCTAGTTTATAAGCAAAGGTTTCAGCTACGCGCAAGGCCATTAGTGACAGTTTATTATGTTCCTTCTTAAGAGATTAGGCCATGGCATATTTAAGATTATTTAACAGGGGGGGGGGGGGGAGGCTAGCCCCTTAAAAAGAGGCACAATACGAGTATATACTCTTAGATATAATTTTGCACATACTTTTAAGCTCCATTCGCCTTCTGTGGTGGGTACTAGGACAATTCTGTGATAGACACGGGCAACCCGGTTAAATAAGCTCAATATTAAATAAATCCGATAGCATCCATGAACTAGCCCAGCCTCATCCCCCCCCCCCCCCCACCCTCGGTAAAATAATCTTAAATGCACCAATGAGCTTAGTACTTAACAGATATCTATACACGTATTAAATTAAATACAATAGGTAGGTACGTTCAAAGTTCTAAATTACCATAGGTACACGATTTAATGTGATGTATTTAAAATGTAGGTCGTTGAAATGTAAATAAAAAAAAATTTATGTAAATCGAAGAGCGTCGTGTGTACACGGTACATTTTATACTTAAAAAAAAGAGATTATTCAATATGGTTGTTTTTTTGAAATGAAATGAAATGAAATGAGTTTATTTACATTAAACAGTTTAAAATTATAACAAGTCACGTGGTATTATTTTGGCACCTGTTTAATTGCCTTAAAGGACGTAGGCATGCAAATATTTTACATTTTATATATAAAAAAAAAACCGGTAAACAAAATTATAATTCAATTACATTGTTTAACTTGACTTTACATATTAAAAGTCTAGATTTTATGTCTGGTTACCTCATAACATTAGCAGTTTAAAACAGATTTGGTTTTCTTTTTTGTACCTGAAAGGATATACTGACATATTGGTCACATTGAAATTTTGTCAAAATTGGTTTAATAGTTTAATTTTTAGATCGAAATGACTGGTTTTGTCTTTTTTTTTTTTTTTTTACAACACAGGGGGCAAACGAGCATGCGGCTCACCTGATGGTAAGTGACTACCGCCGCCCATGGTCACCCACAACACCTACGGCATTGCAGGTGTGCTGCCGGCCTTTTAAAAAGGAATATGCTCTTTTCTTGAAGGTTATGTTGTCGTATCGGTTCGGAAATACTGCTGCTGGAAGTTGATTCCAAAGAGTGGTTGTGCGAGGAAGAAAGTGCCTTGAAAAACGCACGGTGGAGGACCGCCACTCGTCCAGATGGTTGGGATGAAATTTTAGTTTATGGCGGGTTGTACGATGGTGAAAATTTGCAGCAGGTATCAATCCGAACAATTCTTCAGAGCACTCCCCATGATAAATTCGGTAGAAGATGCACAGAGATGCAACATCTCTACGCAGTTTCAGTGGGTCGAGCCGGACAGTAAGACGCCGATCGTCAACAATTCGAGCTGCCCGACTTTGAATGCGGTCTAACGGAAGGAGTTGGTACTGTGGCGCTCCTGCCCACAGGTGAGAACAGTATTCCATGTGTGGCCTCACTTGAGCTTTATACAGTTTCAGGCGGTTTTCTGGCGTGAAATACCGTCTCACCCTATTGAGCACCCCCAACTTTTTGGAAGCTATCTTAGCTTTTTCCTCCAGATGACCGCAAAACTGGACGTCGCTAGATATATCGACGCCAAGAATCCCCAGACTCGACTTATTATCAAGGGAAGTGCCCTGAAAGTGAGGTGATACGACAAACGGTGTCTTTTTTGCGGTGAACGCGCAGACTTGTGTCTTCTTAGGGTTAAAGTGAACAAGATTGCGTTCACCCCAGATCGAAACTTTATCGAGTGAAGTTTCGATTTCAGACACAAGTCTGTTCCGGAGCTCATCGGTATGTGCCCGCGAGATCTTTGCATGACCGGTGTATAATGCATCTCCTGTACTGTCGTCCGCATAACAATGAATATCACTGATCTGTAACATATCATTGATATGCAGAAGAAACAGTGTTGGAGATAGTACACAGCCTTGCGGGACACCAGCATTCACAGGTTTTAAGTCAGAGCATGCTCCGTCGACTACGACCTTAATGCTACGTTCCTTAAGAAAGCTGGCGACCCAACTGCACAATCTCGCAGGCAACCCAAACGAAGGTAGTTTTGAGATTAGTGCCCTATGCCACACCCGATCAAAGGCTTTCGCAATATCCAGACTAACAGCTAAGGCCTCTCCCTTATTCTCGATTGCCACTGCCCATCGGTGTGTTAAATAAACTAAAAGATCACCAGCCGAGCGTCCCCGTCGAAAGCCGTACTGGCGGTCTGAGATCAGCTGGCGATCCTCTAGGTACCGGAGCAGTTGATGGTTAATAACTGATTCCATGACTTTCGAGAATAAGGAAGTGATAGCTATGGGCCTATAGTTAGCTGGATCTGAGCGGTCTCCTTTTTTAGGGATCGGATGCACCAAAGCAGTCTTCCAAAACTTTGGGACTATACCTGATGAGTAACAGAGCCGAAAAAGACGCGTAAGAACCGGAGCCAACTCTGGCGCGCACGTCCTTAGCACAATTGGAGGAATGCCATCGGGCCCGCTCGACTTATGGATTTCAAGGGAGAGAAGTGCTCTACGCACTGATCTTTGCGTGAATTTAACATCCGGCATAGAGCTCCTACAACGCGGGATGGTCGGCGGTAGTTTCTCCCCGTCATCCAATGTCGAGTTTGATGCAAAGAGAGATCCAAGGAGATCGGCCTTCTCTTTGGCGTTCAGAGCCAACGAGTTATCCTCCCTGCGCAACGGTGGAAAAGATGACTGACAGAAATTCCCTTGTGCAGCTTTGGCAAGAGACCAGAAAGCTCGAGATCCCGAAGGTAAACTAGCCAATCTCTTGCCAATTCTACCAATATGCTCTGACTTCGCTGTGGCCAAAACTCTTTTGAAGGACCTAGAGGCAAAATTATACTTCTATTTAAGGGCACTGATGTTAGGATCTCGCGATGCCACACCTTTGGCCCAGGCTAGGAAGCACTCATGTTTCAGGCGAGATGCTATTCTACAAGAGGCTCCATACCAGGGCTGGGATTTCCCACCGACAGGTACCACAGAGTTAGGAATAAATAATTCCATTCCCTGAAGCACCACATCGGCGATGGAATTGGCGATGGCGTTGGGATCCCCCAGTGCGAAGCAAACCTGCCTCCATGGGTAAGATGCGAAAAAAATCCGCATCTCATCCCAATCTGCCGACCTGTAGTGCCAAACACGACGTCTACCCGTAGAACGTGGTGGAATCGGACTTATGAGAGGCACCTCACTCCGCACCAGACAGTGATCCGACGATCCAAGCGGAGCTTCGACGGAAATCACATAGTTGTCTGGGTGGGTGGTCAGCAGAAGGTCCAGCAGTGAAGGTGAATGGTCCAACACATCAGGTATTCGCGTGGGCGAGGAAACAAGATGCGTCAGACCATAAGCCAAAGCAAAGTCATGAACAGATCTTCCCGCATAGTCGGTTGTACGTGAACCAAGCCATTCGGTATGGTGGGCATTAAAATCGCCAAGAATCACGACTTCAGCGGAAGGAATCTGTTCGAGCAGGGAATCTGTAGCCATTTGGACGTGCTCAATGAGTTGGTCGGTTTCGATGTTACCGCTGTGGGACCTGTATAGGCATGCATAGACGCGAGGATGGTCATTGCAGTCTACACGCAGCCATAAAATAGACAGGTCCGTTCCTTCAAGAGTTCCAAGGCGGCGACAACAGATATCCTCTCTGACATACGCGCATACACCGGCACGCGAAACAAAACAATGTTCAAGTTTATAGCCCGGGTACGTCAGGTATGAAGTTTCGTTTGGAGAGGATATCTGTGTCTCCGTTAGAAAGAGCAATGCCGGCCGCGCCGTTTCTAGGTAATGGTGGACAGCGTTTAAGTTAGAATGTAATCCCCTGATGTTGCAGAAGCTCACATTGAGCGAAGGGGATGCCGTAGAAATCTTGCTCCGTTTGCCCTTGGTTCCAAAGAGCGGAATTTTGCCCCCCCAGAATACGCAGGGCAGCCCGAGCGTGGTTGCTCGAGGGAGGATTCTCCAGCAACATGGTTACTGGTACCTCCCTGGGGTATGTTATTTTTTTTTAATTCCACTGCCATGATTGCGTGTTGTAAGATAGGGGGACGGGGTTGGGGAAAGGATTTTAGGAATAGGAAAGGGATGGGTATGGGATGGGCCTCCGGACTCCCTCACTCACCATACGGAATGTGATCGCACTAAAAGTGAAACCACTTAGCGTCGGTATTCTGTGAGGGTGTGGTACTTCCCCGGTCAAGCCGGCCCATTCATGCTGTAATACCATATAGGATTACAGCGTGGCTCTACCACAGTAATTGTCACGATTGGAGTCGGATTTTTGTGGGACACAATCTTTAAATATATATTTTACAGAGAGATTATGTATATATTATATATTATTTTTATTATATACATATATATATATATATATATATATATATATATATATATATATATATATATATATATGTCGGAAGATGGCCATAGCTAAGCTCTGTTTCCTCCGACTCAGACATGGTTAACAAAAACTAATCTACCGTGGGCGTGTACTAATAATAATCAATAATTAGAGCAATTACGAAATCACACTTTATTTTTAAACTACAATCATTTTCATTAATGTAAGACATAAAAACTAATAAAATAATATCAAATAGAATAGAACTAAATTAAAATAATATTAACTAAGACTCGAGACACAACGATCCGTTAAAGTCGCGCGATGTCCGACAGACGAATGTGGCCCCACTTCCTTTCATTATCGCTCCAACGTTTTGTCAGCGCTCCCCTCCATTTCTTGCGCTTGTGTCTCGAGTCAATAGAATGTCTTTTATTCTATTTTGCGCCGACACGGCCTTCCTGACACACGCACGTCCTCGGGCGTTATTAATCTGTAAACAGAAGTATGTGATTATTATGCCCTACTAAAATGGCATTACTAAGAGACTGCGTGAAGCAAAATCTTAGTATCAATAATTGACTATTAGCTATATACTCAACAAAATCTTTGTAACCAAATAACATCAACCACAACTGGAATCATGTTACTGCTCCGTTACCGCTCCGCTCCACCGTCTGGGGACCAACACCCATATAGAGTGTGGCAGGCCAGAGGTTTGCAGCCAGTTAACGCGAACAGATAACACTACCACCACGACATAGCTCCAACAATAGGTGACGTCATATTACTGTACCGTTACAGCTCCGCACGACCATCCGGGGACCAGCACCCATATAGAGTGTGGCAGGCCAGAGGTTTGCAGCCAGTAAACGGGAACAGCTAACGCTGTACTATTACTGCATACCTTTCCCAATAACGTTTCTCTTTAAAGTCCCTTGACGTGTCCGGCTAGCCCAAGGAACTACCGTAACATCATCATTCTCTAAATTGTGTACATCTGTTCTTGTTATAACTCTACTTTCAACACCACCACAGTCATCACTATGGTCCTAATTCCAACTCCACAATATTATTTTGCTGTACGCAACCCCTGTCCTCATCTATGTATCTACTATCAGATTGCTCTGCAATATCATCCGCCGACACGGTTCCTGTTTTGTTATATATTTCGTCGCACATTATCTTAACTACTTCTGTCAATCCTGCTCTGCCTTTGGGTACTTCACGTAAACTCTCATGAGGATATTTGTATGTACGGTTTGAGCCATCAATATTTTGTAATTCGTAACGGTCATTTTCTAACACCTTAACAACCTTATAAGGACCTTTGAATTTACTATCTAATTTAGTTTGGTTTCGCTCGCAACATTTAAGGAACACAAAATCACCTTCAGCAAAAGGTACTACTTGCGCCTTTGTTTTATTAAAACGTTCTGTGTCCGACACTGCTAATCTTTTTATATTATCTACTGCATTTTGCCTCATATCTACTAAATTCGATCTGTTAACCTCACTAACATTTTCATTACTTATTCTAGAAATTCCCAAAGTCTGTTGGTTAATGCCAAACATTAACTCCATTGGAGTATAACCAGTTACTCTACAGCGAGTTGTATTTAGTACTAGTTGAATTTTTCCTATCTCATCTCTCCAGACACTATCTGTGCTATTTTCTATAACTGTCAAAAGGTTTTTAAGAGTTTGCATGACTCTCTCAACTTGACCATTAGCCCTACATGCTCCAGTAGCGATAAGGTGTAACTCTATATTATTATCATGACAAAATGTTTTAAACTCGTTACTTATAAAGCAACGGCCCTGATCAGCTATAATACGTTTAGGGGAACCAAATAATTGTACCGCATAATATAAGGTATCTCTGGCGCTATTAGCATCCAGACACAAAGTATGTTTTAGAAGAATATATTTTGTAAAAGAGTCAATAATGACAAAAACATATTCTTTTCTTTGGCTTTTTCCACTTAGTTTTCCTCTGATATCAATATGCAATGTGTGCCAGGGCACACAACCCTTTGGTGTTGCATGCAATTGGGATTTGTTGCGCACCAGAAGAACTTTTACAAGTTTTGCATACGAGGCAAGCGTCGATAAATTTTTTTACAGCTTTAGCCATGCCAGGAAACCAATATAATTGATAAAGTTTATCAAGGGTTTTATCATAACCTAAATGTTTTAGTTCTAAATGAACGTGACTAATTAACGACCAGGCTAAAGACAAGAGTACAACGGGTAACCAACAATCGCGCTTGTTACGTTGAATTTTTCTATAGAGGAGACCTTTTCTAACATCATAAGACTGAGAAATGTCATTGGGAAGATCGCCAGCTCTCCATTTTGCTATAGTGTCTATAATATTACTATCGCGTTGTTGTTCTACTGCTAACCAACCTTTTTGCATATCTAATACGTAAATCTGTTTCGATTTTAACGGTAATTTTGTTGAACTATTATCTTTATCTGACAACGGATTTCTTGACAAAAAATCAGCATGAGACATCTGGCGACCTTCACGATATTCAATAACAAAATCATAACTTTGTAAAATAGCCCACCACCTATGCACACGCGGCGTGAGATCACGTTTGTTACTAGACGATTTCAATGCGTTACAGTCTGTATGAACTGTGAAACATCGCCCGTATAAATAGTGACGAAAATGCTCTACTGCACGGACTACAGCTAACGTCTCAAGTTCATACGAGTGATAACGAGATTCGATGTCCGTTGTACGGCGGCTAAAGTATTCGACGACGTGGGGGGCTTTATCAATACGCTGTATTAGAATCGCTCCATAGCCTTGAGAACTAGCATCTGTATGGAGTTCAGTTTCCCTATCGGGGTCAAATATTGCGAGTACTGGTGCCGATGTCAAAACTTTTACCACACGTTGGTGAACTGCGTCGTGTTCTGAGGTCCAATTAATTTCGCCTTTATGTTGGACAAGAGGATAGAGGGGAGCCATAGTGACTGAGAAATTTGGTATAAATTGCCTAAAATAAGATGCTAAACCAATAATTTGCCGAACCTGAGATGCAGTACGTGGAGCGGGTATATTAACAAGTGCGTGAACTTTATTGGGATTGGGTCTTATTTCCCCAGATTTAATGACATAACATAGGTATGTAATTTCTGTCTTTAGAAAACTACATTTTTTCATATTGAGGGAAAATCCAGCTTTGCTAAGTGCATTTAAGACAAAATTTAAGCGCTCAAGGCCCTGTTCAATGGATGTAGATGGTATTAAGACATCATCGATATAGACTTGAGCACAATCACAGTCTTTAAGAGCTTTATTAATAGATCTTTGAAAAACTGATGGTGCATTTTTGAGACCAAACGGCATGGCAGTATATTCAAACTGGCCGTCGGGTGTAACAAAAGCAGTTCGCTCTATAGACGATGGCTCTAAAGGGATACAGTGAAATCCTGAAGTCATGTCAAGTGACGTGAAATGTTTAGCTCCATGAAGTCGGTCAATTTGGTCACTTATGCGCGGAAGGGGGTAATTATCGGACCGTGTGTTAGAGTTAAGCTCCCTATAATCAACTACCATTCGATCGCTACCATCCTTTTTTTTAACTAGCAATATAGGGCTCGCAAAAGGTGAAGAACTTTCACGGATTACACCTGCATTCAAAAGCTCAGATACTTTATCGCTTACAATTTGTCTCTCAGAGGCTGATAACCGATACGGACGTCTTTGGACAATTTTATTAGGATCAATTAGATCAATATGCATAACACCAGTATTTACACGCCTAGTTGGCGTTCCTTCAATAAATGAATCAGAATATTTATTAAGAAGAATGAGTAATGATTCTTTGTCATCATCTACTAAATCTGTATTTAGTTGTCGGCCAATAGAACTAAATTTCTCACAAAATTTATTATGTTTTACTCTAAATAAAGAAACACCATTATCGTTAATTTCTATTCGAAAGCCCTTTTCAATAATATCTCGTCCTAGCAGTATTGGTTCTACTAGAAATGTGTCATTTACAACGTAAAATATTATCTCAACTGACAAGCCTTGAATGATAGCAGTACAAAGTAATTGTTCGGTACATTTTATATCCGCATTACCGATGCCAATAAGTATCACAGTTTCGTGAATTCGTGTTCCCTCAATATGCCGAGCGAAACTTTCCTTGATTAGAGAACATTCTGAACCCGAGTCAAATAGAAAATGATAACACATACCTCTAATTTCAAGCTCACCAGTTACCGTACGCTTATTACAAAGTTTGACCTCCTTCTTGGAAACTTCATTGTTCTTTGTGGCTGAGCAGGCAGTGGCGATATGCCCAGGCTTGCCACATGCGTCGCAGGTGACAGGGCGCCTCTCATTGCGAGGTGTAGGTAGTTTCTGCATCTGCGAATTATTACCGCCATTGCGCGGACAATTGAAAATTTTGTGACCTATTTCACCGCAACGATGACAGTTGCCATAAAAAGAAGTTGCTGTGTGAGTGACATTAAAACGAGGACGTTTATTATCATAATTAAAATTAACTTCTTCTCCACGCCTTTTTAAGGAAACACTTCGCAAGATACGAAATAATTGTGGCTTATTTGTTATATTGTGCGAGCATAATTCACGTCTTATATTATGGTCTATATGAGAAAGTACAGATATGACAAACCCCGTTATTATCTCATCCGATAAATTAGCCTTTGGTATGGATTCAATTAATTGCCATAGACGTAAGGCAGCATCTGCCACCGTTTCCTTATTAGTCATTTGAAACTTTATAATACGATCAAAATAATCTTGCATTAACATAGGTTTAGAAAATTTTGCAAGCAACAAGTCCTTAATATTTTCCCAAGTAATAGAATTTGTTTTCAGTTTTGTTAAACATGCTGCTGCACGACCACGAAGCGCGTGAGTTAAAGCTAATAGCAAATCGGTACCTTTTAAATCCTTGTGTTTAATTATAACCTCGTTAATACTGCACCATCCTTCAATGTCTGAATCAGGGTCATCAGGGTCAAACCTGACGAGATTTGTAGTTGAATGCGGTTGCAATCCACTGGAAACACTTCTTAATACCCGCATAAATACTTCAATGTCGCTCGTGTCGGTAGATCTACATAGTTGTGTCTCGTTTATTCTCCCGGTTTCCTCGTTATCCGGTCCTTCACATCCCACTTCTGATGTCGGAAGATGGCCATAGCTAAGCTCTGTTTCCTCCGACTCAGACATGGTTAACAAAAACTAATCTACCGTGGGCGTGTACTAATAATAATCAATAATTAGAGCAATTACGAAATCACGCTTTATTTTTAAACTACAATCATTTTCATTAATGTAAGACATAAAAACTAATAAAATAATATCAAATAGAATAGAACTAAATTAAAATAATATTAACTAAGACTCGAGACACAACGATCCGTTAAAGTCGCGCGATGTCCGACAGACGAATGTGGCCCCACTTCCTTTCATTATCGCTCCAACGTTTTGTCAGCGCTCCCCTCCATTTCTTGCGCTTGTGTCTCGAGTCAATAGAATGTCTTTTATTCTATTTTGCGCCGACATATATATATATATATACATATCTGGTCGTCATTCTCGTACATCTTGTATCTTTACGTTACGGAATGCTGTACCTAACAAAGTTATATCGACTCCATACTTTAGATATAGATAGTCTGCGATAACATTGCACGCTCCTCCAAAGTCTAGAGAATAAAAAGATGTTTAAGTAAAAATATTCACAAGGTTTCAATCAAGGAATGTAATAACTCAACGATTTCCCTTGCGTTAACTCAGTAACTCAAGGGCACTCCGTTGCGTCGATTCATTGAGCCGACTTAAAATTCTATGTTGTTGTTATTATATTTCTAACAATTGCTCAAATGCCAAAACTAAGCGTCAAAAGCATATAGATATGTCAATGATCGTGTTGCTACGAGGGATTCCCAAAGAGAATTGACGTCAGGAAGGCGGCCGGTCGTAAAACCAAATGTGTGTGCCCCGGCATAGAATGGGCCACCCCTTCCTTTCCCGTGGGTGTCGTAAGAGCCGACTAAGGAGGGCAAGAGCAGCAGCGTCCCTCTTAAACCATCTCCAAAGCCTAAATGCGGTTGCCAACTCGCCTGTCAAGCGTGGCAACTATTAACAAAACTCCCCTTATGGGGAAAGCTTATGTCTAGCAGTGGACAGTTAACGGCTGAAATAGATAGTTTTTTCGTCGGCTGCGTCGACACTAACACGTCTCGACGGATACATCCTAGAGCAGTGTTTGCCAACCTTTTTTGTGCCATGCCTCGCTTGAACATTTCTAAAATGTTTATTCCCCCATACATAATTTTTACCGACAAAGTTTACTTGACAACTCTTATTGCCCAGTTGATATTTTGGTAACGTCAAACGAAATTATACCTAATAATTATTTACAGCATTTTTTATTTATTTATTTTTTGTTAAATTTGGTACCGATGTCTATTAGTAGCATTGCATTTAAATGGCCCGGAGCAAGAGGGTTAAAATCGCTTCGATTTTTCGATACCATTTTTTAATTGCCCCCTGTGGAGCGTGGACCCCACGTTGGGAAACACCGTCCTAGAGACTTCTCGAGCTACGAAATTTTATTTGGCACCTATGTAGCAAACGAATGGTTCATATTCCTTTACAATGCTGATTTATTTATTATTCCAGTAACAATGACGTGCCAGGTCAGGGTGGCACAAGGCGTGCTGCAAGGGAAGAAGTGTACGACTTATAACGGGAAGGAATATTACAGCTTTGAGGGTATACCCTATGCGAAACCACCTGTTGGGATACTTAGATTTCAAGTACGTATATTTTGATCTGATATAAAAAAAAATTAGACTTAAAAAAATTAAGAGCAAAAGCCGACAAACCCTATTGATAATGTACATACATAATTTAATGCACACAGAGCCTATATGGGATGAATTCAAAATCGTTTGCTATAATAATAATAATAATTTTTATTTTCAGACTATAATATGGTTAATTTTGTTAGTAACAATTTCCTTACAAACTATTTTAGTAGAAAAGTGAACATTTAAACTAAAGCAATTCATTCAGATGTGACTCAGGTGACTAAATCCGCATCTGAATGATATGCCTTATTACAAGCATGTTATATTTCTCGCGTATTACCTTCAGAATATTGTTGGTGCTTGTTCTATGCAACGATGCAGCTATACTTATATAAAACTATTAATTTACCCATGATATAGAACACATTAGAATAAAATATTCGTAAATCAAAAATGACAAAAAGTTTTGAGTCTCATACAGTTTTTATGCGACGATTACTACATTCCGTCCAATGTGTCAACGATCTATTTAAAACATCCGAAAATGTAGGAAATATTAAAAACTATTTGTTACAGAACCCTCAAGATCCCGAGCCCTGGTCAGGAGTACGAGACGCAACAAAGCCAGGGAATAGATGCGCACAAATGAACTTAAATAATGGAAAAATAGAGGGTTCGGAAGACTGTTTATACTTGAACGTATACACGCCAAGTTTACCCGCCGAAAAGTTAGAAAAATTGCCAGTTTTATTTTTTGTTCATGGCGGCAGATATTTGGTAGGCTACGGTGATTGGTATCGACCAGATTACTATATACAGCACGATGTTATTTTTGTCACAATAAACTATAGATTACACATACTAGGATTTCTATGTCTTGATCTACCTGAGGTTACTGGTAACATGGGACTTAAAGATTCAGTTAAAGCTTTACGATGGGTGAATAACAATATAGCTAATTTTAACGGTGATGCAAATAATATAACGGTTTTTGGTGAAAGTGCAGGAGCAGCTACTGTTACTTCGTATTTAGTTACTAAAATGGCTGACGGACTTTTCAGTAAAGTGATTGGTCAATCGGGATCATTTCTAGCTGATATATTTTTAAAAGTTGATAATCCTATAGAAAAAGCAGCCCACATAGCTTCCCTCTTAGGCCGTGATATTAAAAATCCAAAAGAATTGCGAGATTTATTTATAAATATTTCTTTAGAGGAGTTAATAAATGCATACTTTATGGTGGAGTTGAGTAAACCTACTTATATCATTGAATCATTTTTATTACCTGTGATAGAAAAAGATTTCGGCGTTGAACGATATTTTGACGAATTTCCAATTGAAACGATACGAAAAAATGAACACAAAAAGGTCCCAATGATTACTGGAATTAGTCTATACGAAGCTGCATTATTTTTAAAACGAGACAACGAAGGAAAAATTACATATGAAAATGACTTCAAATATTTCGTACCACGATATTTAAATTTGAAGTATGATAGTCAAAAGTCATTAGAAATTATGAAGGAAATGCGTAACTATTACTTTAAAGGAAAACAAGTAGATGATAGTATGAGGGAAAAGTTTGCCGTGTTCTTATCAGACGTATACTTTAATAGAGACATAATTTTCCTTCCGGAATTATTGCAAAGGAATAATGAAAATATATTTTTTTACATATTTTCATATATCGGAAGTATAAATATAAAGATTTTAAAATCTCTAGGTCTTAAAGGAACAATGCACGGCGATATCGTGCAGTATGAATTTTACAGAAAGAATAAATTTGAAATATGCACGGAACGTGACAAACAAATGATAAATTTCTTGAGTGAGGCTTGGTGCAATTTCGCTAAGAACGGGTAAGACTTTTTTTTTTTTTTATTTTGTGACAAAGATCTTTACGGCTGTGACAAGTAGCTTATTAACTTTTTTTTTACAGCAAACCCACTTGGTCAAACCAGCAAGTAGCGTGGGAACCGTACAAAGACGATTCAAGGCTCTGCCTAGAAATAGATGATGAGAAGAAATTAATTAAAAATCCTGTGTACGACAGATACAAGTTCTGGGTTAATCTTTGTGGGGAACGGTCTAAATTATAGAAGTAAATCAAATGTTAACACATGGGTAGTACTGGTTATTGGCATTCCACAAGGCATAATACTAGGTCCTAATTTTAATTGTGATTAATATATTAAATATATGGACAACGTAACGAACGACCAAACGACCAAACCAACATATACGTTGGTTTGGTCATTTGGAGTGGTTGGATGAAAGAAGAATTACGAAAGAGATTTATCGAGCAAGAATGAATGGAGATGTCGGTAGGGGCCGCCCTAGACGGACGTATGTCGACAAAATAGGCGACGTGCTGAAGAAGGGCCAAATTAAAAGTACCCGTAACCGGCGAGCGTGTATGACAAGATTGATGAATGTGGAAGAAGCGAAAGAGGTTTGTTTGAATCGAAGCATTTGGCGTTCCATTGTTTCTGCCTACCCTAATGGGAGACAGGCGTGACAGATATGTATGTATGTGTGTATGGACAATGAACTACTTAAATAACACAGCAGTGTTGTGGAGATGAATATGGGTCGGGAACACAAATAATTATGTACAATTTAATTGTAAACATAAGTTACTTAATTTATATAATACATATTAATATTTATTATTGTTATTATCCTGTTGTATTTTTTATATTTTAATAATGAGAATTTTGTTTAAATAAATATTTGAAATTGTGTTTACATTTTCTTATTAGATATATACCTACTTATATTGTTCACACAAAAGTCCTTTGCTTGAGCACCTCGGTACCATTCGTGTTTCTACCGTGAAGCAGTTGTGTTTGCATGGCTGTGTTTCGGTTTGAAGGGTGGGATATGGCGTGAATTTACTGAGTACAGAGGAATAATACCTGAGTCCTGAGGAATGGCAACGCATGGGGGGTATCATGGGCGTAACAATATACTCTGTTATGTCCACGGTATTGCTCATGTCTATAGGCGACAGTTACGAATTTCCATCAAGTGAGCCGTCAGCTTGTTTGCCATTCTAAGTTGCATAAAAAACACAATTTTTACTTCTTTTTGACCGCCATATTTATTGTAAGGTATAATTATGTAGTTTTTTATTAATGAAATTAGAATGGCCACCTGCGCTATACATACGTATTTCTAGCATAGAGCGTTGTTATGCAGGATAGGTCTTTTTTCAATGGTTGATAATGAAATTGTTACCCCGCCTGCGCTATCGCTATACACTGGCGAGGCACCAGTGAAAAATAATATGTGAGGATGAAGCAGGTCAGTTAGCTAGCAACGGGGCTGTTAAACTCCATTGCTAACAAAGGGATTGTTATAGGATAGGTTATCCCCTAATTCATAAAAACTAAAACCCTCTACAAACCTATTTTAAGTATTATATTGTTTCCTCACTTTCTTTCAAATTAGGAATTCAGCACAAAAGAAAGAGACAAAACTGTTTAATAGTTTAAAAAGATTAGAAGAGGTGTGACGATTATAGCATACCCACAAAATACATTACAAACACTCATAATAATAACTTACTAGTAAATTACCCACATTTACGTCGATTGATTATATAAACCGAATCCTATTATGATCCGTTTACAACGGAGTTTTCAACCCAAGGTGTTCTTTAATGTATTATTTGCATTATATTTACGATTCTATGTCTACAAGCAGTTTGGCAACCAGATTGGGTATATTTTTCGCAATTGGAGAAATTAAATTTGTAGTGAAACGTTTGGAATATGGTTGAAGATACATAACGCAAATAGAAGAAGAGGGAAAAGTAGAAACAGAAGGAATGATCTGTTCCCATCGTTCATTTTGTTTTGACATGGCGATAACGATACAACTTTGTGATAGGGTAAAAATCCTAGTAATCATATCGATTTAGAGGAGGAAATATTTGACATTTGGTTAAAAATTAAAATGCGCATCTGGCAACACTGTCGAAAAAGATCGAGATCAATACACATGAAATTTCAATGCGAAAACGTAAAATGAGCTTGTTAGTATTTTCAATCATTAACATCAAATTAGCAACTATTAACCTAGATACTGTTTTCCATCAATACAATTCAGCAGCACAATTTGCAGTACTCTCGTAAACGGTCAGATTTGTTCTTTTGATTTCAACACAAAAAAAAAAAAAACATTATAAAAAGCATCTATCCATAAAGATAATTTATTTGCAAGCATGTGTGTATAGTAGATACAAACTACAAAGACATATTGGTTATTCATTGATGGATTCGTATAAATCTAACATGTTTTGCTAACATAAGCCTGCAAAATGTTCTTCCAAGGACAGTTTTTTTTAATACAACTTTGAATGGCAAACAAGCTGACAGCCCACCTGATGGAAAGTTATAACCGTCGCCTATAGACATGAGTAATTCCATGGACATAACATACTATACTATTTCGCCCATGATACCCCCCATGCGTTGCCATTCCTGAGGACTTAGGTGTTATTCCTCTGTACCCTGTACCTAAATTCACGTCAAGTGTCAGTTTTAAGTGCCTTACAAAATAAATTTAAGCTTTTTACATATCTATGCCTTACAAAATATATTAATTTAATGTACAAATTAGATTAAAGATTTACAAATTAAAAAAAAAAAATCTTTAGAATCAACCCCAATATAAAATTGTTCCATACTAACTTGATAGCTGAACGCGCCTATAGAATGCTTATGATTTCAATGTTACTAGTAAACAAATCAAAGGACGTGATCACTTTAAAATTCTCGTTAACCTCTGACCGGCTCAGATAAATGTAAAGTTTTCTATAAATATTAAATAAGATATATATAAATGATACTACTGATTATATTGAATAAATTTATTTATTATTTACTCATAATTACAATTAAGTATATAAAAATACACATCCATTATTACTACGTGTTTAATAACATTAAAATAGGTTTATACATAAGATTATCACTATGTTCAAGTTGGCACAATATCTAATCAGCGTTTCTGCTTTTGCAGGAACCTTTAGCTGAATTAGCATCCTTTTTCTTTACCATAACACTGACTGATTTCTAATACTCTTCATATATAAATGTAAACTTTTTTTCTATATTTTATTTATTTATTTTTATGTTTTTATTATTTATAATCTAAGTATATGTAAGTGTAATGGTTTTATTGAAATAAATTTTTATTCATACATTCATAATGATTTGATACGATTTGAAAATATGAGAAAATGTTAAAATGACTCATTAAATGTACAGCTTCAATATACATCATCGCGTGCTTCATCATCATCAGCTTCGATATACATATCATCATATCTTATCGTAAATATATAATGTAAATACTTTTAATGAACTCTGCTTACCGTTATTAGGGAAGTATAAAATGTAAAAATTCCTGATGTTAATAATTTAGATAAAAATGGCGGCTAGGGACAGTGCTAGACATAAATACTTTCTAATTCTATGTCTAGATATTTCATGAGATATAAATATAATACAAAATTTTATTGTTAAAAGTTTTGTATGTACACATTATATTTAATGTAACTAATTTACATATAATTAGATCAGTCATATATGAATCAGTCAGTTATGTCACGCTTACGCTCGCGTCCAGACCGCTCATGATTAAGGACCACGAATTGATCCCGAAACTAGTCGAGATTTCTCGATCTAATTACACGTAAGTTAAACCGACAGTTATTACATTAAAATATAATGTAATATAATAGCGATTTATAACTATACCCCGTAGTAAACTTTCATAAAATACTTCATATGAACTGATAGGTAGCATTACGAATCCCAATTTTGGGATCTCTTGCAAGTATTTTTTTTTTTACTGTAGACGAGTTACTTGTATCAATATCAGAAATATATTCTGTAATAATAATATTATAAATACATTTATGATACTAGAGTATATATAGATATTAGATATCCAGAATCGCTAGAACGACATTTTCTAAATCTATCTTTAAAAATCGATATATTAATTTTATAATATCATGAAAGTATCATGCCGTGTGGTTCCGGCATAAAATGGGCCCTTCCTTTCCCGTGGGTATCGTAAGAGGTGATTAAGGGAACTTAATGGTCGAGGAATGGGCAGCAGCGTCCCTCTTAAAACATCACCAAAGCCTTCATCAAAAACTGCAGTTGCTAATCCGCCCGCGAAACTGACGTTAAGTTAAATATATTTAAAAAAAAATCATACAAAAACGTCTACTGCGCAGGTTTTATTGTCTATGGTTATTATGACAAAAAATCTCCATACAGTATCTATGACACAAAATAAATACGTACTGTAAATTGATCAGTACACTTATATGCTTATACTTCCCATACCATAAAAAAGATAGTAGATTCTCGACATTAGTGGCTTATACATTTTTTTATTTTAAAAATAAACTGCATTGACCGAATTTAGTATCCGATGCGGAGTTCATAAACAGCGTTAAAAACATAAATATGGTAATCGAATTAAAACATAATTACACTCACTGCTAGACTAGTTGACACAGTATAATTAAACTATGATCATTAAAACAGGTGATAAGGTATCGTAGTTTTACTAGGTCGATCACAGTTTTAAAAATTAATAAAAATTACTTTAAACAACAATCACCCACTAGATGGAGTGTCGACCTCAAATGCATTGCAATGCATTGGTCGTTTTGACGATTTCGAGTCAATGCGATATTTCACTAAAGGAACGATAACAGGTAGCATCACTATCTTTAATTTTAAAACATTGGGGACGATTCTGAAGCGCCTTTTCTCTATATCTAAACATTTTTTTTATTTCTTTTATAACATTTTTTTTATACAATTTAGAATGGCAAACAAGCTGACGGCCCACCTGATGGAAAGTAGTAACCGTCGCCTATAGACATGAGCAGTACCATGGACATAACAGAGTATACTGTTTCGCCCATGATACCATGCGGAGGTATCATGGACGAAACAGTATAAGTTGTATAAAAAAAAAATATTATATCGCATATAAGACGATACTGTAACTAGTTAAGACGAGAGTATTCATCACGTAATTCTGAAGTACACCAATTTACAACCATCAAAGAGCAGAGGGAAAGGGATTGTTATGGGGAGGTTACTCTCCATTGCTATCAATGTACCCTATCAGGTCGACCTCCACGCGTTTCTCCCTGGAAACTATCGTGGTTCAGGCGAGGTTATCATTCCATTGTCATCCATAAAAAAATACCATTAAAGAGTGTTTTACTCTCCGCCGACCTCCCGCATTACACCAGGGTATATAGCTAGCAAAAGGTGCTAATAAGCCAATTAATAACAATTCTTTCCCTGGGAAAGGTAAAGGGTTTCTGTGCCAATGAAATATTGAACTATTTTATATATTATTCGGGCGAATCTCACGATGGGTATCCCTTTCTTAGGGAGAGAGATGGGACACTAGAGGTTTTATCTATCACTGAGAAAAGAGGAAAAAACTTACATAATTAAAAGACATCCTTTGATAAGCTATTAGATAAAGTGAAAAATAAAAAAAAAAAAACATAAAATAAGGTCTTTTAAATAAAATATATTTCATTGTGGATATGACAGATATATTGATATAAATTTTAGAAAATATCTAGAATAAATTTACGATTTGTGATCAGTAATACATATGGCAAGTGGCGACTTTGCCAGATAACTGCACTGGAATGATTAACTTAGATATTCTTATAAAATAAAAAAATAAAATAACTATAATAAAAAAAAAAATACATATAAACGAACTTTCGCAAATAAGGCACTGTCGAGTAATATTTCTATACATTTATATTTTACAATTTATTATAATCTTAAGTGATGAAAATAACAATTTTAATGGAATGTTCCGAATTGCACATAAATAAATAACTTAATATCTACCTATATCTAAAAACAAAATGGCCGTCTCACTTTTTCCCGCCCAAAGATTCAAAGAAGTTCACGAACTTATTGACACCTATGTTTTTAGGTAGATCATCCTCTGGTGGGTCGTTAGCTCGGATGACGTCTTTGGGTATTCCATTTGATTGCTGAACCATTTTAATTTCGTTTGATGGCCTGGGTTTTCTCACATCGCCATTGCTGTTACCATTGATTTGAACTTGATTTTCTACTACTTTAGGAGCTTCAATGTGTACTTCAACGGGTGCTTCAGTAGGTGTTTCAATTGGGGGTTCAGACACAATTTCTGGTTCTGGAATCGTCGCTGTCTCTACAACTATTTCTTGGATAAGGCCAGTGGCATTTTGGTCAACTATATTTATTTCCCTAGGCCCGTCGTCTACACTCACTGGAGTGGGTACTTCAGGGTCCGGTGCTTGGTCCTCTACTACTTCGCTAACTACATCGGGAACCACAGCTGGGACCTCAATTTCATTTTTCTCTGTTCGTTGTACTTCTTCGTTGTTTGTTTTTGGATGTTCCCAAATACGATAATATTTATTATAGAGACCATCCCAGAAGTCCATTTTTTCTTTATCAGGATTTGTGTCCAGCGATAATTCTGGACCTAAATTGAGGTAATAGAGGTTGTCCTTAGTTACTGGTCGCCAGGTTACAGTCAAATAATCATTCTCATCGTCAGGAGTTGGATTCCTGAAATATATATTAATATTGTATTTAATAAATTAATGTAAGTAATTAATTAATTAAGTTTCGTAAGAATATATTAAATTTTAATGTAATAACTACCGGTTTAACTTTACTTGTAATTAGCTCGAGAAAGCCCAACTAGATTCGGGACCCTTGATCCCTAATCGAGTTTGACTGGGCGTCTCGGCCCGCAGAGCGTTAACTATAGCCGTTTGCAGCAAGTTAAACCGATAGTTATTATTAAAACAAAGTGGTGTTATAAACAATATTTTGAAATAAATGTTTAAAAAGGAAATTGCTCAAAAGATAACCAACTATATCATTATTTATTTAAAAAATAGTAGATTTTTTATGACGCGCCTGAGTAAGTGGTAATAATATGATATCATTACCTTTATATAATATTTTTTGTTGCGTTTTAGTACATATTATATCATGTAACTTTGCCCGCGTAAAATATGATAAACAGAATCCTGTATTAATCAAGGTCTAAGGCCCAAGCCTATTTTTGTTACGACGGCCTATTGAGCCGTCGAAACAAAAATAGTCAATTAAAATCCATATTCTTCTACTGAGACTATTAAATTTAGCACTTACCCAGATTTAGCAAAGTTTGTCCATAACCTTAACATTCTTTCCCTCATTTTGACGTCTTGAGGAGTCGGCTCCACTTCATTTTGGAGGTCGTTCTTAAATAAATAGCCCAGCTCGTCCGTATGTGCGGCGCGCTTTATTGCCAATGGCGATGTTACCTTTCTAGAATTGTTCAATTCTCCGACATAATCAAACTTGTAATAGTAAATTGGCTTATTTGTAGCGTTCACTAAATACTGTACATATCTATGCGTGTCTATATTGACTAGTTTATCTGATAATAATTCAAAATATTCATTCAAACTCTCCAATCCAATTTCTTTATCTTTGAAATACAATCTTTTTATTTCCTCGGCAATTTCGACTGCTTCCTCTGTGTTCCTTTCGATATTCAAGTCTTCAGGTATAAATACTTGCAAATCTTCACCTATATGTTCATAAGTAAACTCTAATGCTGTACTACCGATCATTATAGGAACTTGAGCAACCCTGCCAGATGTTAGAATATCAATAAATGCTTCTGTTAAAAAAGCTTCGGTATCCGGGAACTCTTTTTCTATAACTGCAGCGAAAACATTGCCACCTTTTTCATAAAACAATTCAAGCGGAGCCAATTTTCTGCCAGCTTCAGTAATATCCTTAACTGAAGAAGCCGATAAAAAGTCTAATATTTCATCAACACTTTCTGCCTCAGATCCCAGGAGTTGCGCTAGATTTCTAGCATTTTCTATAGGGTTTTTTTGATAACCCCAACTGTTGAGGGCGGTGCCCGACTGAATTATCGCTTTGTTTATCAAATTTTTAGTTAAAGGACTAGCAGTTAACAACGAAGTAGCTACACCACCGCAACTTTCGCCAAATAGTGTCAGATTCCCGGGATTACCTCCGAAATGTTGGATATTATCCTTAACCCATCGGATGGCTTGGACCATGTCTTTAAAGCCTGCGTTTCCGGGAACTTCGGGTGTGTTCAGGCATAGGAAACCTAATGGTCCACATCTATAGTTTATTGTAACTACCACGACATCTTTCTCGACTAGAAAATCACCACCATACTGACTGGAATTTCCTGAGCCAAATTTAAAACCACCTCCGTGTATGAACAGCATCACTGGGAGGAATGCACCATCTAAGTTGGTAGTGTACACGTTTAAAAAGAGGCAGTTTTCGTCACCTACATATTCTTTTGTAAAAGGATCTATTTGTGCACTGATATTGCCTTCAGTGGTGGCATCGCGGACACCCTCCCAAGGTTCCAAAGGTTGTGGGTCCTGAAAAATTAAAAATATTTTATTTCATTACGGATTCAGTTAAAAATAAATAATACGGTTTTCTGGGTATCTATACGAGTATTTAGGAGTCGGTTTATTTCAGATTGCATCGCTTAAGTATACTCTTTGGATTCTATGTATTTCTAAATATGTAATTTTTTCCAAGATTTGGTTCAGTCTTTCAGTTGGCAAAATATAACAAACGTCCAGCATGTTTTGTACTATTACCAGGTTATTCTATTACCCGTATCTAAGGGTCACAGGGTGTCTAAGAGTTTAAAGTTTTGTTGCGACTACTTAGGGTAAAAATTATCAAAATTCAATAGAACATTTCATATCAAGGTCATTGAAAGTTCTACTTATGTATTACTAATTTATAAGTTCCATTAAGATAATGTTTAATACTGCTGAAATGATTTATTCAACATAGGCGTAATTTTTTTCAATAGAATTGATAAATAAGTAAAAATAAGTAACATAATATAAGTAGAATTTTCAATGACTTTCAGGACCTTGATTAATATTTGTGTGCGAAGTATTTATTGAAAAGAATCAACCCAAACACAGTGGTGTTTGAACTATACTGAGTTTGGGGGTTGTATTATTATTTATTTACAAATAAATAAATGATGTTCCCCTGTCTTCCAGTTAGACCATCAGACCAGCCAAGAATATCTCATTGCGGACAGATAAACAGACATACAAATATACGACAGAGGCAAGTTACATTCTTGTAAATTACCTATCTCACTTTAAGAAAACATAGAAAAACCAATATTATACTTAGTTGAAAATAAAACTTAAGAGTTATGACGCGATGTTATCTATAATCTTGGCAAATACTGATAACGTGGCATGAATACTTCAGGAGAGGAAGTTATATAACATAAATGATGAAACTAAAGACTGTTGCATAAAATTTAAACTATTTCTCTAAGAACTTATCACCTTTTTATCGCTCATCATCATAATTTTAGTCTTAAACTTTGCTGAACATCTCGCTCTCTCTTAATTCCAAAGAGTGGTTGTGCGTGGAAGAAAGTGCCTTGAAAAACGCACGGTGGAGGACCGCCACTCATGGTTGGGATGAAATTTCAGTTTATGGCAGGTTGTACGGTGGTGGAAATCAGCAGCAGGTATCAATCCAAACAACTCCTCAGAGCACTCCTTATGATAAATTCGATAGAAGATGCACAGAGACGCAACATCTCTACGCAGTTTCAGTGGATCGAGCTAAACTAAATCATTCTACAAATCTGTTATGACTATTACGCTGTTTTGTCGCTTTCTTGCAAATTAGGAATGTAGCGCAAAAGAAATAGACAAAACAGTTCAATAGCTAAAATAGGTTTGTGAGAAGTTTTCCGTTTTTATGAATAAGGGGGTTAGACTTCATATTATGAGATAGCAGCCTATCCTTTTCAACTGACGTCTAATTGGAGGAGATTGTCCACTCACCGATATTTTTTGTTACTGATAATTCTCCACTAATTCTGAACTGATTTTGAAATTCTTTTTAAATTAATAAACACTTATTTATTGTTAAAAAAAAAGTAAATTAATTTAATATTGCATAAATCTTTTAATCATTAAAAAATCTAAGCGTATAACACAAGGATAGAAAACTAACGAACGAGGAAGTCCTAAAAAGAGTGAACGAGAAGAGAACATTGGTTGAAATAATAGAAAATAGAAGAGGCAAAATGCTGGGCCACGAAATACGACATAACGATTTTTTTAAGAGCATAGTAGAAGGAAAGATAGAGGGCAAAAGAGGAACAGGAAGACCGAGGAATAACTACATGGGACAGATAAAGGAAACACTAGACGTCATGTCGTATAGGGAGATAAAGGATATGGCCTGGGATAGAGCTGGCTGGAGGAAGATGCATGAATTAGTTGCACCGACAAGAGGAAACTCTTAAATGAAAAAAGAACATAAGCCGGGAAGCGACTTTGATTTATACTATGTTAAAATTTGCCGAAGCCAATCTATTATTTCCTGTTCCCGAAGGAGTTTCGGGATATTCCTTGTATGTGCTCGTTTAGCATGAATAAATGATTTTTTTTATTTTGTTAATTTATATAGATACTTCATCGTCAATATATATTGTGTAATAGTACAGAATTTCACGGTTTTACTACTGGAGTATATCATAGGCTTCAAATTGTCAGTCTTAGTCAGTCAAGTGAACACTTCAGTTTCAGCACGTTACAGGCTATGTAAATTTATGTAGAAAATTAATCATATTTAGGCTTCATGTATAATAAACAAACATCAATGTAGATAAGTTCGGTGGAATGTATGTTTGTTTTGTCGGTGCAGAAATAGTATTCTTATCTTAAATTAATATTTTTGTATCTTTGCACGTGACAGACGTCAGGTAATATAAAGTTTTAAAGTTAGCACATCGTGATGAATACACCTGGCATTCAGCACGATGGTTTCCAATGGGGACCACGTGGAGGTCAACCTGACAGCATATATTGCTAGCAATGGGACTGGTAGTCCGCATTGCTAACAATGCCTTCCCCTATTGTTAGCAATATGGCTACTAATCCCCATTATTAAAAATACCCCTCCACTAAACTACATGACTAACAATCCCTTCCCCCTTCCTGTCAGGTCGACCTGAAAACCAACGTGATTATTTCCTGATGAACTGACATCAGTCGGCCCATCATTTCTAGAATTAACTGAAAGCTCTGTTATCTGTATGCTTACCTTAAATCTAAGGGAGCCTAGTGGCGGCTTCGCGTATGGTATACCCTGGAAACTGTAGTACCACTTCCCTGAGGGACTTGTCACCACACGACCTTGGAGCTCGCCGTGCTCCACTCTCACTGTCGGTGCCTCCGTCATTTTCCCGCCGCTTGGAACAAAAACACAAGTCAGATTACGATGATGGATTGATTCATGAAGGGGTTATTGACCCGGCTTTGAACATAAGATTGGCATCATATTAATATTTATAAAATAAATGGAAAAATTTGTTAAGACGATCTGAACTTCTGTTACTCAATCATGCATAAATGGTTGAATTAATTTGTATATAATTTCGTATACAAATTGAGCACAATTCTAGATTGAATTTAGGATATAATCTATTCCCATTATCTATAAAAACTAAAAGGTTCTACTAACCTAATTTATCTACTTATTTTAATAAAGTGTTTTTTTTTTTTTACTTTGATAAAATATTTTTTGCCACCACGAAGGTTGCAATCAAGCATACAGCCCGTCTGATAATAAACGGTCACTGTAGCCTATAGACGCCTGCGATACTAGGAGTGTCACGTGCGCAATGCCGACTTTGAAAAAATCTTAATATACCCTTAAAAATCTGATTGAGAATTAAGCGCAAAAGACATAGACAAAATATTTTAATAGTAAAAAAAAAAAAAATAGTTTATGAAAGACTTGACGTTTTTAGGAATAAGCGGGTATCTGTGCATCATAGTTGATTAAATAACGACATTGCAAACATTTGAATTTATAATATTAGTAGATAGTATTAGACATAATAAATTATAAAACGCAAATCGTTATAGAAATATTATTAAAATATGAAAATTATATTTAAATTATTATTTATTCTATTGAATATATTTAGAAATTAACAACGTAATATTATACTTACTAATGTTATAAATGTGAAAGTGAGTTTATTTATTTATTTATTTCTTATTGCATTCCATAATATAATTTGTAGATAACATTTCAATTATGGACCCTGTTGGGCACAGCAAGTACGAGAGAGGAGGACAACACTGTTTTCACTTTAGAAATAGTCTAAGGATCTGTTACAATATTATCCAGTTATTGAAATTGTATCACGATAAGTACGTATTCTCTTATTATTATTATTCATTATTTAAGTATTGTTGTGTCTATCTATTCATAGAGTTTGTTAGCTCTTAGCGTATTACTGGCTGAAGCGATCGTCACGAAATTCTAAATTTAAATATTCAGAATCTAATAAGTTCACAGAGTTCATAACAAAGTACGGTAATGCTACAATTAACTGTCAGTTTTTAAAAACAATTGAAAAATTTTCAATATTTTTTTTATAACACTGAGGTGGCAAACAAGCATACGGCCCAACTGATGGTAAGCGGTTACCATAGCTTATAAACGCCTGCAATACCAGGGGTATTACGCGCGTGTTGCCGACCCTGAAGAAACCTAACCCCCTTTTTGAAGAACCCCGTGCTGTGCGTGCAGTTAGGCTTTGAAGATGTTTTAGGAGGGACGCTGCTGCCCATCCCTAGTCCTCCCTCAGTCGTCTCTTACGACACTCACGGTAAAGGCTTATTCTATGCGGGGATTTAGATTAGGCTCGATAACTATTTACTTGCAATTAATATTACACCGGATTTAATTCCAAATATCTGTCTGTGTAACCTAATTATACTATGATAATACGATACTATCGATTCGATAGTTATATTAGAAGCAAAATTATGCGATTTTATCAACAAATATAATCGTTATCAACAATTGATAGAAATATTTTGACGCACTTTCATTTTCTTTCCTTTACGCCTTGATTTAAGCAACAATTTTATGAATGGATTACAATCTTTAATATCTAACCGATAAGTATACATGTCTTATATAAAATTAGTGAATAACTCTCGACTGACTAATGCTGGTGTATCAGAAAATACAAATTAATTCGAATGACTAAACTAAACACTTATATATATATATATATATATATATATATATATATATATATATATATATATATATATATATATATATATATATATATATATATATATATATATATATATGGTATATATAAAAAATTTAACAAAAAAACAGTTACAATTTTTTTATTTTCTGAACTGAAAATGGAATAGCAGCCCCGTATCTACCATTGGTATACGCTAGCGAGGCTACTAGTGAATGATAATAGGTGAGGATGAAAATGCAAAAAAAAAAAACACAATAAGAAATTACCAATGGCCTATCATCGACAGGTCTTAAGGGACTTTCATTAATTTCCCATGAATGGGAGGAAATTTGATTTTTTGCATTATAATTATTTAAGTCAACTTTACTCACTTGTTTGGGCAATTGTCAGGATCGTTACAGACGATAAAAGAAACTGTTCCTTTTGAGATTTCCTAAAAATACTAGAATACTCTTTTTCATCCAGAAAAATACAGAATATTGTAAGAGGTGGCATTAATTTATTAACCTGAATTCTGAACCGATTTTAATAATTTTTTGCGCAATCGATAAAGTTTACTCCCGTGATGACCAAAATTGTCTTTTAATTTGAAAAGGAAAATTGGCTCAATGCAGAAAACTAGCTTAAAACTTATGCCTGTTATAACTAATAACTAGATTCTGTTTATTTGCAGACAGACACAATTACGCGTTCTAAATTAAAATATTTTTAACGTAATGTTCTAAATTCAAAAGTTAAAAAAAAAATTATAATAGTTCATCGGTGTTTGGTCCGAATTTATTTTTGCGCCGCAAAATCATTCTTAATATACTTAATTAAATACTAGGAGCTTAGCGTGTAAAGAGAATTAAACATATTTATCACAGACATAGATTAAATAGCATAGATTACAAATCTCCGGAATCCTGGTTATTTGCCATTATAGTTTTATTTGCATTTATATAATCTTCATAGTCCACTAGCCTGTTTACCATAAACCACCAGAGTTTACCAGTGGGAAACTTTGTACAAAAGTCGATTGCTTGGGTACCTCTGTCCCATTCGTGTTTCAACCGTGAAGCAGTTGTGTTTGCATGGCTGTGTTTCGGTTTGAAGAGTGAAATATGGCATTGAATTTACAGGGTACAGAGGAATAACACCTGAGTCCTCAGGAATGGCAACGCATGGGGGGTATCATGAGCGAAACGGTATACTCTGTTATGTCCATGGTACTGCTCATGTCTATAGGCGACGGTTACCACTATCCATCAGGTGGGCCGTCAGCTTGTTTGCCATTCTAAGTTGTATAAAAAAAAACAATTGTTTGTTGTAAAAAAATAATAATTTGAAAATAAAAAAAAAACTTACACTTTGATAATAATGTCACACAGACAACTGTTACTCGTATAAAATTACAATGTACACTAAAAATACGAGAGTGATACAATCGTTTGTGATAGCACTGATAAGATAACATGTTGGATTAGTACAGACAGCAATATATGTATTATTATAATTATTATGCAATTTAAATAACGCCCCGCCGGTGTATACCGATAGCGCGGGTGGGTTAACCATTCCATTATCACCCATAAAAATAACCCTGATAGGAAAAAGCCTATGTTGAGCAGTGGACAGTTAAAGGCTGATGTGATATGGTGATGAACGTGTAACCAGGAAGGTGAATAACCACTTTACTACTAGCTACAATATCGTTAATCTATACATATAAAATAGTTTATCATGACCGACTGTCAGCGCACAACCAAAACTTAATAAGTCTAAAAAGCTGAAATTTAGAACATACATTTTTCAATTCGATTGTATTTTTTTTTTTTTTTTTAGTTTATTACCATAACTACGTCAGTTATAAAACCGATTTGAAAAATTCTTTTTGTATCTTACGAGTAAAAGATATACTTACAGATTGGTCCCACAGAAATTTTCTCAAAATTTCAATAATTTACTTTTTTAATCAAATTAACTGGTTGTTCTACAATTGAAATCGGTTTTTTTTTTTTGGATTACAATGTTAATATTATATCGTTAAAAATCTTCTATAAGTTTTGTTTTATACAACTTAGAATGGTAAACAAGCTGACGGCCCACCTGATGGAAAGTGATAACCGTCGCCTATAGACATGAGCAGTACCATGGACATAACAGAGTATACTGTTTCGCCCATGATACCCCCATGCGTTGCCATTCCTGAGGACTCAGGTGTTATTCCTCTGTACCCTGTAAATTATAGTTATAGTAACTTTTTAACTTAAAAATGTTCTATAAGTTATAGTAACTTATAGAAGATTTTTAAAATTTTCGATTTAACAAAGAATCAGGGTGGTAGCCATTACAACACATCGCGTGCAAAGTCGCAGGCAACAGTTAGTTATGTAATCATTGCTGGACGATTAAAAACAAGAGAACATCTCTCGCCAGGGGGAAAGGGATTGTTAGTAATGGAGACTGAGAATCCCATTGCTAGCAATATACCCAACCAGGTCGACCTCCTCGCGGTTCCCCCTAGAAACTATCATGGATAATTCCTGATGAATTCATCATAATTCATTCAAGCTAACTGGTCTGTTTTCATTCTCATCTATCACCCTTCACTGGTGCTCCGCCAGCGTATCCCGTTAGCGCAGGCGGGGTTACCATTCCATTTTCACCCATCAAAAACATCTCTCGCCTCATACGACAACCTTTTTATCGGCTTCTCTAAAAGTAAATTCAAGCAAGCAGTATGTCAAGAACGGTCATTAACATGCATTTACATTCCACTATTAACATGCATATACATTCTACAATAAATCTATGTGTCAAGTGTATGGACTTTCTAATAATTGTGCATAATATCTCATAAATAAATAAATTGGACGCTGTGAAAGGTGATACAAAAATAATATATATTTTACATAATTCGTTATTGTAATTTAATTAAATAAATATAGGACAATTAATCTCGTGCTCACGTCACAGTCACTCACGATAAAGGGTCACGAATTGATTTCTAAACTAATCGAGCTTTTTTCGATCTAATTACACGTAAGTTAAACCGGTAGTTATTAAATTAAACAAATTATACATATATATATATATATATATATATATATATATATATATATATATATATATATATATATATATATATATATATATATATATATATATATACATACATATCTGTCACGCCTGTCTCCCATTAGGGTAGGCAGAAACAATGGAACGCCAAATGCTTCGATTCAAACATAGATAGATATATACTCTTTATTGTTTCCTCCAAACGATAATAAAAGTAATAAACTTATTATTGTTACTATTCTTATTTCTAAAACAAAATTCACATCTGCACATATAAAGAGGTGGGATAACAAACCCGGATAGTCGGTGTTCAAGACCCCAGGGAGAGAAACCGGCGTACTGTTCGGGCATTACCTAAGAGCAATACTTTCTGCATCTTTCCCAACAGTAAACTGCCTCGAAATCGCAAACCACTTGACTTGTTTCAGACTTTATTGTTATTATTATTTTTATAAATTTCAATAAATAAAATAATTACATTCTTTAGTCGTGGTGTGGGATATTGATTTAAGAATAGAATGTATTCTTTTTCCATGGTGCTGTTTATGTCCACACGTGACAGTTACCACTATCAATCACGTGCAATGTCACCTTGTTTACCATTTATTTATTTATTCATTAATACATATGTATATGTTTACATGGCAGACCAAATACTATAAGCATTCTCTGCCAGTCAACCTTAGGAAGTGCTAGTGTCATTCTATGAACCTATCATAAAAAAATATATTTGTATTTTTTGTAATGATATTGCACGATTACATCGCCAATTTTGATTTGATTTTGGTATGTTTATCAGAAAACCTCTTTTTTTCAAAGTTGGTTAATAATAATAATATGGCAATAGTAAATTTCATGCTGACTGTACCCACAGGTTTCAACATAAGATGGATGCCCGTAGCACGCACGTATGTGTTTAGATAAATTATACTATCGTTGACTAATAGAGAAATCTATTTTTAGGGTTCCGTAGAAATATTAGAACTCGTTTACATTCATATTATGTATATTTTTTTAATATATAAAAATCCCACATCACTATATTTGTTTATGCTAATTTCCGAAGCCGCCAAACCGATTTTAATACAATTACATATATATTATTGTTTGCTCAGACTTGACAGATACACAGAGCACCTACATGGCTACCAAGGAGGTAACTAATAAAAGGTTTTATTTAAATTTCAACATGGCTAACAAATAGAAAGCTGTTTATTGAAAAAAAAAAAAAACAAAGGAACATTATGGCGCGTGAAAAATTATTATTGTTCGTTATTCGTCATTGAACTTAAAAAATAAAATTGTGTTTTTGATTTCCGCGCATTGTTTGAGAAAAGTACTATACAAGCCTTGGCCACAGCTAGGCATCGATGGACTCACGTATGCGTGCCTCGACTACGCCTCGGCCCACATTTGTACGTTCGTCCATCAATGCCTCAGTTGCTGGCCGCTGCAGTAATGTACTATTTTTAGATATATTTGATATATTTATATTACAATGTTTTATTTAGATTATACCGAAAGAAATGATGACCTTTTTCCCGCCATCAATGTCCAGAGAAACCCAATATATAGATATCGGATCGGTATCCATATTACTCATGCCTATTCTATACTAGTAAGAATAAATGGATCCGGTAGAGAGCGGTAGGGGGCAAAAGGGGATACAAATATTTACCGGATAAATTATAAATGTGAAAGTGAATTTGACTCTTTAATATAAAACGGTTTTTTTTCAATGAAATTATAGCTAGTAGCTTATCAGTAGTATTCTAAGTATACGCCATATATTGAATTGTTCAAGTATGGCGTATGCTTAGTCTGTTCAAGTGTTTAAAAAATCTCGTGGAAATAAAACAAAAATCACACACAGCCTGTAAACATTACACTCTTTTATTGAACAGTCGTGTAAGAGGAATAGAGCAAATTAAAGTTTAGGTAAAAAAAACAATGGAAGAATAATGTAATAGGTAAATAATTTAAAAATGTATTCCACAGAAAACAAAAAGTAACTTCCATTTTGGCAAAACCAGTTATTTTGATTTAAAAATTAAATTAATTTTAACTAAATAAATTTAAAGAAAATAATTTTAATTAAATTTTAACTGATTTTAAGAAAATTTATATATATATAAGAATATATATAAGAATGGCAAATAAGCTAATTGGCAGACAGCTTGTTTGCCATTACTTGATGGAAAGCGTTAACTGTCACCTATAGACATGAACAGTACCATAGGCGTAATAGAGTATACTGTGTCACCCATGATACCCCTAATACGTTGCCATTCCTGAGGACTAATGCCTCTGTGCCCTGTAATTTTATTGCCATATTCTATAGATATTATATATTTTATTAATTTTGTCTCGTTAAAATTTCAATAACAAAAGACATGGAAGTTTTGTAGGTACTGAATAATCATAATTTAAAACCCTACCGTCTAGTACCTAATACGAATAGGTCTTACCATAATGGCATTTCGTAGTCTACTAGAATCCTTTTCGCTACCGACTCTAAAATGTAAGAACGTGGCTTGTTTTCTATACTCCTTTCTTGCAACCTCCAATCGTACACGTTGATGTTTTTGGTAAGATCCTCGCCCCAAGTGTCCAAAAAACTCGACCACACAGTACTTTCTTCATGCGTTTTCAAATAGTTAGCAATTTTTTTGTTAACCGGCTTCTTCCCTAAAGCGATCAGCCGAGATTCCCTCGCGAGGAGATATCTCAGCGATATCCTTTTTAATATTATCAATTCTTCTAGAGTTTTTGCCATAAACTGTTCAAACACAAAAAAAAAAAAACAATCAAACAGTAGCAAAACTGCTACTGGCCGCACACACAAAAAAAAAGTTTCACGAGATGTCACTTTCGATTTTAAAATTCGAATCCACTTTTCAACCAGTCACTAAAAATTAAAAAGTAATAATGATAAACCGGAGACTGTAGAATAACAAACAGGCATGTTGCTTCATGGAATTTTCGAGAACAATTATCACGGTACGTGACATGATGGATGGTGTAAATTGTGTTAAAAATAGTGTAACGATCTAAACAAAGTTTGCTTTGCGGTTTGTAAAACATAAACTGCCTTATTAGCTTCAGTATAGGATCTAAATAACAACTACATACTTAGGATAACTTTACGTGACGTATACTCTAAGTGTTTCATGCCTTTTATTTGTCTTGGCTGGATAATGGACAATGGAATCTAATAGATATTTATTTGTTTACATACCTTCTATCGTTTTGTGGTTATAATGTTTATGGAATTTTCAAAATAAGATTTTTTTATAGGGTTACGTTGCCAATTCTACGTGTGTTTAGATTTTTTTTTTATACTACTTAGAATGGCAAACAAGCTGACGTCCCACCTGATGGAAAGTGGTAACCGTCGCCCATAGACATGAGCAGTACCATGGACATAACAGAGTATACTGTTTCGCCCATGATACCCCCCATGCGTTGCCATTCTTGAGAACTTAGGTGTTATTCCTCTGTACCCAGTAAATTCACGCCATGCTCCACCCTTCAAACCGAAACACAGCCATGCAAACACAACTGCTTCACGGTTGAAACACGAATGGGACAGAGGTACCGAAGCAATCGACTTTTGTACAAAGTCTCCCTCTGGTAAAATGTAGTGCAATGCAATGTTATACCGTCTACTATTCTTACATCGTCACCACACGGATAGTAAACAGAACAATTATGAAACCTTACGTAGTACAACTGTTTAGATGGGTGCTAATAAATCGTATTAGGTACAATGTTTATATTTTTATGGTTACAAGTTTCGTTTCGTGAACGACTGTGACGCGAGAACGCGGTTGACTGTGCCTCGCTGATGACTAAGTATCACGAATTGATTCCGAAACTAGTCGAACTTTTTTGATCTAATTACACGTAAGTTAAATCGGCAGTACAGTACATTAAAATATATTCTTATTATTTATGCTAGTATAACACGCTTACATTTTAATATACAGGCTGTAATATAAATCTCTAGCTTTTACTGCAAAAACAATTCTAAGATTCCCATATCAGTCCAGGGGTTTTTAAACTTTTAAGATAAGGGAACACCCATAATACGAGTAACTCTTATTTCATGACATCAAAAAATTACAAATTGAAAACGCTATAATTAAAAAAAAAAAAAAACAAAAATTTTATTAGAAATATTTAAATACTTTTCAATGTAAATTTTATGAAATGAATATATTTTGTTTGTCATATTCGACAATTATTACGACTTCACGGGCTTACCGAATAATATTATAAATGCACTAATGGTAAAAATTAAGGGATAAAAAAAAACATCAAATTTTTAGGTGATTTTCAATAGGCTGTAACTTGGAGAAAAATAATCGTAAAGACATTTTTAAAAAACAGCAAATTGTAGCTCTAAGTGTCTAGTTTTTGGGTCTAAACTCGAAAAAAAATTATTTTCAATTTTTTTCAGGTAATCTTCAAAAAACACTGACAAAAATGTTTAAAAAAATTTTTTTGGGTTTTTTACGTCTACGGTCTTTAAACTTTTTTTTATTGACAGTAGACGTAAAAAAAAATTAATAATACATATAAAATACATACACATACATACATACATACATAAAATAATATAATAACAAAATGATAGATATTCAACTATTAAGTTAATAACTATTTATTTTTGAGTTACAATCATACATCATACTGCCTTATAGTCTTTTTTTTTATACAACTTAAAATGGCAAACAAGCTGACAGTCCACCTGATGGAAAGTGGTAACCGTCGTCTATAGACATGGGCAGTACCATGAACATAACAGAATATACTGTTTCGCCCATGATACCCCCCATGCGTTGCCATTCCTGAGGACTCAGTGTTATTCCTCTGTACCCTGTAAATTCACGTCATATCCCACCCTTCAAACCGAAACACAGCCATGAAACACGAATGGGACAGAGGTACCCAAGCAATAGACGTTTGTACAAAGTCTCCTTCAAGGGAGAAGTCGGATCAACTATTACTTTTTTATTACATTTTCGATAAGTTGTATTAAAACAAATTACAAACATGCGTATGTTTGTCCAGGAGTCGATATCAAAAGCATAAAACTTACTCTTACTTTCAACATTCACAACTACTTACCGAAGGTCGTCGAGAAATTCGTTCACTGCTGTTATCATTCTGTAACAAGAAATCACTGCCATAATAAAACTGTTAATGTAGTTAGTTAATAACCGTTAAAATTAATAATTTAAAATTTTATTCCGCAAAATATAATATTAACATATTTAGTAACAAAAACAGTGTGATTAGAGAGAAGTGTGGACTGAAAGACGATGTAGTGACAAAAATCGAAAAAGGAATGTTGCGTTGGTTTGGCCATTTAGAGAGGATGGATGAAAGAAGAATTACGAAAGAGATTTGTCGAGCAAGAATAAATGGAGATGTCGGTAGGGTCCGCCCTAGACTGAAGAGAGGCCAAATTAAAAGTACCCGTAACCGGCGAGCGTGTATGAAAAGATTGATAAATGTGAAAGAAGCGAAAGGGGTTTGTTTGAATCGAACCATTTGGCGTTCCATTGTTTCTGCCTACCCTAATGGGAGACAGGCGTGACAGATTTGTATGTATGTTAGTAACTCAATTACAATGAATAAAAAGCCGATTCGGGATAATATCAAGAATTCAATGTGACCGTATTTGCATCTTCGTATTAGTTTTTAACATTTTAAAAAACGAAATGTTTTCCACACACAATTCCGTATTCTAAATCTATATCATCATCATCATTTACTTGTCCACTGCTGAACATAAGCCTCCCCCTTAGGGGGTTTTGTCAGTAGTTGCCACGCTTGGCAGGCGGATTGGCAACCGTAGTTAGGCTTTGGAGATGTTTTAAGAGGCACGCTCCTCATCCCTCGCCCTCCTTTAGTCCCCACTTACGGGAAAGTATGGGGTGGCCTATTTTATGGTGGGTCCACACGGCCAAATTTGTATCTCAGTACTTTCTTTTTTTTATTGCTATATATCGAAGATTGTCTAATAGTTATTAGTGGAAACTATATTAGTTACGAATGATTAATTATGTAATATTTTTTCTGTAAATTGTACTGTTTGTTTTCCAAATAAAAATAAAAAACACTAACTTTAAACGTAGTTAAAAGTAGTTATATTGATTATAAAAAATAAACTACTAAAACGATTTTGATAAAATTTCTGTAGGATCAATCTGAAAACATCCCCCTTTCACAAAAATAAAGAATTTTCCAAATGTGTTTATAAATAACTGAGTTCTGAACTAACGAACATAAAAAAGTACAACAGATATGAGAACTACCTTTTTTTAAAGTAAAAGAAATATAACATGTTTTCAATTGGTCTATTTTTTTTTTAATTTAACGCGATATTTTCCTCAATTCTGAACTTAAACAGTAAAAAGTGGAATCGCGTATTTACAACTATATATTTGATTGGCACAAGCATTTGCGGCAGTGGTGGCGAACATACATTACTCAAAAAAAAAAAAACTAATTAACCTATTAATATAAATTGAAGTTATAAATTGTTATTAACATTTATAGTACTTAGATAGAAGGTGCGTATATAATAGATAGATTATATTTTTTACATTGTTATAAATATATACAACATATAATTATATGAAGTGTGCTAAGTGAGAATATAAACTATCCGTGTACCAAATTTCATTCGAATCCGTTTAGTACTTTTTGCACGAAAAAGTAAACAAACATTTATTCCTCCATTCTTACAAATTTTCGCATTTATAATATAAACAGGATGTGAAAGTGAGTCTGTTTTTTAACTCTTGGCACCTTAACTGAATTCAAGCCGGTTTTTTTGTGAAATACTATCTTTAATCATCCAAATTAGCTTTTTTTTTATACCACTAAGGTAGCATACAAGCATACGGCCTACCTGGTAGTAAGTGGTTACCGTAGCATATAAACACCTGCAATACCAGGAGCATTACGCGCGCATAGCCGACCCTTAAGAAACCTCTATATAATATGAAAACAGTTCCTAAATCTTTAAAACACCATTGATTTTCCGTTCTCGTGCACCACTTGCCTTGACCGTGCGAAGCCCCACTCGTCCGTCTGGTCAGGCTTCGAGCGCTCATTGCTAATCTGTTTACGTTCTCTTATCACGAATTCATTATTTAAATTAGTGGTTTCCTTTTTGCCAGCAACCGCAGAGACGGTGCATAGACCCCACAGTTTAAATGGAATTCTGTTAATTTGGAAATAAATTGTATTTGTTATAAATCGAGTTTGAAAAAAAAAATGCTTTTAATAGAAATCCTTTAAATGAATGTCAGCAGGATGCAGGGGTATAACTGCACCAAAAATTTCATATTTGCAGTGATATATTTCATACTAATGTTATAAATATGAATGAATGAATGAATGAATGAGGATACTTTATTTGCATTATACAATATAGGGAATAAGCAAGGCAATTAATAAATGCAACGATACAGTTGTATGAGTGAGACGGTCTTATTGCTGAGAGCAATCTTTTCGCTAATCTCTAGAACTAACAATCGGATTTTACTAATTCTTTTTGCATTTGATAATTCATTTCTTAATGAAGATTACAGGCTATTCATCATCACGACATGATCACAGGCGAAACTGCAGGATTTTTTTAATGCACCTTAGAATGACAAACAAGCTAATGGCCCACCTGACGGAAAGTGGTAACCGTCGCCTATAGACATGAGCAAGTACCATGTACATAACAGAGTATACTGTGTCGCCCATGATACCCCCTATGCGTTG